CAAGCTAGGCTCCAGCAGTATGTGGACCGAGAACTACCAGAAGTACAGGCAGGATTTCAAAGAGGGAGAGGAACTAGAGATCAAACTGCCAACATACGCTGGATCATGGAGAAAGCTAGGGAGTTCCAGAAAAACATCTACTTCTGCTTCATTGACTATGCTAAAGCCTTTGATTGTGTGGATCACAACAAATTGTGGCAAGTTCTTAAAGAGATGGGAGTACCAGACCATCTTATTTGTCTCTTGAGAAATGACCTATATGCGGGTCAAGAAGCAACAGTGAGAACTGGACACGGAACCACTGATTGGTTCAAAATTGAGAAAGGAGTTCGGCAAGGCTGTATACTGTCGCCCTGCCAATTTAACTTATATGCAGAGCACATCATGAGAAGAGCGGGGCTAGATGAATCACCAGTTGGAATTAAGATGGTTGGGAGAAATATCAACAACCTCAGATATGCAGATGAAACCACTCTAATGGCAGAAAGTGAAGAGGAACTAAAGAAGCGGGTGAAGGAGGAGAGTGCAAAAGTTGGCTTGAAACTCAACATTAAAAAAACTAAGTGCGTATAGTCAAGTGCGTATAGTCAAGGCTATGGTTTTCCCAGTTGCAATGTATGGCTGTGAAAGCTGGACCATAAGGAAGGCTGAGCGCCGAAGAATTGAGGCCTCTGAATTGTGGTGCTGGAGGAGACTCCTGCGAGTCCCTTGGATGGCAAGGCGATCAAACTGGTCAGTCCTAGAGGAGATCAACCCTGACTGCTCTTTAGAAGGCCAGATCCTGAAGATGAAACTCAAATACTTTGGCCTCCTAATGAGAAGGAAGGACTCCCTGGAGAAGAGCCTAATGCTGGGAACAATAGATGGCAAAAGAAGAAGGGGACGGCAGAGGATGAGGTGGCTAGATGGAGTCACTGAAGCAGTTGGTGTGAGCTTAAGTGGACTCCGGGGGATGGTGGAGGACAGGAAGGCCTGGAGGAATGTTGTCCATGGAGTGATGGGTCGGACACGACTTTGCGACTAACAACAACAGCCTTGCAGGAATCCTCCTGTGTTTGTAAGGAATCTAAATCCCTTTAGCAATTTGATGTGGGACTACATGCCACCCACGCACCTTTGCTTATTCTCAGGGTAGCTTGTGATGTGCAAATTTGCCACTGTCTGACTGGTATTTTCAGTGCCATCTATGCTAAGGCCTGTTATGGTGTCAGAATCATGCCTTGGAATGTCCATTAGTCTTTAAGGTGTAACACTGTGTTCTTAATAATTCTGCAGTGAATACCACATGTTCAGATGGTTGCAATGGATTGAAAACTAGTTCAGAGCAGTTTCTAGCAGCATCCTGTTTGAGCTGAGGAAATCATCCAGCCTCTTGGTTGCCTTCTCTTTTCCTGATTTCTTTGTGCATCTTTGAGGACACAAGCAATGGAAGGCAGTCTTTCAATCAGCACTATGCTCTTTGCTCAAATTATCTGGTATGTGTAGAGAAATAGAAAGGGAACAGGCGGTCATTCACTTAAAACCAGGCTGTGGAGACTTTTGGAAACACTGGGGTGATTCCCCCTTCTTCTGAGTAGTCTCAAGCATGATATGAAGTGCAATTCATCCCCTTCCTCTCTTGTATTCTACAGCAGAAATTATTTTTAACTGTTTTATATTTTGAGCATTTGAATAATTTGAAATTTCTTTGGTCCTCTTTAAAAAGAAAGGTGACTAATGAATTCAATAAATAGTAATGCATTTTTATATACTATACTTCCTTTTACCTTGACCTTTTTTAGTGATTTAGTCTTTGCTTTTCCCTTCTTGCTTGAAAGATTATTATAGCCCAGAAATGATGGGACTGAAAACTGATCAAGAAGTTCTTGGAGAGCTTGTAAAAATGAAGATTCCAGCTGTGGCAGAGCTAATGGAGAAGCATGGCATTATGTGGACTTTGGTGGTGTCCCGTTGGTTTATTTGTTTGTTCATTGACGTTCTTCCAGTCGAGGCAAGTGAGAACTTCTTAGCTATATGTATGGTTTTACTTTCAAGAAATATTCCAGCATAGAGTACCAGTGATGTCTAAACAAATGACTTCCTTCTTCTACAGACAGTGCTTCGAATTTGGGACTGCTTGTTCTACGAGGGATCAAAAATACTATTTCGTGTGGCCTTAACATTGATTAAGCAACACCAAACTTTCATTTTAGAAGGCACTAACTTCCCAGATATCTGTGATAAATTTAAGCAGATCACCAAAGGTCCATTTGTAACAGAGTGTCACACTTTCATGCAGGTGGGTGTCTGCTTATCTAGAAATATATATGTATTGGTTTGATAATGGTTGTGGATATTGGGAAACTTTTAAGTGTTTTGCTAAAGCTGGTTGGAGTATTTTGTGAATTTTTTACCTAGAGTGCTTGAGCACTGGGTTGAATTCTGAATACTTGTGGATGGAACTCCACCTGCAGGACACATGGCTGGAGGAAAGGGTAGGGGGCATTTCTGTCCCAAAAATTTCCTTCAGAGGGTCAGGCAACATCCAGGATATCATGGGGGAAGGCACTAGGAAGCTCCAGTAGGAACTGACAACTCACACCTCCTTGGAACCTCTCTTGGATTTTAGTTTTTTCTGTGGAGGAGTCTGGATTTAACCTATTATGCTCATCATTTGGAAGACATTTTTTCTGCATAAACATGATGATTCCTAAGGATGTGCAGAAAGCACACAGATAACAAGCCTTATCTTACCCATCACTGTAACAACATTTTCATGTAGCACCTAACCTTGGCAATAACAGAATGGGAGACTTTTCAACCTTTGAAAACGGTCCGGATACTGCAACTGGTACAGAATAGAGCTGCCAGGCTGCTGCCAGGGACCGGCCGTTACTCTCACATAACGCTGGTCCTCTACCAGCTCCACTGGATTCCAGTTGAAGTCCGGGCCCAATTCAAGGTGCTGGTTTTGACCTATAAAGCCCTAAATGGCTTGAGACCAGGACACCTGAAGCAATGTCTCCTTCCTTATATGCCCTCACGCCCCTTAAGATCTGTGAGAGAAGCCCTGCTCTGGGAACCCTAAGAGAGGTAAAAAGGTCATCAACTTGGAGTAGGGCCTTCTCTGCGGTGGCGCCCAGACTCTGGAATGTACTTCCCAGAGAGGTATGCCTGGGCACCAAGTTTATACTCTTTTCGCCGCCAGGCAGAAACCTTTTTATTCAAACAGTATTTTAAAAGTTAACAACTTTCATCCTTCAGTCACTCTGTTTGTTTTGTGATTTATTGTTTTGTTTCTATTATTTATTAGAAATTGTTGTTTTAATTGTTGTTTTAAATATTGTAAGCCATCCTGAGATTTTGAATAATAGAACGGCATACAAAAGCTTTTAATAAATAAATAAATAATAAATAACCCAATAAGCAGCTATTATTCAAATGTTAGAGTACCAGACTTTACTAGCAACTTGAAACCAAATGTCTTCTACGTGCTGTCTGGTGCAAACTTCTATCAGCCTTAGGCCCTCTAGATGGTTTGGCTTCCAGCCCCCATCAACCTCAGCCAACATGACAGTGGTCAGGAGTTGTAGTCCAAAACAGCAAAAGGTGACCCCATTTGCTGAGTTGCACTTCAACCTCTCTTCTATGATCACCATGTTACTTTTTATTAATTACCACCTCTGCATGCCAACCAATTTGGGGGTTTCTGACTTGAGTGTCCTCCCAAGAGCTTTGCTGGATTAAATCAAGTTGCGGCTGCTGGATGGATTTAGCAATATACTGCTTCTGAGCATAGAAATTCTGCCTAGTTCATAGCTGCTGATCAGCCTGTCCTGAAGCCATCTGAACAAGTGGCTGTAATCACATCTCTGCACACTGGACTTGCAAATAAGCAATTATGCAGAAGAGCACTGCAGAGACAAGGCACTACAGTTCATGTATTTTCTGAAAGTGTGGCAATGCTTCCACTACTTGTATCTTCAAATCCGGTGTGCTCTAATGGTGCCACAGTGTTAGCACTAATGTAAATGAATGTTAGCACAATGACATTAGCAACTGCTAGCACAGGAGGCAAAAGCACCGTTTGGCCATTGAAAACCAGCAGAGGCAAATCATTTCCCCCTCTTTGTGCTGGGCTATGATAAATAGCATTGGATTAGGGTTAATTTACGCTAGTGCAATGTCATTAGCCCTAGTGCTACACCACTACCGAATCCTGTCCATCTAGACTACACCTCTAAGTGCATTTGTGAAAACATTAAGATGATTTTTAGGCATGTGGTTTCAAAGAGTTGTGCTACAATACTTTTAATGGGAATCCCACATAATTGGAATGTTCTAGATTCTGTGTCAAGCCCACTAGAGGATTTCATGCTCCCCCAGTGCAGTATCCCATTTTAGAGAAGAATTTGTTACTGGGCATAGGCTGGAAGATTCTGAAATGCAGTAATGTATTTCTGCAGCCTGTTCTATTCCCTGAAACACAGTCTGTCTTCTCTCCCCAATCCTGGTTCCTCTGGTTATACTAACATTTTAATTCTTATTTCTAGAAAATATTTACAGAGCCTGGAAGTCTGCGGATGGCTACAATAGAAAAACTGCGAGAAACTTGTAGAGAAAATCTGATTGCACAGAGGTAAATGGACAATAATATAAAATGTTGCAAAAATGGGTACATTCCATCACTTCACTTATGCACAATTTCTGTTGACAGGCGCTTGACCAGTTCTCTCCAGCCTTTTTGTATAATAGTTTTATTTTTTGTGAAGACAATTTTCATTTGTGAGAATTGCACCATGAGAATGAAATTATTACTGTGGTAATACCCCCCCCCCAAATAAAGGCACTACTTGCAGGAAATGTTGTCATTTAAATTTATAAATGTCTTCATATGAAAATACAAAATAAATTCTAGTTATGAAATTGAGTTGTGTTTAGAAAAATAAGTACGAAAATATTCTTTTGAGAACAGCACATCTGTGTCTTAGACTTGCTACAAGTCTTGCTTTGCATCCCCAAACACCTTTTATCTGGAGTAGTACTGTCACAGCAAGCCTGTGTAACACTTGTGTTCATCTATTTATCTTAAAAGACATTCACTTCTCATTGCAAAGAAATAGGAAAGCTCCAGTGGCTGTTTCCTTTTTTTAATGAGCTGCAAGGGCAAGTTTCCTGTGTATTAAAGAATGTGAAAACAATGTATGTATGCACAATAGCTCTACCGCACTAGCCTTGCCTAGTTGATTCTTTCAACCCCACTGAAAAATTTGTTGCTACTTTTAAGGCCCTCAATGAGCACATTTGGTATAATACAGGACTTTTCAATATTAAGGGAATTATGACCTTCTGAATTGGCTGATGGTCCATAGGCGTTCTTGGAATCCCACAACAGCAGTGCTGGTATTCTAAAGGTTCGTCGCTAGCATGCAACCGAACCCCAAAGAGGGAAAAGGAATGCGCTGGGGTGAGGGGAGTAAGCTGCCACTGCCTCTACCCCAAGCCCTCTCCACATCCCAGCCTCCTTCCCTTCCGTTCCCCCATGCTTTATATGGGATGTTGGAAAAGGTTGATAAAATGCATGAAGTAAAAGGTGGAGATCGCTGCTGCTGCCAGAACTCACTCAAGCCATTGGATACCTTCGAGTTAAGACTGAGTTTAAAGCCTTTTGTAGATTCAGGGCAAAGGTAATTTGATCACATGCTGAGTTTTGAGATAGGTAAGAGGCTATAAGCCTGAATTTTAACTAGTGTCTTATCTGTAAATCACCTGAGTGATTTCAGCCTGGAATTAGACTGCCTGGTCCTGTGGTAGCAGAAGTACTTCAACTCTATGTGCAGTAACAGGTTGTATGTTTTGCTCTTTCAATGTGCAGGTTGGTATGATATATGTGCCTGGAAGAATACAGGCAACAGTAATGTAAAACAGGAGTTGTAGTGTACAACATGCCTGCTTGGTATCCAAAGCTTAAACTGGAAGCTGGTTAAAAAATTATGTTTTTCTTATCATGAGCATTAAATGTGTACATAGTACTGTAGACCCCTGGTACTCCCCAGATGTGCTGGACTAAATCTAAATCATTGCCAGCCAGTATGGCTAAGGCCATGGCAGCTGTGAATTGCAGTCTGGCACAGCTGAAGGGCAGCAGTTTGGGGAAGGCTACACTAGAACAAGGAGCTGTGATTACAAAGACAAACTATGCCAGTCAGTGGCTCTTACAGTGCAGGTACTACATAGATACAGCTTTAGAAATGATGCTTATTTCACCAGAAGTGATCTTCAGGAAGTTCTGGAACTTTCATAATTACATACCACTGGTCAACCAACCCTAAAACTTCAGTTTGTTCTTTCTTCAACTCTTAGTTCTTAGAATATACACATGCAAACTGCTGTGAAAAAGCAGGCTTTTTCACAATGAAAATGTTACGGTAAACCAATTGCCATGTGGATTTCATGCAGAAAAAATAGTGGCAGTTATAGCTGTCATCACCTACAAAGCCTGCACTGATTTCAAGATCCCACTCTGACTCTCATTCAGGGCATCTGAAAAGTGGCTTATTCTGCCTATACAAGTTTGGAGGTGATTCACTTTAACTCAGTACCAAAGCAGTTGAGATTTTGAAGTCCAAGGCTTCATACCTCCTCTAGGGAAAATTTTAAAATGGTTCAAGATACAGTAGTCCCAGGAAGGGACTACCAATTTTCTTGGTACAACTGGATGCAATTTGCAATATTTGCCCTTGTGAAAAAACTGTCATGATTCAGACGAAAAACAGCAAACAACCAGCAATGTTCCTTATAAATTCTTTTGAATACAAGACAGTATACAAGGGAGAGCTTAAGAAACCTATAAAGTTTCAGAAGGCTAGGTAGTTCTTATTGAAATCAAAGGTTTTTCAATAATCAGAGCCTGCTGTTTCATCTTTCTCTTTCTCCTAAAGCAGCCTGTGTGTAGCACCTCTCATAAAATGTGTCTTAATCTTAGAAGGCAAAGCTATTGGTCAGCTCCACCCACTCTGCCTTCTGCTGCTTCCCCAATGTTTATTGAAAGGAAAACAAAAGGCTATCTTTTCAGATCCAGAATGAAGCCTTAGGCAAAGCTGAGCTTTGGAGGGGCACCTGCTTCTATTTGGGAAGCACCAGAAACTGCCAGAAGGATCCCAAATTTTGCTCAGGCTCTAGCTGAATTAAGTCACATCTCTCCTATTAGAAAGCCTATTTGAAATAAGTAAACATTACTGAAGATTTCAGGGCAAGGTTCTGAGATTAGTATAAAAGAAACAATGTTCTAAGATGTGTAAATAAGCTTCATACACTTCACACTGCCTCTCAGAAGTCTAGATTGCAGACTGAATCATTAGAAGCCCTGTAAATTGGTTCAATAGAACACTGAAAACATACAGAAAAGTCTTTATTAGCATTGTTACAGGCAATGCATCCATAACTGATCCTTGCAGTGTACAGTCCCAGCCAAAGTCAAAGCAAGAATTAGCAGATTGAAGTCTATTGTACACATGTGCAGAAATAGGATCTCCTTTGAACTTCCAACAGAAGAGACTGAAATTTACTTTACAAAAAAATAAAGTAACACCCATTTTATGTAAAAAAATGGCCAACTCCTACCAAGTTGACAGACCAAAAATATCTTTTAAGAGTCAGCCAAATTGTATCTTCACACCTTTCATATACTGGGCTTAGTATTTAAAGCTTAATGATACACATCTAGGTAGAGACAAAGTAGGAATAACTGAGCTTGATTGGTCAGTCATTACTTCAACTGCATAAGATCAGTAACTAAGTTCAGCACAGGTTGGTAGTAGGAAGTGGAAGTTTCCCTTTGTTAGATACAATTAATCTGAATTTAAGTGAATGTGAATTAACTATCACTCATTTTGAGTAGTTGATATTAAAAAACATGCCAATTCTGAAAAGCATTCTTAAAACAGCAGCCTGTTTCTAGGTGGGTAAATATTTAACCCATTAGCAAATTAAACAGAATTATAGAAGTTATCTTTTGTGCATAGTTAAATGCCACGAGATGAATTTCACATTTAGTTAAGCAGATACTGGAAGAAACAGCTGATAAAGAAAAGATTGTGCTCCCTCATATGACTGACAGGAAGATGAAGGGGGGATCAATGTATCTGCTTCTTGCAACTGCTGCTCTTCCACTCTGGTTTAAGTGCAAATTATTAAATAGTTTGATAGCCAGCATGGCTACGTTTTCTTCCAATTAAATATGCAATCAACACTATAAGGACAAGTCCAGCAAGTGCTGCACCAACAATGATAGGGATCAACATATTGTTTTCATCCTGTGGACATTCTTCCACTGAAAGAAAGAAAAAAAGTTTTATTCTGGAGTTCTATCAATCAAGAGGTCAAGAGATTTTTCTTTTAAATCATGCAAAGAAGCCTGGTGTTCAATCACCAAGTTTCTCTGGGCAAGTTTTTTTTTTAAAGCATTTTACTTTGGTTGCTAATAGCAATGGGGAGATGAGAGATGAACATAATTCTGAACAATACTGTACTGAAAGTACATTTAACATTCCCCAACCTCACCACACCCCCCTCACACTAGCCAGTGTTTGAAACTTCCCCAGTTAGTAGAAGCTCTGCTGAATACTTTCCACATGCTTTATCTATTTAGTATAAAAAGCATGATTATGCAAGTTACAAGTATCGCCCCACCATTTCAGTTAATGTTTGGCAATTAATTCACCTTATAGTTGCAGCAGAGGCTAACTGTGAACGTATGCACTAAGATCACCTGGCAAGCAGGAGCACACATTTTATCAAATGATTTTTAATATGACACCTTACTTTGTTTCACCTTGTGTAATTATTTTAAAGGGGGATTTTGGTGATTTTTCCTCATCAACTGGTGGAAGTCAAATTTAAACTGATGATGAAAAGCAGAATACTACTTATTTCAGGTATCATATGTTTAAATGGTCAAGAATAACAGCCTTTCCTTTCAAACTTGTTGAGCCATTAATCCTTTAGGAGAGCTGAGACCAAAAAAAATTTACACATCTTTGAGATAGCTGAAGCATGTAAGCTTGTTTAAGTTTAAATAAAACAACCAGCATATGAATTGCACTACCACTCTTTTAGGGACTGCAGGTGGTGCAGTGGTTTAAACCGCTGTGCTGGTTGATCGAAAGGTCGCCGGTTCGAATCTGCACAACAGGGTGAGTTCCTGTTGCTCCGTCCCAGCTCCTGCCAACCTTGCAGTTCAAAAGCATGCAAATGCAAGTAGATAAAAAGGTACCACTTTGGTGGGCAGGTAACAGCATTCCGTGCACTTTGGTGTCTAGTCATGCCGGCCACATGACCACGGAAACTGTCTGCGGACAAATGCTGGCTCCCCTGGCTAGGAAACGGAGATGAGCACCGCCCCCTAGAGTCAGGCATGACTGGACGCAACGTCAAGGGGAAACCTTTACCTTTACCACTCTTTTAAATGAATAACTCCATTTTCAAATATTGTATTGATTAAATTTCTCACCTGCTCCAAACTTGTTTCCTGAAATCTTGAAAGCCTGGATTTGAACATTGTATATGTTGACAGATGCTATGCTTGAGAGCCAGATACTCTCTTTTGAAACACATTTGTAAGATTTCCCAACTGTAGCTTGTAGGGCACTCAGGGTATTGTTGACAGCATTAATAGTTTTTCCTGGGAAGGAGGTGAAATTATGTAAGACCACTGTTATTTATAAAACCTGAACAAGTAAAGACAGTCTAGAGAGACATGCATTCTTTTGCCACCTTATTTTACCAATGGAACTACGATGTTTACCTTCCAGCTGGGTGGGATCTGGCCTGTTTTGTTAACCAAAGAGAACACTCTGGACAGAATTGGGACCAGTGTGGCCACCATTTGGCCATCATTCCAGGAAGGCTTTAAACAGATCGGATGGCAGCATATCCTCTCCAGGGCGATTAGGCCTCTGATTTCAGCAACTCAAAGTGGGTGGATCTAAAGCATATTCTACACTCAGCACAAGTGGATTTTAAGAAAGGCCTTGGAACCATTGAGCACAGCCACACACTGCATCAACTAGTCTATTCTGGCATTCATGAGCACAGAAAGGCACTCTATGTTGTGTTCGACCTGATAGCCGCATTTGATTCAGTAGACCATGCCATGGTCCAAGCTTTCTTTGCTCTGAGAGGTCCATAGAGACACAAGTCAGACTGGAAACCTCCAGTTCCCTAACCTAAACGATTATCATCAGAAAAGCAGGGGTGTGTCCTGGCCCCCTTATTACTCAATTTTTATATAAATAACATTGGTGAGAGTTTCAGGACCACAATTTACACCTCCATCATTGGGTCAGTTAAAAACTTCAGTTTGATTGTATGCTGATGACATGGTCCTGATTTCTCAAACTAAAATTGGTCTAAGCAGGCTTCTACCGCAACTGGGATACTATTGCAAAGATGCTAAGACCAAAGTAAAGGTCATGGGAGGGGGGACGACTCAGAACTTCATCTTGGAGCATCCTTGGTAATCCAATAAAGAAATGTTGCTTTGTTAAATACCTGAGGGTCACTTTTAGGGACAACCTAAATTGGAAACTCCATCTGGAAATGGTCAAAACCTCAGCCCCTAGAATTATAGGGTCTATCTTGCACTTTTTACACTTAAGTGTTGACACCTGATAGATCTTACATTGAAGTTTTTTAAGACCAAGGTTGTTCCCTACCTCTTATATGGAATTGAAGTATGGGGATGAAATAAGGATATACTATCTCATCTGGACATAATTCAAAACATTTTTCTAAGACAGTTACTTGCCCTACCCGGGGGTACCCTGTCTGCACTGTTAAGAGCAGAAACAGGTCCTCTCTCTTCAGGCTTGTGCACATCTTGCTATAATAAAGTATCAGAACAGGAACAGGTCCCCCAGTTCATTATGGAATAAATCATTCAGTTATTATCAAAAGACCCTAAACAACCCAGGTTTAATTCCATAATTGATAGACATTCCCTCCCCAAATATCTCCTGGGGCTACAGTTGATAATTCCCATCTTAGGGCCTGGATATATTGCTCAGATGCCCTAATCGACCATTTTTCAATTCTGAATTCCAAGGCTTCTCCTTGGTTTAGATTATTTAAACATGACCATTTAAGATCTAATTACTTAGCATCTCTAATTATAGCCTTAGGGTGGCCTTTACAGTCCTTCCTTTCCAAGCCATCTATACAGCCCTCTTATTTGGTCATTATTCTCATATCCCAATGGAGCAGCGTGTCTGTATCTGTGGATCACTTGAAGTGGAGAATCCTTTGCATTGTATCTTTCACTGTTCTTTATACTGTGAACCCAGAAACATTTCTGACTAGCACGCTTATCCGCCTTTAATGCTTATTTTGATTCTGAGAAATTAGTGTTCTTGTTATGAGAGGCTGCTGCAAGTGTCTTACAGGGTTTCTCTTTTTGCCCTGGCAACTAAAAAGATAAGAGCTAAGAAGGCTTTGAAGGGGACACTGCCCTTACGGACAAACTGATGCTCATTCCCATTTGCTAACTTGTCTTTTTTTCTTGGCTTTAGAAAGTTCAACTCAGTGTATGAATAATCCTGTCCGTTCAACATGGCAATTAAAGTAATTTGCAAAGATTTATCTTTGTGTGTTTTGAGCTCTGGACATTCTTTGTGCCCTTTAAAACCTGGATCTACAACACAGCTTCCCTGGACACTCATGTGCCCCACAGACATTTTTCTTGGTGCCTGCCAGGTTCCATGCTCAAGACCCCTGAACTCTATATCACTAAGGATCTTTAAAAATGAGGAAATCTTACTTGCTGCTTCAGGAGGCAGACCTGCGCTTACGCTGATAACTTGCAGAAAGTATTTTTCAGTACTTGAGTTCTTAAAGAGAAAAGAAACCAGTTACTTTGTTTCTTTTTAAAAACTGCCCTACTTGTGTTATCATAATATTTTGAACTTGTTAATTTACTGAGAAAACATATGAAGCTTGGAACAGATCTGCAAAGCTTGGAACAGATCTGCAAAAATCTGCTATAGGATTAAAAGATACTCAATTCTTTACACATCCTCCAGAAGCAACTGAAGTTAGTTTGGCGTTCCACAGCTTGGGAAATCTGAGCTTTCTTTTAACCCATACTTTCCAGTTGCAAGTATATGTACATTTCCTCTCCACTTGGAGAGACTAGGATTTCTAGTGGGCATCTATGGCACATTTGCATAATTTACGCAGATCAAATGCAGGTTTTTAATGGTGTGTGAGTGATGCAAGCAATTCCTGTCTGAATTCTTTACAACACTGTATTGAACTATGCTTACCTGAGCAAAACTGAGAAAGATACTGACACTCCTAGAAGTCACATTTAAAGTAACTGTGGCATTCTCACAGGTTCCTGAGTAAGATGCATTTGCAGGAAGATTCAACACTTCTGATTTATCAGTCTTGAGGGGAAAAAAGGGCAGAAAATGTTTAGACTTCACACAGCAGTTTATGCACAGGGTGGATACATGTAGATGTCTTGAAAGCACCGTATATTCCTGCTATGGTACTGAACAGATTTGTGTTTTCAAATTCATTCATGTCAGTAAACCTATATCTGCATTAAGAGCAAGATCCTTGATACATTTGTTAATCAGCCCACCACCAATGAGGTACCTAATGCATTGTATCCTTCACATATCTTAGCCCTAGACCATTTACTATACCCCACTTGATAACAGGCTAGGTGTTTCCCCAACAGAATCCCTGTCTTGTGTACTTGTCCTATCAACAGCTGCATTTACTCAAATCCTGGGGACCAAATACTGTATTTCAATACAGGAAGGACTAATGGATCATCCCCCTGCCCATCAGATCTTGCCTGCACTCAGATCTACTCGGGTACTGTTAAATTGTTCCCTCCATTTTTTCTGACTGGTTCTGGTAACATATTAGGACTTTTTGTTCAACTGGAATCAAGTCCTGAATTGTAACGCTTTTCACTGAACTGGTGGTGTTAAACAACAGCATTGAACAGTCAGAGCAGCCAGGAATTTTGGGGTTGGATGCAAACCAGAAAGAAGAAAGCTGCAAGGTATCTCTTCCTTCTCTTCCATCAGCCTGTTCCACTCCTGCCTTTTAGAACTGGAATAGCAGCACCCTTGTTTCCCTTTTTGATTCTCAAACACATATGTAAACTCAAATATGTCACCCCCTAGAGCCTTGTCAGTATAAAAGAACATTCACATTTCAATAACTAATCTCACAAACCAAACCTGTAGTAAAACAAGTGAACTGACTTGTGAAAAGGCTAAGTGTTAATCATATTCTGCTTGGCTGAATATGCAGAATACACTAGACAGATAACATAACCCTTCAACTTGAAATTCATCTTTTGTGTGGGGGAGGAATAACTGGCTGTTTAAAAACATAACTAGTTTGTTCTAAGGTTCATAAGGTTCCCCTGAAGAAGTGTATATTTCTGTATATCCATATGTACCATTAATGGGAAGACATACCTTATTTTTCGTAGTGTAGGTGACATTGACTTGCAGACCCATAGATGCAAGCAAACAGGTTCCATGCAGGCCAGTCACATTATACCGTCCAGTATCTGGGATTTTGGAGGGTGTGGGTGGTGCTGAGCTAGTAGTTATAGGTATGTGGGTAGCTGTTGTAACGGGAGTAGTTGGAACAACGGGAGTAGTAGACCCTTTATCTTCAGCACAGATCGTTTCTAGAAGGTACAAGACACAGAAATGGAAAGTAACTAGAAGCAACCTAACCCACTTCTGCTTAAAAATAACTCAGCAGCATACCCACTCCATTACAATAAGCTGGAGTAGAGAAACATATAGAACATGAACAGCTTCCTTTAACATATGCCTATACTTTAATTTTGCTCTTTTTATACAATCAATTTATTTTGTACAGTCAAGTTATGTGCTTCTTCACATAACTTAATAGTTTTTTCTATGTTTAAAATTTTTATTGTGGTTAGTCCTTGTATTTTGAAGGAAACTCTGTCCCAGATAAAGTTTAGGTGTCTTATTCTTTTATGCAATAAACTCACTTCCTGGTATTTTGGGAGAAGTCTATAAAAAGAAAAATGATGAAGAGTTTCACTTTGTTTCAAATACCCTACCCAGACATTGCCCCACATCAAATTCTACTTCTCAGTTAATTCCTCCTACTTCATATCCTGGTCAGACATCACTCCAATTTCATCCATCAAGCATGCACGTGCTGGTTCTCTAGGAAACTGATCCTTCTAGGTCTATCCTTTTCACGTTAATCTGTTCCATTTGCTCTGCTGATGGGGGAGGTTCAAACCTCCCTTCTCTTGAGGCTTGAATGGGGTGGTTCAGCTGATCGATGGAAACAGCTGGACCATGGGAAAGAGAGGGAGGTTGCAAATTTATGGCAACCTGCAAGTGCAGAAGAGGCAGTGTGGGTAACTGAGCTGCACTAAAAGGGGTTAGAGACTCTCCATCCCTGTTTCAAGTATTTGCACAAGTTGTATTTTCTGATTGGAAACTCTTTCACAGAAGCTTTTAGAAATATTATCAAATACATATTTTGGCTAAAACCAGGTCTACAGTTAATAAAATACCCATAGATATATCTAGTTCTACTGGGAAGATTTAGTTCATTGGATGCTCTCTTTGATGAGAAGATGCTTACCATTTTTACTGAAGGTGTTATTTGGAAGGTACGCTTCAAGTGTAACATTACTGAGACGAACTGTCACATTCCTCATGTGTATCATGTGCTTGTTGTGACACATGAACCTTGTATCCAAGTGTGCTTTAATATCAGTTTCTTTGGTTGCTTCTTCCATGCCTGCAGTGGAAAGTGCACACTTGTTTTAGAGCTCATGCCTGATGGGCCTTAAATTCTACCTCGGTAGACTGCCATCCTACCTACTGCCACCCCAGTTACAGCAGCATACTGGATTCTGCAACACTTACTTCCAACTGCATCATGGAAAAAGGTGGCATCCGACAAGTTGTACTTAAAGGTCAGGTTAGTAACCATGTAGAAAACAGTCTTCTTTTCAAATGTCATGCTCAATGAATGCCCATAACCAAATCCAACTGCAATAACTTGCGAAGTATCTTTCCCGCCACAGGTGCTTTCATCTTCCAGTACATGAGCATTAGCTGGCAGTGTGAAGGTTACGTTCTAAGTAGACATAAAAGCAGCAATACAATTATAATAAGCTTCAAAACTATCATTACTGAAAAATATTCGAGACAGAACATATAGCTGCTTTTGACATTTCCCCTCCAATGCTAAAGGCAATGCTGCCTTTCTTGGAATCAGGAACTGGCACTCATGCAGATATAGATCCACTGTCTTCAGTCCCACGTCTAACTATTTATCACCATTGCTAGTCACACATTGTCAAAGTATTTTAAGATCTGCAGATCTTGAACAGCTAGAAACACCAGGGATGACAAAGTATATACTAAGTCAGCCTACATGGGTTTTATGAGCTTGCATGATTCATTATAAGTAAAAAACAAAAAAATCTGGATTTCCTTAGTATTCTCCATGCTTTTTCTCCTATGAACTTGTCTAAAAATGTATGGTTCCTTGTGCTCTAGTCTGGTCCTGAGTTTGCTTCAACATACTCATGCTGGAATAGGTGGCATTATCCCCGATACTCACATCATACCTTTTGGAATTGATTTATTTGAAGCCTTCTAGCAAACATTCTAGCTGGCTATTAACCCAGCTCTGTTCACAGAACAATGAAGCTCTATACTTGAGCTTCCATTTTCACATACTGAGATGGCAGTCATAACAATACCAACTTACCTTGCTGGACAAAGCTTTCCTTCTGTTGCCTCAATATTAATTAGTAGGTATGCTACAGTCAATCCAGCATTATAAAAGTTTGAAAGTGGTGCAAAGATTAAGTCCAACACCACTACCCATTTTCAATTTTTAAAAAAATCATCCCATTAGCTACTGATCTTGTAGCACACAATGGTTGTTACTCCCTATTAGAGTCACATCAACTTATGGCGCTACTATTACTATTTGATAATGCAACAGTTTGCAAGATTAGGTCATAATTCTGGGATGGTTTAAAAGGCACCATTGATCAATTCATCCAAATTATCATGGTGTACTGAAAGGGGTAAATATAATTTGCAAGTATAATACAAGAATAATATAATCTTAGTTAAAAAAACATAGCATTCCTTGCTAGTTGTGATTAATATTCAAAATATGTGCAACATAATTGAGACTGGAAGTGGGCAGAAATATGTGGTATCAGGAACACATCTAGAACCAGCCTGAGTGACAAAAAGAAGTTCCTGCCAGGGACAGAATGCTCTGCCTAGGGCTTAGGAGACACAACCATGAGAGTTTACTCTGTGTTCTTGGGCCAGTCTCTCAGTCTGTCACAGGACTTCTGTGAAGATAAATGCAGAAAACTATATACCACTTTGAGTTCCACAACAGAAAATAACTGTGATGACTTCACAGTATTGTTATAAAATGTGTCCGATCATACACACTATCAACCACATTCTAGTAAGGAACTTTGAACCAATCCACACATTTTCAGGTTGTTTTTTTTTTTTTTTTTTTAGAGCGAGATGATTTAAAATGAATAGATTAAACAGATGCAGCAGACATCTATGTTTAGCTGTAGCTCCCTGTCACAGTATTCACAAAAAGACAATTTACTGTTCATAAATGCCCAAACCTGAATGTGCAATAAGTAGTTTTGACTCCAACTGTAGGCATCTGAATGACTTTAGCTATACTGAGGTACAGAGTGGTCCGACAATAGCATCTTAAATTGCACATCCTCGAGTTAGCTTACTGACCTCGCATAAGTTCAAACTTAAACAGTCTCACCTGCACTTTTTTACTCTGTGTGACATAGTCCACTGTGAACTCTGCAGAGAAATTGGCTAATATGCATATTTTTCCATCCTTATTTTTTACTTGAAATGCTGACGATGCTTGTAAAAACCCTGTGAACAGAAAATACATGAGGAAGATCAAATAGTGCAATGTTAGCATGTATCCTCAAAAGGCACAATCAATATGCTTGTGTAACTGTGGGGTTTGCTGGGAAGGATGAAACACAGAACACAAGCACTTTTAGAATGCTTGCATTGATTTAGCATTTCCTTTTGTTTCTACTACATTATTTTGTGTGGATGATCCACGCCTACTTATAACACACTGCACCACCTATTAGTTTGTTCTTCAAGTTACAACTCCCATCCCGCCACCCCAACCTTGCACAGAACAAGGCTATTTGTGTCAATGTTTATGTAAAATGGTTCATTGCTTATACAGTGCCTGTGAGAAGGCCACAAAAATTACACAAGTGCAACTGGTTTATATTAGCATCCTGCTTCCAATACTGGAGTTTACATATAGCTATCAAGTTTAGTACCCACCCACTTATGCTCCATTAATTTGTTTCAAATCCCTTTTTAAGCCATTCAAATTACTTGGCTTCACTACATCTTCAATATTAACTTCCACAGTCTAACTATGTGCTACGTGAAGTAATTTTATTTATCCTGAAGCTCCTGCCAATCAGCTTTATGGAATGACCCTAGATTCAAATATTATGAGAGGGAGACACATGTTTCCTTTTCCATTTTCACCATCAAAATACATAATTTTATACAATTCTATCAAATCTTCCCTTCAGGGTGGATTTAATTTAAATCAAATTGATTTAAATCACTGGTCAGCAAGACTAGATTTTAAGCCATGCTTTTCTACATAATTTGCACTCATGCCTGCCTGACACATAGGTAGAGGAACTTCATTAAAATATTCCCAAACTGGGTCTCTTTTACAGCCTGCTGTCATTATACGTTTTCTGCTCCAGGGGCAAAAAATAATAAGACAAAGCTCAGGCTATACACAAAAGACTTATGGAGTATTCTGCTCAAAATGTTTCACTTCCATTTTTACTGCTTGCTCCTTCCTTCTCAAACTTAGTTCTTCTTGTGCAGATCTATTCCACTCCCAACAATCATCTATACATTGAAGTTTTTGAAACTCAGCACCTAAGACAGGGATCAAACTTTTTCAACAGGGGGCCAGTTGAAAGGCAGCAGCAGCAAGTGCAGGCTGCTGAGGCAGGGGTTCCCCAGGGTGCGGGCCGGTAAGGTGGTGGCGGCGGGCACCGTAGCAGCTCACTCAGAGATTGTTTCTCCAAGCGAGTCCAAATTGATCTCCAAAACGATCTCCAAGCAAGCAAGCTGCCGTCTAACCACAGGGAGTCCAAAACCTCTGAGGAGGCCTGGATAAATGGGCATGGCGGGCCCGCAGGCCATAGTTTGAGGACCCATGACCTAAGAGGTAAGGGTTTGATTCTGTGTACATAGATTTGCAAAGGAACAATGGGACTAAGGTCTTTTTCTCAACTCTGTATGTTTATTTTATGACATTTTTGCTGTGAAGTGTCATGTGATCTCTGCAAACACAAATTCACAGTTTTGAAGCATCCATGATAATGTCTTCTAGATAGAAAAATTACCCAATAAACTTACAGAAACCTCTGGCAAAGCATGACATTGTGAATGGATTAATGGAATTCATTTACCAAAAACACTGCATGAATATACAGCCTACATAATTAAAAACTAATCCTTATTTCATGATGAATAACCTTTGGACTATAATGTATCTTAAACAGTAAACTGTCTTTAGATAGATTTTTCTTCAAAAAACATTTTTTGTTTTATGATCCCTAAAAAAAAGTGGTAACTGCAAACCTGGACACTTCATTGCTCACTCCTAGTTCCAAATCATATACGATGAAAAGCATTTGTCCCAGTATGGATCCCTGTGGGAACCTACCATTTAATTCTCCATTAGAAGAGTTTACCATTTACTCCGACTCTTTGTTTTCTGCCCTTTAACCAGTTAGTGATCTATAAGATGGCCTCCCCTCTTATTCCTTGACTTCTAAATTTCCTTAAGAGTTTTTGTGGGAATAGATTAGGGTACAAATCAGATGTCTTCTTTAACAATGCTCTAGTTGTTACAGTACAAATAATTGTCAAGGGCAGCTATATAGACCAGCAGGAGTTAATTATTTACTCAGACTGTATTTGTACATCTGTACAAAGGGCAGTTCAAACTTCTGCATTTTTAAAACCATGTGTAGAGTTAAGTGTGTGTGGAACTAAATTGTCATGAGACAGGTGTCATGGAATAGGATGTCTGTTCCCTCTAGCCAGTTATGCTACAGTATTATTTGTCTCCTCTGCTAGGCTTATTCTAAAACAGAGAAAAGAGGAAAAAGTTACACAGCTACTATGTTTGGAAAAGCAGACACCAGAAAGCCAGATACCTCCATGTAAAATAACTGAATGCAAATATTTGCCATCAATATAGCAGTCTTGAGTTAAAGTGCCCGCTATATAGGCAGTCTGGTATGTATTCTCACTCCAAATCCAGCCTGTATACTCTAGCATTTCTTTGTATGTTGCTGAATTGCTCCCTGGGCTATGAGTAATTTGCACTTTCTCCACTTCTACTGTAACAAGCAAGCCATGGAACTACTACAAGTAAAGTTTATGCAGCATGTATGTTTTTAATTGCTGAAGATCAAACTATTAAACTTCCTGTATTGCTTATCTTTAAACTCCAAGGTAGCAACATCCATCAATGCCCTTTTCCCAATTGTAGTAACACTAACTCTTGCCTTCTCTCCACTCCTTGAAGCACAATTACAGAATAACAATTACTATGGATCATAGTGAAAGTTGCAAGGCCTAGCTACCAATATTGGGTCTACTGATCATATTCCTCAATTTGTTTGTCTTTTCTGAACATGGTAGGATTGCAGTAATTCAAGTCTTTTATTAAACTGCATTCATACAAGTTCTTCTAGAGAACTACATTAGCAGCACAGGAACGAAGTCCGCTGCAAATACAGGAAGGCTGTTGAAAAGCTGATTGCAAATGACAAGTTTTATTGCAGCACTGTCATGTTCCATTCGTTTACTGAGATTACCATATATTCAGTCAGGACTAGCTACTGTGAAATGCCAGCTATTCTACAAGGATACAGAAGTTTAGATTATTAGCACAGTAACACATTTAAGACATAAATTTGAAACTATCTGTTCCTGAATTATTTCAGAACAGGAATTAGCAGACTTCAAAACTTGTGGGATCTACTTTCTTTAGTAAGAGCCACAGATCCACCAACCTGAAGCCAGACAGCAACAGATATGTGAAACTAAAGCACTGTGAACTCAGGATTTGTTCCAAATATCCTTTCACACAAAAATCCATGCCTGGTTATTTTCTATTCTCTGCCCCCACCCCGCCCCTTTCAGCAGTGTGTGGTGGGGGCGCTATGTGTGAATCAGTGTTTTCTAGCTCTTCTTGGGAATTAGAAATCCTGTCCATCTAGTGAGGTTTTAAACCATTAATTGCATAGACCAGTGCACTGAAATCTGAATGTCATTGTCTTTAAAGGCTTTTACTTGCAAAAGTAGCATCCTCTAGCTTACTCACTAAGTCATATTAATGGGACATGACACATGTTTTGAATAGAGTATGCAGATATTATATCCTTTTAATCTGAAGGATCTATACAAAATGACTTGCTCTTCAGGATAAATTTATGGGCTACAAGTAGAGGAAGGAAATGAAAGACTGAGTCTAGCCACAGTCCCCTAATCCAAGGCTCACAATACACACTATTAACTACCATTTGAGCATGGCTGCATATATTTGCTGTAGCCCCATCCATATCATTTACGCAATTTATTTATTACTTATTTATTAAAACATTTTTATGCCGCCCCATTCGCCGAAGCCTCGGGGCGGCTTACAACAATAAATAAAACCACATAAATTAAAATATACATATAACATAGTAATAATAATTTAAAATACAATATACACACAATATAAAATAAGCCGCCCTGGCCAGATAAAATTCAGTAGTATTAACATTTAAAATGTTGCTTAAATAAAAAGGTCTTCGCCTGGCGCCGAAAAACAAATAACGACGGCGCCAGGCGGACCTCTCTGGGGAGCGCATTCCATAACTTAGGCGCCACCGCTGAGAAAGCCCTCCTCTGAGTAGCCACCCTCCTAATTTCTCTCACGGAGGGCTCCTGGAGAAGGGCCTCTCCCGCCGATCTCAGGGGGCGACTGGGCATATATGGATGTAAGCGCTCCTTCAGGTAACCAGGACCTGAAGCAATGGCTGAGATCACAGTAGCATCAACACTCCAGGATGGCCTGAATAACCTCTCCCCTGCTCCCCATGATAAATATGCCATTCTGAAGGCAGCCAAATGGTAGCAATGTGTTTTTGGTGTTGGTAATTTAAACACTAGTGATATATAGCAAACTGTGAAACCAGCTTCATGCAAAGATAGCTAATACTAGGATTGCACTTTCTATCTAGTTTGCGAATCAGTGGATAGTTTAATTGTAAATCTTGAAAACGAACCATTCATGGCTATAAAAGCCACATATCAAGACAGTATATTACATCTTCCTGCCAAACAGCGGTACCAGCTCAAATTTCATGCTGGATCAGCTGTTTTATCAGAAGCAGCTCCTCCTGAGTAAGCAATTCTACTTCATGGATAAACAAACTTCAAGTGTTAGGAGAAAATGACTCAAACAAGTTCTAGTGCTTGTACTGTCAGTATCTAGCCACAAACTCCTGAATGCTGTAGCGCAGTTTTGCTCAAACCAGGGTTCCAAATGTTCTATAACAGCCTTGCTCAATGGAGATAGCAGCACTTTCAGTCCAACCCATTTGAGTGGTACCAGGTCAGGGGAGAATGCTGTAATGACTTGTTTGAGGAAATAAGTCATCCTCATCTGTTTCTTAATTATTTTTCCCTTGCACCCAAACACACTTGCTATTTTATCATGACACAATGGTTCACAGAACATGGTCTACAAAACACAGACTAGCTTGCCTGTCCAAGGCATTTCTACATAAACCTTACATCATGCTGTAGAACCAAGTCCAACCAGCTGTATTCTAGTACCTTGATCACAAACTTGAGATTTCCCAGTTCAGCAGATCAAAAAAGTAGCAGCCTATTCAGCCTCATGGAAACTTATGCTAGAGTGCTAGAACTCCATGATCTGAGGAGGACCCCTAGTCAAGGTTACTTATTCCATCCAACAATACACACTTTGTTAAACTAGCTAACATAAAACTGACTGAACCTCAGTTGTTTTAAAAGCTAAAATAAAATGTCAGCTACTATATTTTTAGTGGACACTATAAAGAGAAATTAGAGGATCAGAGAACACAAGATTTGGAGAAACTGTCTAAAATCAACCTAAAACATTTGTGTTAGTATTACAATGCCTAGAAAATGTAACCATCAAAGAGACCATGCTTTGTCAGGCCAACCACTTTTTCATTTTGGTACACAGAGAACCACAAGATAAGTAGATGAGGAGAAATCACATGTGTTCTGCTAAGTGAAGTATCCACAGAAGAAAGCTGAATTCCTGAAATTCAGGAATGATAGAAGAAAGTATCACACCTAGAATAAAATCCAGCAACAAGTTCATGAACTCTTCTTCAACTTGTTCAAGTTCCAAACCACTTAATCAAGTATACATAATGAACAGCTGTATAAGACAGACTGCACTAGTCACAGGCCTGTTGTATTTTCCTAATCTGTTTCAACACCACTAAACCTTGTAAATGAAACCATTCTGATCTCTCTGATACAGCTTTTCATTGCTAACATACCCCAGCTTTGTTTAGGGGAGACACAAATACTGTAGCCTAACAAGGGCACTGGCTGACTTCAATGACACTATCCCCCATATTAAAAGTGATCTTATAACCACGTCTGGGAGAAAGGACTATAGAATATGGATACTGTGGAAAACTTTAGAAAGGAGTGCAATAAGGCAGGCAAACTATTTTAACAATCAGAAAAATCAGTGACATGCCAGATTAAGGACAAATAGAACACCCAATTCCATGAGTAATATTTGTCCTGCATTCTGCACTTCAGCTTTCCCAAAACTTCTAGTATAGTGCATTTATGCAACCAGATACTGACAGCAGTGTACAGAAGGTTTACTTTTAGTTGGATCACTAGCAGCATGTTACATTCAAGGATCATCCACATGATACTGTAAAGCCAGTGTGGTGTAGTGGTTAAGAATACAGAACTGGGTCTCAAGTGATCTAGGTTCTTGTTCTGGCTCAGCCACTGAGCCAACAGAGTGACTTTGGGCAGTCACAGACCCAGCTCAACCCACAGCACAGGGTTGTTGTGGGGATAAGACTGAGAGCAGCAGGAGAATGATGCAAATCACTTTGTATGTTTTAAACAAGGAAAAGGTGGATACGAATCTAATAAATACCTAGTTTTCACAAGAGATGACTGGGAGATGAATAGCCTATTACAAAGCTTTGCCTACTTAATTTTGCTTGCTTAATCAAATAAAGAAATGGGAGAAGCTATTTAACAACACCAGTTCACACACATGAGGAAATGTGTGCTGCAACACTTGGAAGAACAGTTTTAAACCAATTTAAAGAGGCAATGGTTTTGTGTTTGGCACAAACAGTGTTGTAGTCATTTGCAAATGGGTTTCAGATAGGTAGATAAGCACTCCCACACTCAAATGACACAGCAAGATGAAAGATTTTTATATTATATTCATAACTTGAATAGCATAACAAACTATTGCACATGAGAAGTGAGATCATAACTCATCCAAAAAAGTGCCTGCAACATCTGTTCATAATCTGCAACCTTCAATAGCAAAGGAAGCACTGGTGGGAACATTCCCTGCCCCCACTCCAAACAACTTGTTGCTGTAGAAATAGTGAGAAGCTTTTTCCAGGGGAGGGAGGAAGAGTCTACTAGGACAGAAATAATACATTGCAGAGGGTCACCCACAAGCTCTGCAACAACCAAGTTAAAAGATAGGCTTTTTGCAGGGGGGGGTGCACTAAACATAGTAACTGGGAAGGTCCTGCTGATCCAGCAGTAGCTGTTGTACTATTCTTTTTAACTGCAGTATTTAATATTTGCTGTTATCACAACTATAAGGATTCAACAAACAGTGTATCGATGGTATACCACTAGTTTTAACTACAATATTTGAACAGTCTTCAAAAGCAGTGTTACCTTGGAAGGAGGAAAATAATGCAGTGACACATTAAGTTAGGCAGGCATAGCCAAGAGAAATTAGGTTTCAAGGTTTAAGTTACAAGCCATCAATACTTTGTGTATTCAGTTCAGGCAAAGATTGAAAAAACTACAGCTGCAACTAGTTCTACAGTGTACAGAAAGGGAAAGTACTCAGTCACTTCCTCCTGCCTTCAGAGAAAGAAAACATTCACTAGAGCTTTTGCAGAGAGCAGGAGCGTGTGAGTGAGTGCGGAAGTAGCCTTTCCCAATCTGGTGCTCTCCAGATTTTTTGGATTACCCTATTTCTCAACCATTGGCTAAACTGACTGGGGCTGATGGGAACTGCAGTTCAAAACATCTGGAGCTGCCAAGTCAGAGTCAGCTGATTTAAAACCCACAAAGGGGCTTAAGCGCAAATCAGAGGAGGAAGAAAAAGCGTAGCAAAGATTTTGCTACAATAGACATAAGGAAGCAATACAAAACACGAGAAAGGGTTTACTCAGTCACCGTGCTTAAAAATCCGATTTTCGCAAGTACTCTGGTAGGCTGATACCTGTACAGTTGGGCGATACCATCCAATGGGAGAATCTTCACAAGAACACCGGGACGAAGGTGCTGTTCCGAACGGCAAAGGAAACACAAAAAGAAGCCGCATTTCTCCCTATCGTCTCCCAAAGCTAGCAGTTACTTTCTGAAGTAGGGAAGAAAGCATCTGGTCCCACCTGGGGGGCCCCATACCCTTCATTTGGGGTACCTTGCCCACTAAAACGCCCAGATTAACTCACGGCATTTTAAGGGGCAAATGCTTATGCGGCCGAGCCCTCAGCTCGAAATTCAGCCCCGGTGAGCCCCACTCGACAAAGGGGCCGGAGGCAGCACTTTTCCTCTGCAGGGGCTTCCTCGCAGGCCGCCCCGGAGCTGGGAACGTCTAGGCAGGCCCGTGTTGCGAAAAGGGAGCAGCAGCAGAGCAACGTCGCTCAGGTAAACAGCACAGAGCGCGTCGCACAACCCGCTGAGCCGAGGCCTACGGGGGGGAAGGGAAGACGCGGGGACCCGCGTCCCCGTCCCCGACTTCTCCTCTCTCACTCACCCAGCAGAGCCGCCACCAGAAGCAGCTCCCGGACACTTTGCGCCGCCATGACAGGAGCGAGTCGAGTGAGGGAAACGGGCCGAGAACGAGAGGAGCAGTTTCCCCGACGCGGCCCTACAGTGGAGATTGGGCTGGCTCTGAGAAGCGCCAGGAGTCAGTCACATGATCGACGACGTCAACCAGCCCCTCCTTTTCTGCACCCCCAGTCACCTGACCTAAACGACGACCAGCCTCCTTTAATCCAAAAAGAGAAAAGGTGGGACTGAGAAAGGGTGGGGAATGGCCGGTCCGAGCTCGCCGTGATCTCGCGAGAGTTGCGACCAGGCGAGGGAGAACCGGCTTCGCAGCTGCTTCTGCCCCGCCCCCCGCTATCGTGCGGGGAAAGGTCGAGCTGGCGTAACCTCGGGGGGGCTGGATTGGTATTTAATGGAAGTGCTGCCAATCAATAAAGGATGGGTGAAAGTGGGGTTAGTAAAAATTACACAGTAATACTGTTGAAGTACCTAAGAAAAGCTGTGCTAGATAAGACCTGCCAGAGACTCTAAGCTTATCTATGAGGCATAGCTGGTTTTCTTTCCCGTGGCCAAGCAGGTCCGTCTGACAAGCCCGGGAACAGAACGTGAATTTAATAGCAGCCTCTCAGTAGCTGCTATTCAGAGAGATTGCCTCGATACTGGAGTTCATAGCGTGATTAGCAGCCAAGGACAGCCATCTTCTCCGTGGAGTTTCCTAAGTAGGGATCGCTGTCCTCGCTCTACCCTCTGAGAGCGAATTCCGTAATTTAACTAGGCATTGTATAAATTAATACTTCCGTTTATCCTTCTGAATGTCCCACCACTGAGTTTGATGGATTCATCCCAGATCCTGGCATTATGAGGGACACAAAGCCCTTTATATCCATTTTGCTCATATCTTACATTGATGGATTTCTGACATGATCCCCACACTTGCCTTTTCTATAAACTAAAATGCCCCAAATGTTGTGTTATGTTGAATGTGATTCATATCATGCTTGAAAAGTATCAGAAAAACTCAAGCATTATTTTTCTTATTGAATGCTATAGAAGTACTACAAACAAATGTATTATGATTCTCACAGCCATTTTGTTAAAGGCACAGTTACTTGCCCCAGATATTAAGTATTGCCATATTCTACATTGTGTCATTAACTTAAAACGTTTCAAACATTACAAAGTTAATGCAGGAAGGCAGGTCTGTGTGGAAAATGATGTCTTCTTGGTATCTAGATCAGTATGTGAGGAAGTTATATGGGTGTTACTGAGTGTGCACTTAACCATAGACTGTGTGGAAATGTTGCTGCAACTGAAAGCCGCCTGAATCTGAGTAAAAGAAAATAACTTAGTAAACCACGTGCCAATTTTTCTACTACTCCCAAGTTCAAAGGGCAAAAAAGGTGTTTGCAGATGCTCTAACACATAGGATCTCAGCAGGATTTTCTGATAGCTTTTTCAAACAAAAGCTACTGCCTGCTGCAATAGCAATACATGTCATGCACTGATGAAAGGCCTAGCTCTGCTAGCCAGAAGTGCCACATAGCCAGAAATATTATCATGAAGTAGTCAAAAAAGGAGGAGAATCTATTATACCTCAGGGTGAAACAGTAAAAAACCTGTGTATGCATACTCTTTTGAAGTTAGTGATCTTCAGATATAACAGTAACACCTGAGAGTAAATCATGGGTTAATTAGCCTACAAATTGCAAGGATGAGCATCCCAGCCAAACTGCACACAAGGAGCTTTACAAGGACCTTGGTGTTTCTGTGATACCTGAACAGGGTCACTTGGTGTTGTTTGTGAGTTAAACAACTGAGTCAACTCATGGTTCTTGGGTTAACTGGGAGTTATTTAACCCATGAACAAGTCCAAGTGCCCCTGTTTGGATATCACTGAAATAACTTTCCAATGAAGCATTTGAGAGTTATTAAAAGAAGAAAAAAATGGGAAGTGGCTCGTGTGTGGTGCATGTCTGTACAAATAATTCATGATTTGAGGGTGGGTGCCACTGTTACATCAAACAGATTTAAAATATTAGGTGAACACTTAAACTGATTAAGTGCCAGTAAGCTCTAGATTCTGGGCAATTTGGTACAATCTTGCAAGTGGTGGTGGTAAAGTTTCATCCAATTATGTGGAAGGTAATTGAAATGTCAGGTAGATTTTTTTTTTTTTTACTTCTCCAGACAAGAGATCTCAGCTACCTTCAAAGCTTAATATTTCACAGCAGGGATTTGAGACTAATTTGCAAATAGTAATACAGATGTATCTATTAAGAATATCCTCCTGATGACATAAATATACTCTTGTGAAGTGGAAGATAGCAATCTTTCCCACTCGGTTTCAGACCATCAGTTTAAGCATATTGACTAGTAAAACATGTCAAAGAATAGTAACTTGGTAGTGACTATTAAATCTAGATTAAAAATTGTAATGTTGATTACTTGCATTTCATGAGCATAATTCTAAAGTTTGTGGTGAGATAAAGGCAGTACATGGATATCTTTAATTTAATTTTGATTTTACAAATAAACCTTTGTGGATTAGTCTTCATAACATCCTCTAACATGCCTCCATGCCAATTAAAACAAGGAAGTACAATAGCATTTCTTTAAGTGTTACTGTGATGATAGTGCTTTCTAGCAGCTGCTGCTATGTTTGGATATGTTTATCCAATTTGGTCACTCTTCTCTTTCCACAGCGTCAATGTTTAAAAAACATCAACAAACAAATCAGTAGTTCTGACGAGTAAACCTGAGTCCCTTATATGCTTCTATTTTTATTATTTTCTATACTCTAATTTTGTAACTACTTTTATTGCAGTCCAGAAAAGTTGCCTACATTTTCATTAGCAGGCCTCTGTGCAAATTTCAAATCTGAAAAACCACTTTGATGCAGAAAATAAAACAGAGACAAAGAAAAGAAAAATGATGATATACTTTGTAAAATATCAAATCATTAAACTTACACCCCATACAAAGGCCTCATGAAGGCTCCCCCATTTTATACATGTCTGTAAATAAGTTGTATATCTTTTTACATTTAACAAAGTTATCATCGAGGCAGTTTTACTAACATTAGGTAGAAAGACAACAGGCCAATAGATGGTCATATTCATACAGTGGCTAAGAAATTAGTATGTATAAGATATTAAAAGTTAAAATAAGTTTATATTGAATAGTTTTTATATTTGCTTCAATTCGTAGATTGTTAAATAGTAACATGGAAGGAAAAATTCAATGAATGCAACACTTACAGTAACGCAGGGAATTTAATTTGCAGAAGTCAAATAGTACAAGGGAGTTCATAATAATTAAGTTACTAGTTTTATGCAAAGCATTCTGCTAAAGATATTACTAACAGTAATGACTCAAAGGTAAAAAAAACTCCTTTGGTTTCTTCAAAACATACAGTCATTTGCATATCCTGTAAAACCAGCAGTTAGAATTATCAAGTTTACATACTTTTTTTTCTTCAAATTTCAGTCAACTTCCTTATAAACCACATGAAACAAAATATTTTCAAAATCTGTCAACATAAAAACCTATCTGAACAATCCAATCCTCAGCACATGCAGAAACTGTTCTGGGCATATAGGAGGAAAGCAGTATCGTTCTTTCATATGCATAGTTCTCCAAACATGAGGGATATGGTTAAAGGACTCAGTTGTCTCCTCTACTCTCACAACAGGGCCCTAAAGCTTTTAAAATACTTTTAAATGTTCCAAGGTTACACTACACCTATGTGCAATTCTTAGTGTACAGCTAGATTATTCTGTAGTGTTACATGAAAGCTTACAAAGAAATATTCTGGAGTCAGAAAGGGCTTAGCTGGTTCACTCTCATAGAGCCAAAAAGAAAGCCACCAAATGAATAATTTGAGCTAATTATAAAGCTCAGTTAATAGTGTTTATATGCAGTCATCCTCTTGGCACTTGAACTACCTAAACAGGGATAAAGTTTAGAAAGATGTGAAATAAAAACATCAAATAGAAATATTAGAATTTGTTTGCATAGTTAAGAATTCTGTGTACTCAGACTGCTGATAGTTCTTCAACAGAGTTTTAAAAAGAAATCCATATAATCCTTGAAACAAAATAATGCAGCATAAGATTCTTTATGATATGTGAACACAGACAACCAACTAATCTCTTCAGGCCAAATAATTACATCATAGAGGAATGTTACCATTCTACTCCAAAAGAAAGTTTGAACAGAGTTCCCAAAGAAATCAAGAAGCAGATCTGAAAAGAACATGTCTTTGAATACCACCACATACTCTGGTCAAGGATGTTTCAAGTATCTGCGGGGCATGCAGTAATTAACCAACTTCATTTCCAAATCTGCTAAAAATAAGGTTTGGAAACAACACAGGTATCCATTGTTAAGAAATAAATGTCCCTTTGTTTTATAAAAACAGTTTCTTCCTTATCATGCAACATAGTGATACTGATTAGAGTTATCTTTGTCTCTCTCCATATAGTCTCTATCTATGAGTGATTCGATCCGCTTTTTCAAATCTCCAGGCTGCAAAAAGAGAATACATTAATGTTATGTTTAGCAATGTAAGGAAAAAGGAAAGAAAATACAATATACACACAACATAAATGATAACATAAATTGTTCTGTGATCACAGAAAATTTACCTTATAACCACAATTTTATTTAATATGGCTTAATACGTTGTTTTTCTTTGGGGAAAAGATGGGTAAAAAAATCTAAATATTCACTCACCTTCACTGGAAATTTTAGCTGATTATATAACTCTGAAACAAGAATATTGTGACCAAGTGTCTTCCTCATCTTCATTATTCGTACTATAGCAGCATCAATCTGATATTGTCTATCCTGAAACACCCTTTCAGTTGTGCTGACTTGTTCCTCAACCTAAACAACAAGAATAGAAGATTTGCATCTATCTCTCTTTTACACATGTGTTCTCGTATACTTTGATGTTGGGTAGTTATAATATAGCTAAAGGACTTGATCCTCCAAAGCAAAAGTCACAAGGTGACAATGTCAGGATTATTGTATAATTTATACACAACACACTAAGACATTGTGTAAATATTTCATAGCATACCTGCAGAGTTGATTCACATGCAGTGGACATATCCCTAGCCAAAATTACATTTAAAAGTGTAAAGATAAGATTTCCGATATCACATGACAAATATATCCAGATGAACAATAAGAATGTAAAGTACAAAAACAGGTAACTTTTCAGGTTGCATAAAAAAAGCCAGAAATCAGGAGCACTATTCATACATGGGAGAACTTCACTGTTACAGGAAAATTAGTCCCCCTAGTCTTAGAAAAATAATAACAACAAACCCTGTCTATACTTGTAGTACCTGCAAGATGGAACCCTTACTGTCCTTGTGCATTATTTCATTCTTATTGATTTTCTGGATACATCTGTCATGAATATAGCATGTTGGATATCCATTGTTGTAATTGTCTGAAATGAAATAGTGTTTCTATTTTCAAGCAGAATGCCCTTGCTTTATGAATGAAAAATGTTTCTCCTACAAATCAGATTTGTACTTATTCTGTATATATCAGCATATAACACAACTCTTGTATAAGACAAGGTTGATATTTTGAGCTGTTTGTCATATGTCAGGTGTAAAAGATGACCCCCAACTCCTGAACAATAACTCTCACACGCCCAAGTAATGTCAACTAGCTTCAGTAGATATTTGTCAACCAGAAACTTCTAGACTTTCATGATGCGATATATGGAACAAGTGGTCAGGAAATGTTTAAAAAAAAACAAACTAGTTTAGTAGTATGGGATATGATTCATAGTCACACAATGGATGCCACAAAAACTGCATTAGCAGGAAATAACCTACAAAACGAAGTTAAAAATGTAATTGAAAATGTTCTAAATTCAGAAGACTAAGCAAATTATTCAGTATGGTTGGCCACTTTGATACCAGTAAAAAGTTGTTTTAAATGATAATTAATAAAAATGAACTTGTAAATACAATTGTCTTATCTATGCTGATCTTTTTAAAATGTTGAATATAATGCGTTGAAAAAATTTCACCTGGCATAGAAGATGCTGCCCAATTTTTGCTATGTTATTTTTGGTTTCAAGCGGCATCTTGTATGTTGATATATACAGTACTTTCTATATGTTTATAGAGAAAATAACATTTTATCCAGAAAAGATAGAAGTTTTGCTTGAAAACTAAAGCACCACAGTTTCAATTCAATTCAGTTAACTCAGATATACCAATAAGCAAATCATTACAACAAAAATGTAAAGGAGATACTTAATACATACGGTTTCCTTCATCTGGATCTGGTTGATTTTTATTCTGAACAACTTATGCTTGAAATCACCATTAAAGATGAATTTGTCACCATCTTCTACATCCTTGCCTCTTGGACACTTATTTAGTACTCTTGCTTTACCACAGGCCAAAGACTGCAAGGTTCTTTTTAATTCACTATCCTCTATAAAAAGATAGAATACCAACTGTCACAGAAGAATACAAGTAAACATACAAAGCATAGGCTATGGAAGTACCATTCTATAAGCACAAGGTTTGTAAGGCTTTGTTTTCCTTTACAGAATCACTCTTATCTCTCATTATCTCATCAACTTTCCCTAGCATTATTGTCTTCTGCGGTGAGCCCTGCTTTCTCATCAAGTGCCTGAAATACAACACCTTCAGATTTATCAATTTTGCTTCTAGGAAAAGATCTGCCTTGATTTGATCTAGAACTCACTTGTTTGCCTTTGGGTCAGTCCAAGGAATCACAAAGATCTTTTCTTTCAAGCACCATGTTTTGAACACATTATTTTCTTCGTCAGCTTTCTTGTTCAAGCTTTCGCACTCATATATAGGTGTTGAGAATACAATCATGTAGATGATTTTGGACTTGGTATCCAGTGAAATGTCCGTACACTTGATGATCTTTCCTAGTTCCTAGACTTGGGTCACAACCAATTTGGGTCACAACCAGAGTCGTGGAACAGATTAAGTTCGTGAGCCAAGGTACCACTGTACAATATTACTTTGCTATATTCTTTCACCCAAAGAAATACTGCCCTGCCCTGCAACCCCAGTTTCTTTAGGACTAGAAAAGTAGAGAGTAAGGGAAGGAGGGTAACAGAAAAATGGAATGCCATGTTACATTGCTCCAATTATAGACACATACATGTCAGGTTTCACAGGACACATTTGTTCTCAGAAATCCTCAAGGCATATACTCTACAAACTACTACATACCTATAAGAGTGGCTGTTTTAATTTCTTCAAAACTGAATTCATCTCCTTCATTGAACATCAGAAGGACTAATGTTTGAAAAAGTGACACCTGCAATTCCTTCTTCCCCTAAAATGGAAAAACACCACACATGTAATTCTCTCTCTCTCTGTCTCTCTCTCTCTGTCTCTCTCTCTCTGTGTCTCTCTCTCTCTGTGTCTCTCTCTCTCTCTCTCTCTCTCTCTCTCACACACACACACACACACACACACACAGCTCTTTGATTGTGATAGCTTTATTCTCTATGTTGCACCAAGCACTGAACATCAAAGGAATATGCTACATACAAGAGATCTAACAATCTGTAGCTAAACAAAATTCACTGAGACAATGACAGGGCAGACAGGAGAACTGATTAAATAATGTTAAGCATTCCTGCTGTTTGGCCCAAAGTAGCTCTCATAGAAAATTCCCCTGTATCACAGCAAAACTTAAGTTCCAAGAAAGAGCTTTTCTCTGGGCAGAAGCTCTTAACAAGTTGCATAAATCAAGGTAATGGTCTCTGATCTGTTGGGGTAACTTTTCCCCTATGTGAACAGTTGATTCTAAACTGGAATGGTCCATTCCTCCCCTTTCCCAGAGTGCACCCTAAGGACTACTTGTGGGCCAAATGGTGGGAATATCTGACATTACCTAATTGGTCCACCTGTTTGGCCTGGCACTGCCTTACTCCCAGAATCCAGTCTCTTCTCAGGTCCTTGTTCTATAGGGTCTTCCTCTGTGCCCAAGGTGGGTTGGTTCTTAGTCTGATCAGAGTTGCCTGCCAACTACTCCCCTTTTACCCCAATTACCTCACATTGCAAATCCAAACTGGCTGGCTGGGAATGCTGTGTTGTGAGAAAGCTCCACATCCAGGGTGACCAGAAGGAATGAATCACAGCATACTTTGCCCAAAATGAATTCTGCTGAGCATGCTGTGGCACACTGAACAACAATACTGATAATGCATTTAGACATTGTGTACATATTTCATGATTTCATGATACATATCTGCAGAACTGATCTATATGCAGTAGACATACCACTAGCCAAAATAACATTTAAAAAGTGTAAAGAGTTGCAGCTATCTGAAAGATGAGACTTCAGATGACAATGGCCACAATTCTACTTAGTGATTAAGATCTTATTAAGAACTGTTGCTTTTCCTTCTTCCCTTTCCCTTCTCTTTTCCTTTCATGTTATTGTGCCTTTTAAGGTTGGAAGCCTGGGGCCAGGGACTGCCTTATTTAGTTTTTCTTATTTAACTTGAAACCTTTTCAACTGAACAGCAGGCTAAACATTCTTTAAAACAGACAAATAAAAAGGCGATTACTGTTGGATCTACTTCCTTCAAAACCTACTTGTTTGAAATAAATTTACACCCCCAGTTTTGAAATAGTGGAGTCATCATTAGAGTTTCTTCCTCAGAATTTAAAAAAATGTTCTTGCAAAAGAAATCCTGTGGCATGACCAAATGACCACATCTTAAAACCACACTAGAAATGAGCAGTTTTTAAAGGTACAGTAACTTGCAATCTTGTCAAATGAAATGTTTTACTAGGACCATTTTTGCATATATATTTGTTGCATAAACACAGATAAAGTCAATTCTGCTAGAACTGTGTATTTCAATTCCAAATTAGTAATTAGGTTCACTCTCTACAGAAGAAGGACTCATGCTAGTCAGGGTTGGAAGAAAAATGCAGGAATGAGCTGATGTTTCCTCTTTTTTGATGAATCTCCTAATTATATTCTAGGCTTTTCCTTGTGGAAGAGCATGTTCAATCTATAAACTTATAAACCTGAGTGGTCTGTCAGAGTGTATGGTATAATACCACACACACAAAAAGCATATTTATACTTTAAAAAGTTCAGTTTTAAACACAGAGTTATTCAATCAGATCAATCCTGATGATCGTGCAAATTCTGTTCATGCAAATTCTCTGGCCAGCAAAGTAGTACAGAATACTATTTCTATTGTACAAAAGTAAAATAGACTACTGGAAGGAAATCCCTAATTCTGGATCCCCAAAAGTTTTTCAACTCAATCCAGAGTTTGAAACAGCTTGCTTTTGGGGTAAAACTCTGATATGTCTATCCAACAACCCAAAGTTCTGGGTTTTCATGCTACATCAAACTAGGAATGGGGTGTGGTTGCTGATGAAGGTGGAAGCAAAATGAAAGCTGCAAGCATGTAAGAGGTAGCATTCTTGCTTGTTCCAGTGCAGCACCACCAATACATAAACTGGTGTTACATGCAAACCAGTTCAATCACTGTTCTGTAATAGGCCTGCCTGTAGTAGAAAATTATATCTCTTCCCTGAAATATTGCTTAAGTGATGAAGAGTTTGGCTGTTACTGCCATGGCTTGTGTCCTGTGGCCCGCCAAACATTTCAACCTATAACTCTCATCATCTCTTCCCTGTGATATGCTGGCTAGGACTCATGGAAGTTTGAAGCTAAAGCACCTGGATGCCACAGGTTTCCTACTTCAGTGAGCTAACCAAAAAGATTTCTGGTTATGGAAATCTGCCCATGTAAACACTGAGTGGATGAGTTATTCTAAGCCTTTTTGGAACATTCTTTGAAGTGCTTAAAATGTATACCCCTTGTTCATGCCCTACTGGTCATTTATATTTTCAGAAAAAGGTATCCCATACAAAATATCTCATGTTGCAGAACCATAAAGCTAGTGACATTGCCACCTCAGTTCCCAAGCCAGTGGTCACTGAATGCAGGTGTGGTTGAGCTCCATTCACTTTCAAACAGATGTCTGGTGCTTTTTTCAGCTCTTGGGCTGCAATCCTAGACACATGGTTCTTGCTGCTTGGCCAACAACCCTAAACTCCATGGGATTTACTTAGGAGTAGACATGTAAAGGATTGCACCACAGTTAATATGGAGATTCCAAATCCCTACAGAATCTTGTTTAGAAACAGCCCCTGGCTTAACTCTAGGAACTGTTTTTTAAATTCCTATTGGTAAGAAACAAAATTCATGTCTGAAAAAAACATAATACATGTAAATATTAAAAGTGCTTCAGATATATTTCCCATCTTCCTTTCTCCCTAACAAGGAATTGTGTGAAAGGCAGGAAACTGAGCCCAGTAGTCCTCAACACCCAGTCATGCGATAATATTTGAACAGAATGTGCATACATAAAATCAGCTGATGTGTGAAAAATCGTGTGGCTAATTTGTTCCCAAATAAATCTATGATGTACTGCACAATTTTCACCTTCACACATTGACTGCTGTAAGGTTACACTCCACTTAAATGTTTGCCAATGTATAAGTAAGATGGGCAAGACTACATGAGGCATTTATTGTACATTGATCCCTCACTCATGGGTTTGCAGGCCCTTTTCATGACATTCCCTAGAACCTTCCTGTATTTCCCATCCATTTTCATAGAGTGAAAAAGTCAGCTACTACAGTTCAAATGCAGAACAAACCACAATGAAAGTTCCCTCTGTTCTTGCAATACTGCTTTCTTGTGGTTGGATAATGGAATAAACAGAAAGACAGAGAAAGGCAAACTCCAAAAAGAAAAGGCATGTCATGGAATCACTCTTCCTCCCACAAAGAAAGTAGAGGCAGCCTCAAGTAAAGGGGCAGGTTAAATGCCATATATAGCCCACAAGCTCATTTCCTCCCACCTGCCATACACAGAGAAAGAGTAGCGAAGAAAATTGTCTGAAGTCTATGAGAAGATCAACAGTAGCACTGAAATCAGCTCCTCATATATCATGTCCATAATCTGGACTAGTAAATGATCTCATATAATGATATCTAATGCATGGCTGGTACTTATAGCTGCTGTCAAGGTTCCCACAGTTTCAGCACATGATTTCTTTGGAGCCCAATTTTATTACTATTATCCACATATGAAAGCCTGTAACTTGTAGACTGTGGTGCAGGAGTTTACTGACAGTCAACACCAGAAAATCTTTTTGGCCTCTCAAGAGAATGACTAAGGTTATGGAGAAGTTTATATGGTTTCTTTGGGTAGGTACACTAGTTATCTTCTGTGGAATATGAATTTAACTGTTTTATTATCTCTTTTCTTGAATTGGCTTTTCAAGGTTTTAGGTAGGAAAAGGGACTACTTTGAAGAATGATTAAAATATAGTTTTATAATTAGGAACATACTTTGCAAATGTATAACAAGTTACATAATTTAGAACATAAAACTTTCTATGACAACAAAGTGACTGAATCACTACATTTTAAAAGTTAATCTAAAAGTAGTAAATCTCAAACATACCTCTTTAAACTCTGCTTTCAGGACAGCATGTCCTAAACTGGTTTGCCACTGAAGTTTTCGACCACTGTGCTTTCCCAGATAAAATGTTTTAAATATTTCTTGAAGTTTAACCATCTATACTCACATAAGGAAAGGGGAGAAAAATAAATACTATTAAATGCACAATCTGTATCTCATCAGTCATCAGTCTCTTCTCTTTGTTGCCACCAACCAAGCCTCACTCAGAGGTGGCAATCAGAGAAAGGACCCAGAACTTGATCATGGTGTTTTGGTAGGAGGAGGCTTGGGAGAGGCATTCTATCAGGTTTTGCGATCCCAAGCCATGTAGGCTTTGTAAGACAAAACTGGCACCTTGAATTGGTCTTGGAATGATATAGGCAGCCCGTGCAAGCAGGCTAGAATTGGTATTATATGATCAGATCAACTAATCCTTGTTATTAATCCGACTGCCACATTTTACAGAAGTTGCAGCTTCCAAGCAGTCTTCAAGGGCAGCCCCACATAAAGTGCATTGTAGTAATCTAGTTTAGAGATTACCAAACTATACATCAGTGATAGCAGACTACCTCTGTTCAGACAGGGCTGAGCTCCCAGCCAAAACTGGTGTAAGGCACTCAAAGCCACTGAAGCAATCCTTCCAACTGCCCTGGTCATCTCTGTATTCGAGATCAACCAGAGTTGTGACAGGACCACCAGCCATATCAGCTGGAAAATTCCCCGGAGCCCTCTGGAAACCATCCAGATTCATCAGCCTCTGGGGAAAGACCATCTTAATGGGTCCCCTATCCCTGCAGAGAGGGAAAGACACCATTAGTCTAAATTTCAACAGGCAGTAGCCTGACCAGGACAAGGAAGCCGATTCAAGGTCTCCCATCTTCAATCACTACCCCCCTGCCTAGCTGAAAAAAAAACAGATCTAGAGTGTGCCTGCTACACGTGTTGGGCCAAAAACATGCTGGGACATCCTCATGGCTGTCATGGAGTCCATGAAATCCTGAGCCACTAAGACATATTCACTGACATCCCTCAGAACCAACAGCCTCAGGGAACATGCAGCCGAGACAACATTGCAGCTCTGTCAGCTAAGGTAGGGACGCTGTTGGGTTGTGGGGTAGATGGCACTCCAACAGAATCCCCAATCTGTCCCACTGGCCCAACACAAGGTGCAGACACTCTTGGATAGGAGTCAGATGGAAAGGGAACTGAGAGAGAGAGAGAGAGAGAGAGAGAGAGAGAGAGAGAGAGAGAGAGAATTCCTATATAACATCGCAACTCTTCCTCCCCGGTCTTCCAGTCTACCTTGATGCTGTACCAACTCCCAAAGTGGGCAGAGTTTAGAGAGACTAACCCCACCCCTGTTTACTATCCATGCCAGATCAGCCACCTTATTTACTATTAAATAATGGATGAAGGAGGTCTTATTATGTACTGATCTGTCATTCAAAAGCAGCGTCTGGCAGGGTGACAGGGCAACCACTGAACCTACAGTTGGGAGTTGGAATACAGCACAGTCATTAATTGCCTGGGCCATGTTCCCCTTACCTGACTAGTGAACACCATTATCTCCCCCCGCCTGTCACTACGCTAAGTGGCTCCCCACCAGAACTTGGTCCTATCCTCATCCTCCACTGCACATATACAGGGCCTCTGAGGAACAACCCTCTGTCAGGCACAGAGAAGAACACTGCTAGAGGGGGTCCCTGGTTCTTGTGCTCCCCATGAAGTGGCTCCCTCCAAAGGGGCAATCCCCTTTGGCATCCTCCCCTTCAGGGTCTCGTTGCTGCCAGGGGGACTGCCACCCTGCACTGGGCTGGCAGAACGAGTCCTCCTGTGGCTCAGGCCAGCTGTAAGCAGTTGCCCACCCAGTCCACAGCAGGTAGTCTTGTAGGCAGGCCTCTTTGCAGGACTGGGGCCTCTGGAGCTACTCATAGCAGTCCCTCAGTCTACCCAGCCAGGACAGAAAGGCTGATGAGATTACAAGGGAGCTGGTCGAGAGGGATGGTGAAGTGGTAAAGCCAGCCCTCCCACCCTTGCTGAGAGAGTCCAGGGCTGCTGTTCAAGGCTGCAGTCTTCAGGCCTGTTTGGTCTTAAGTGTTCTTCAGATCATATATTAATGAGTACTATGGGGTGAAGATAAGCAGATATGTGTGCTACACTTTACTCTCCGGGATAGGTGTATTTGTGCCTCTTTCAGACTTCTCAAGAAGCAGAGTTCCCTGGTATATTGTGCCTAACAGGGGAGGGACTCAAAAATGAGTCAAAATGTATATTGTTTCAAAAATGTTTCCTTTCTGATATAGTTAAGTTTCTGCTTGCAGGAGTTTTTGACATGGGAGAGGATATTTGGGGATGTAAGCTTTCCAACTGAAGTTATACACTCCTGGAAAGAATTAGAATATGCACCTGCCACATTACAGAGTGACTTCTATGAATAGCATGTGCAGATAGCAGTCTCTTCACTTAGGGGTCAAGACCAAACCTTTATGGGAAAAAACCTGTCCTCAATGCAGAGTTGAAGTCATTCTCAAAGGTGATGAAACCCTCCTTTAGTCTGAAAATCACTGAAATATTTAATGCTCTGACTGGCATATGTGGAACTACAAAGACTACGACTGTAACTTGAAGGGTCCCGATACTTGAGGTCTTCTTGATGAATTACCTCTGGAGGCAGAAGGACATCCATAGGTATATAAGTAGGCCAGTATCCCATTGTAAGTATATTTACTGTTAAATCTATATTGCCTGGATCACTTTGGTTCTGCATGTACTAAGATAAAAAAGAAACAAAATGAGTTTAAATCATGCTATTATGCAGAGTTAAAAATAAAACTGATAGTCATTTTCATGTAAAGCTCAGGTTTATATTATGATAAATTTATATAATTAATTATAGAGAAGCTTATTATTTTTTAAAAAGGGAAATAGATAAGTGTTAAATCCAACATTCAAGTCCACTGATACATGTCCCTCTTTAAAACAGGGATGAGCAACTTCAAAGGGTATGGGGAGCTCTGCTTTCAGCTCACAGAACCCTCTGTGAGCTGCTCTTCTCCTGCCACAGTAAGGAAAAGCACTCCCTACTACCCAGCCAGTTTTCCATTTTTATCTTCTGGAGAACAATAAAAAAAATACATTCACTTGAGAAAAACATGCTGACCAAATTATAATACATTTATTTCAGAATCAAAGATTTTTATATATCTGTACACAATTTTCTAGGAAAACTACTGGAAATTGCACTGCAAACTCCCATTAATAAATGAGGACATCCTTGTGTCAATTGAAATTAATGCAACCGGCCGGCAACATCTTATAGCTGCTCATCACACAAGTGAATTCGGGTAATGCACATCAGGTATTTTCTTTCTACTACTAGCCATAAGACATGTGGTGATGCTAATAGAGTAGTAGGCTTTAAAAGAGGACAAATTAATGGAAGATAGGTCTACTGATGTCAAGACAAATTAACCTTGGGGCATGGCTCCAGGTAAGCTGGACCAGGAGCCTCAAGGGTTTTGTAAGCCTCTTGCTACAGGGTGAGTTTCAGCAGTGGGAAAGGGATAAAGGACGCCTCCCTCCCATGTCTAACCTAGTTATGTTATTTATTGCCAAAGGGTTGCTAATGCCAAAGCCAAGTACTTTATAATAACAAGGTACTTGTGGACACCTCCCTTTTAAAACCTGGGAGCATATTACAAAGCAATGTCCAAGCCTCCAACACTATATTTTTAGGAATGTCTCTGGAGTCAGTTTGGGCCAAAAGCCATTCTTAGAAAATGAAAAAGGTGGGAGGCTTCAGTCCAGCACTTCAATTTGAAGCACACTCAATGAAAAGAAAGCTGCGGAGAACCATCCTTCGGCACAGGGGTTCCCAACTTTCCTGACCCAAGGTCTCATTTGGGAAGATGAGAAACTTCTGTGCACACCATCCCAAAATAGCTCCCACAGAGGATTTGACTAGTCACATAATGGCCAACATGGGGGGTTTGGCTGGTTAAAAGAGGTGTGGGGAAAGGGGGAAATAGCAAGTCAACAGGGCAGCGGGCAAAAAAGGAGTGATACTAGGCTGGCTAAGGCTAGGAATGGAGAGACACAGCATGTTAAAAGGGCGAGTGGGAGAGGATAAGCCTGGCTAAGTGCTAGCATGGGAGATAAAGAAGGTAGCTAGGGATGGGGAAGGGACAGAAATAATGAACAAAAGGATTTGGTGGAGAGGAACAGGAAGCCTAAGGGCCAGGAGCCGAGACAGAGGAAAAGCAAACGGGAAAGGAATGTATGGCAGGCAAAGATTACATGGAGCCGGGAAGCAATCCTTTCCTTTTCTTCCAGCCCACAGAACAGCTGACTAGTGACAGTTCGAGGAACAGGAAAGAGAACACAGTGCTCTAATTTTTTTCAAGTATTTCATTAAAAATAACTTTTCGAAGGGGGTAAGAAGTAAAAAGCTTAGCAGGTACCTCATGCGGGAGTTATGGCAAGGAAGAGGGTTTTGCCTATTCTGTGCATTTTACCTGGGGTTGGTTTGTTTTAGTGTGTACTATGTGTTGGTGACTGATTTATTTGCTTGCATGCAGTTAAAGTGCTGGACTAGGGACCTGGGAGATCTGGGTTCTAGTCTGCTCTCAGCCATGAAGCTCACTGAGTGACTTTGGGTCAGCCACTCACTGCCAGTCTATGCCTACTTCACAGGGTTCTTGTTGTGAGGATAAAATGGGAGCTATGTGAGTGGCCTTGGGTTCCTCACAAAAGGAAAAAAAGATGGCATATAAATGCACAATAATAATATGATGATGATAATTACATTTTCTGCCTGGATCGTTTTGTTTTTTATGTGTTTGGCCTTTTGCCTAGGATGTGTGTGTGCATGCACGTGTCTGCAGGGGCGTTTTTCCTACCTGTATAATGATGTGATCCCATTCGCATGGTGTAGGAAAGGAAATGCAATCTTGCATAAAAATAGGCCATTTGCTAGTGGAATAATATTGGCACTGAAAAAAACATCATTGTACTATCCCAACCAAAGTTAGAACGTACCTGTTTAAACTGAACCATAATGTCTTTGGAAAGTTCCATATCCTTAAACATTCCTTCCAATTTACTAGTGAAAGCAGCACCACATTCTATCATATAGACAAAAACAGAAAGATACCATGTATGCAATAATTCTGACTGCCCTTTAGACACATAACAAAAATCCCAAACCATGTCAGAAATGTCTCAGAATGAGCCATGAGACAAACGTTCTTCTTCTTAAACATGACATTTTTATAGAATCATACATCTCAGTAAATTTTCCCTTGCAGCAGTGGAATCCTAGTTATCTATATGAGGATCTCTGATGGAAGCAGTGGAGAGAATAGATGGAGAAGAATATGTTAGAGATGGTGGCATCCTGATAAAATTATTTGTAATGTGCAGTTTGAGAACCAATTGCTTACCATGCTTAAGCTTAGATAACATAGATTTCTCAGCATCTACTGAAGCACTTTTTCCAACCAGCAGTCTTTTAGCCAAATCCTTTTTATAAAATGCTTCAAACACATCTTTACCTGCATGGATAATGGGGGGGGGGGGCAGAGGGGGGAAACACACAAAGGCATATATAGTTGAATTTGAAGGCTACTTTGCTTAGCATCATAAATTGAAATCTGGCAGCAAAGTAGACATATAATGATTTTAAAGCCAGGCTTAATTTTAAAAATGTATTGGAACACTTATTTCTGACATTTTGAAATAGTTGCTGGGCTTTGTTTTATATAATTAAATGTTATCTTCCTATCTGACTGTGACACTCAATTATACTTTGCTCTTTTTATTACTTATTTATTCAGTACCTTTAATCTAGGATTTTGAAATAAATTACACAAATTAAAATATGTAACGTAAAAATAAAAGCATACAAAACCATCAGCAGATATAAGCACAATTGAAAGCCAGGAATTTTAAAATGTTCACTATTATAAAATGATATTAAAATGCCTGAGTAAATAAAAACCTTTTTTCCTGATGCCCAATAGGCAGCAAAGTTGGTGCTGAGTGGAGAAAACATTCAAAAGGATAATTTACATTGGCATTCCACTGCTGGGGTGCCACTGCCAAACTAGATATCCCCCTTGATGTTAACCTGTGCACATCTCTACTAAAAAAGAAGTAGTACTTCATTTTGTAATTTCACCAGATAGGCTGGAGTTAGGTGGTCTATGTGGAACTCTTAGACAGGTCATGGAACTCATGGCTCCCCTAGCATACCCCTCCACTAGGCATTTGCTCAAAATTTGGGAGATTCCCCCAAAATCCCCCCCTTTTTTTACAAACAAGATGGCATCCACAGCAAGCTAATTTTGACCCTTTGCACATTACACAGCAACTCTGGAAGCCATTATTTAGACTTTGGCTGCTTTTTTGGGCACCTCTGCTCCAATGAGAAGTATTTTGTGCCAGCTGTAGCCTTTGCCATAATACCTGCCATGCAGGCGGATCCTCGAATTCCTAGGAACAGCTCTCTGGCATGCCCAAAGAACTGTGGCAAATATGGGTTCCCAGGAAGCCTCCTCATACGAACAGGACTATGTAACTCTTTGGATTCAAGTCTTAAATGGAAGTAGACCATTCTCCAATGAACTTTGCTTTCATTTGGGTGCCAGGGGACAGTGTCACCATAAAGTTAGTTCTCTGCTGCTTTTCCTTAAACATTATGCTTGAAGCCTAGCGGAACAACAAACCAAAAAAAAAAAAAAAAAAAAAAAACTGTGGACAGATCACACAGATTCTGCTATGATTTGTCCACAACAATGGGCACAGAACAGGTCATGGCTGTGTGGGTGTAGAATGGACAATTCCATCTCCCTCTTCTCCTCCCTTTCCTAAAGTCATTGCAGGCTCTTGATCAATCTGGTTCTGCTGTTCTAAATTTTTAGAGAATAATGTCTGTAAGGAAGGGATTTATTGCAGCTTCCAGCCCTCTGTCTTATGCTGTGATCCATACAGGTAGAAAAAGAAAGTTCAAAGAAGCAATTTTTTGGTAGTTACAAGTCACTGGGACTCCATGCTGCACTCAGTCCAAGAGATGTGCAAAACAGTATGAAGGGCTGAGTGGTTGTCACTCCATCCCTTCTCTGCAATCTCTGTGGATCCTGAAAGGGCTGCTTTTTAGAGACTGCAATCATCTCAGTGACACAATCTCTGGTGAGTCAGAAAGCATGTGCACTCTTGCTGTAAAATGTCTTGGCACCACACCCACTTCACTCAGATTAGTAAGCACTTGTTTCTTGGAAAGGATTTTTTTGTAGTACCTGTGCAATTCTGGAACTGCAGCTGCAATCAGATAACAGCTATTGAAGCAAAATCTATAGGCATATTTGAGTCTTATAGTTCAGTAGTTACCTCTCTTGTTAGGGACATTAAGGACATCACATTCTGGGAGATAACAAAATTTGGGAAGCTGCTAATATTAAAGGGCTGCTAATGTTGATGCCAGAAACCAGAAGCAATGCTGCTGTAGATGAACCAAATGATTTTTTTTGTAAAGAATGAGGAAATGATACCAGTCGGAAGGATGAGAAGGAGGGAACAGAACTGACCCACTGTGACAATTTGCCACAATGGCTTGTTGTGATGTGTAAACCTGCCCAGTGAGCCACCTGCAGAATGTTTGTAACCAGCATGGAAAGGGGGCCTAGCTTTTTTATAATACAGTATTCCCAGTCAGACTGTTCAGATTCAGAAAGTGAAATAAATTGGGTAGGAGGAGAAAAGTTTGGGCGGTGATGCTGAAGAATCAAGGTTAACCAGTTGAGATTAGTCAGGTAGCAACTGAGAGCCAACCCATCTTGGGACTAGGAAGCAACACTTCAAAGCAAGAGGAGGAAGAAAATGAATTCCTAAATCCAGTAAGGTGACATCAGGGCAACAGGAGGACCAATTATAGAATGTCAGGCATTCCTGCCATTTGGTCCAAAAGTAGCTCTCACAGAAAACACCCTGTATCACAGCAAACCCAAGAAAGGACTTTTCTATGAGAGCACTGAACAAATTGCACAGATCAAAATAATGATCCCCCAGTCTGTGGTGTTAGCTTCTGCCCATGTGAAGAGTTGATTCCAAACTGGAATGGCCCTCTCCTCCCTTCTGTTTCTCAGAATCTCAACGGCACCCTCTTGACCACTGGTGGGCGAAATGGTGGGAATGTCTGGCATTATATTGTTGGCACACCCATTTGGACTGGCACCACCTCATTAGGCCTAGGAATTTACTCTCCCCCACCCACTTGTTCATCTTTCCTGTGGTCAAGATGGGTTGGTCCTCAATCCCTGCCTCACTAGTCTCACTTGTTAACCTCGGCTTTCCAGTACCACCTTTCAATTCCACCCCTTCTACCCCATGTATCTCATATTCTGAAGCTGAACTATCTGACTGAGAATGCTGTACTGTGAGAAATCCAGTGTCACCAGGAGGAATGAATCACAGCACGCTTTGTCCTAAGTGAAGTCTGCTGAGCACACTGTTGCAATCAAGTCACAGCAGCACAGTCACAGGAGGAAACCACTTGCCACATATGCAATGACAGTCAGTAAATGATTGCACAATTTATTAGCTTCTTTGTACAAAGGAAGAATTTCAACACAATGAAGGCCAATCACCAAACAAACAAACAAACAAACCCCCACGCACAAGCGTTTTGTTCATTCAGAACTGGATTCTGCATTACTGAGGTTTGGGCTTTTCCTAAATGCCCTTTTGCACAAAAATAACGTAGTGATTTGTATTGGGCCACATGTATCAGGCCCGCGGTATACTGGCTCAAAGTATGCCTTCCTTCACACAGTTGCTTAAAAAGGAACTTCTTACCATGAATAAATCTGAATATTATCATTATTTTGTCAAGGATTCTTTCCAGTTCTTCATCTGTTGCTTCTTTATTGCCAGCTCTTAGTTTTGAATCCACATGCTTTGCTATAAATGTTAAAAATAAAAAGTTAAAAATAATCCTGAAATAAGTCACCTGGATTTCCACATATTAGATTAGTTTTAAAGCACCTATAGCTATATTAGGTGCTATTCAAACATTGAAAGAAATCACTCCATGCCAAAAGTTTATAATCTAAAAAAGATATGACACCTGAAGAAAGTTGGAGAAAGGAAAAGCAATATCAATTCAACAACCCAAGTTTAAAGATTAGCAGTTGTGGTTTTCCAGCTGCATATGAATAGGTCAATTTAATTGACTTCAATGACATTTATGCAGCCTGTGTAAAGGATTGCAATAGCTACAGGATTTTAAAAACTGAAATTTTGCATTTGACTCCAGAGGAGAAGAAACACAATATAAGGGCAAGTAAGGAAAAAGAAATAGATGGGATTTGCAAAGATTCTTGATGGAAGCATGACCAGTATTAATGGACATAAGTTCTGGATATATACAAGTGATTATGAAGAAATACAAAGCTTAGGGAGAAGCAAGAGAGATAGTGACTGTGAGGTGATAAAAGGGAGAGAGAGAATAGTATCACATATCTTAATTTGTTTAGCCAGGAAGAATAAACAATTTGAAATTTATACATGAAAGTACAAAAAGCCAATAGAACAATAGGAAGCTCTTTTAATACTCTATCTTTTCCAATCAGTCTCCAGTTTGAACTGTGATGAACCATTTCATTTGGGATGATTTATAAACAGGCTAGCATGAGTTTGCTTGTTTACCAAGCAAGTGGAGGCTTTATGTAGCAGGATATGGCTACATCACAAAACATTCTAAATCTGATTGTATTTTCCCTAGGCTTCCTGGTGTATAGTAGAGCCTGGCTTAAGGACTGGAACACTGTGCTTAAGCAGTCCTACTGCTACTTGGAGGGCCAATTCCAGAAAGCAGTACTAGAAACCACTGCTCAGCAGATACTCTTACACTATGTATCCTTTGCTATTTAGCATAAAATAGCAGTATAAAGTGATCAATTGATTTGGATGTCAGTACACTGATAATACCTAACACTACTTTTATTTTTCATCCAATTCAGGTGAGGCAGTGGAAGTACTGAAGGCCAGTCCTGTCGGAGCAGAGGTACTTCTGTGGAAGGATGGTACATCCAACCAGGGAGATTATGCTCATTCTGCTTGGAATGTGGGAACACACTCTTCTTAAATCAGGAACGGGGAAGACATGGCACTCCAGATGAGGTTGGACTGCAAATCCCATCTGGCACAGGCAGCATAGCCTATGGGGAGTGGCGATCAAATAACTGCTGGAAGGCCACCTGCTAGTCCCATCCCACCCATACCCTAAATGATTAAGTTTGCATTCTAGCAGGATTAATGCACCATAATCACAAGTGCCTTCCTCCATTTGAAACTTGTGAGTCAGCTGCAACCCCTCCCAGTCAGAGGGAGCCAGGCCAGCAGTGTGTGTGAAGCTGTCTCTGGAGACTTCTCAGAAACCTCAGTTAGAACATACATAGCTTAGCCCAAAATGCCTGGATAGAAACTGGGACCAGCCAAAGGAAGCATATCTTGCCAGTTCAAAACAAACTATACTAGCTACTGAGCCATTTCCAAGCACAATGCAAAATGCTACTGCTTGCTTTAAAGGTTTTTACAGATTGAGACATGAATTACCGTCTTTTCCCCCATAGACCTGGTTGTACACCAAGGTCATCGCTGGAGGCCTTTCTGTGAGTGCACCCACTTAAGCTGGTGGTAGGCAAGGAACTACCAGAGGCTTTCTCAGCTGCGGAACCCTGTCTTTGGGAAACTAACCTCTCACTCTTATGCTCTTTCAGAGCCAGGCAAAGGCCCCTTTATTTTCACAGATCAGTATAAATGTTATTCTTTTGATACATTGTTTATTGAGTAATTGTCAGCTTTCCTAAGGGTATATAATTAAAGTGCAATATATACATTTTGTAAATGAAATTCAACAGAGTAAAATTAAAAGAACAATATTTTCTCTCTCATCAAGGTTGGTTGATTACACTTCTGAAATGTACCTCTTTTCCCATTTTCTTTCCCAAAACCAAGATCTTATTTATCTTGAAGTAAATACAGGTGCTCTAGCAATGTTGAAATGTAAGTGAGTCCAATAGAAGTCCTCCTTAGAGTGTTTGAGCATTTTATCACTTATTCGCATGACAAATGGCCAAATTTCACCCATGGGTATTTCACCCACTGCTCAGAAGAAAAAACTGCATGAACGCATGTCAGAATTCCTAAGAAAGTATGTTTATGTGTTCTCTTCCCAGCACTGGACTCTCTCATCCTCAAAATGTTACCTTTAGTTAATTCCATTGCTGTCGGGAGTACAAACTATCTGGCCTTCTATATATCATGTTCAGCCAATATATAGATGGCTATCTGCTCTGTCTTTTGCAGTAGGGGTCAATGGAACAACCTTCTTGTTTTACTAAAGCGCTTTGAATGTATATACGTTTGGACAGTTTTGGCTTCTTTCAGGACTACTTTTTTGGATTCCTCTGGTTTTCCTTTTTTTCTTTCATCCAATTATCCCCAGTAACAAGCAGCACAACCTAAGTTGTCTCATCTCTTTTTAATAGGATTCTATCCTAACAGTAGCATTAATATTTTGATGTAATTTCCTAAGCAAACAGCACTGCAGTCAGAATAAAAGCAAGCACAGATGCATGAGTAGCACAAGCAAATATGCCTCTAATTATGAAGCAGCCCTCCTTATCAGAGCACACACAGAAGTAAATATATGCATAGAACAGATATTGAATGGCTGTACTCTGGCATATATAGCAATGCAACCCTATAACTATGGGTTTAGAAAATAATATTTTTACAGAAAAATATTGATACCTATCAGTTCTGCTGGTTTATTTGGTCTTTTGTTGATAAATGTTTCAAAAGATTCCTTCATCAAGTTTATACATTTCTCATTTTTCTGAAAACACACTTCTATGATATGATCCACTTTGTCCTTAAAATCTAGCAGCTCTTGCACCATATCCTTGTCTTTTTCAGGATTTACCACTATTGTTGTCCCAAAGTTCTGTAAAACAAACACTTTTGATAATCAAATATGTCAGTAGTACTTACCTCTCTCACCTTCTAATATTCCCCACTCTTGAAGAATTTCAGTAAAAAATAATTAAAAAATAATTCATCACAGTTGCTTTAATGCAACTGAAACAGCAAAAGCACTAAAATGTGAATTACATCTATTTTAAAACAGAATCAGACAAATACTTAAATGAACCGAGGCTTATCTTCCAAGTGATGCGAAACAAGAAACTGAGCACTAGATGTGTGTTAAGAGAATAAGCTTACTTTCCCAGGGCTTGCGCATTCCTCCCTCCTCATCTGGTGTGACTGCAAAATGAAACAGGCTCCTGTTTCTGAGTAACTTTGGCATGCTGTCAGAACCCTAAACTGTGATTCATCTTAACTAGGGTCCGTGGAAACAAGTCAGTGGGGTGGGCAGGTTTGGGTGGCTTGCAGGCAATTTCCCCCGCAAAAAACACTGCGGGGGGTTGCGTACCTGCTGCTACAGCACTGAAATCTGGCAGCAGGACAACAAGAAAAACAAAACAAAAACAAAACAAAAAAAGGAAAGAACTACCCTGGAGGATTACAGTCAAAACTCAGCAGCAGAGTACTATGAGAATCAAAAGGTCAAATAAAGCACTTTAAGTCTCCATAGTGGGGTTTTGTTTTGTTTTGCCACTGCTGCGCCGCTGAATTTTACAGGGGCTGCTCAAGACCACTGGAGGCTTCATGCAGTCCACAGCCTGTATGTTTCTCACCTTGGTTTATAGCACACATGATACACTTAACTGTGGCCAGTCAGAAACAGAAACTTCCAATCTTCCTCAATCCTACTAGATCCAAAGGGAAGGGTGCAAGCAACATGAGGGATGGGAAAAGGCTAGGCTTGTTCTTGTAATGCTAGACAATGCTTGCATATTATGTCTGAGCACAGCCAACAATTAGTAATCAAACAATAATATGAATTAGAACATTTGTACACAGAATGTTTAGAATAATAATATCCTTTGGAGGACTTCTAACGAAATCTTCCATTGCTAAATCACTTCTCACACTGTTTCCCACACTGTGAATCCCTGTTTTGTAGGTCTTTTCATTCTTGAATGAAGTACATGATTATGTACTTTTAAAAATTGCAAAACTTACTTGTTTACTCAAGCTTTTCCCAACCATTAACTTATCTAGATATTCTTATGCTTTTAATGCTGTTTTGCTGTATGTTGTGAACTGCTTTAGGATTTTTAAAATGGAAAACAGTATAATAAATAATGTAATGGGTAGTGCTTGGTAGGCTATTAAGTTTTGTTTTTTAAAGAAAATATTGTTTGTATTTCTACAAAACTTGACGTTCCCCCAACTATGCTGGTACCAGTCTCAGTTTTCATTTTGCCTCCATTTCTGTTAGTTCTCACCACCTTAGCTCAAATCAGAGGAAGCAGCATGAATTAAAATGATCTCAGGCAAAGGTGACCTTTACTATGTCACTCTCGCACTTACTGCATCAATGCCACAAATATCCAGAGCCTTGCATATCAAAGCAATCTGACAATGGAAAGTCCTACTTCTTTTTTCCTGACTATAATGCCATTTTTAAAGACCTCATCATTGAATGGTTGAAAGGCTGAACCCAACATTGTTTCATGTTTAAGTATATGTTTAAAGCTGCATATTAAGCTTACATTTTTCCAAGTTTTAGTGGATTCACTTGTTCAGTGGATTCAACAATTATTGCTGATGCTTTTAAATTCTTTTTGCTTTTGTATCTTATCACTTGTTTTATTGTATTTGTTTTTATCAGCTATAGGCAATTCATAGGCAAGTTATGACGATAGCACTTTCCTCCAGTCCTACAATAATCTTTTCTACTTTAAGATAAGGTCATAAACGTAGAAATAACCAGTTCTCTTCCTTAAAGATTGGTTCTCTTGTCAGCTTTGCAATTCTTCTGTTACTATAAACAATTCCACCAAAACAGGAGAAAGTCCCGAACCTTTACAGTAGTTCCAACAATACTATCCATTGTTTTCTAGAGCTGTTTTAATTATAAGAAGGGAGCCCAGATCTTCTTCAAATGGATACTATCTAGGAAGCTGAGCCATATTCCAAATATCCTAAATATTTGTTCATTTGTGTGTGTATATGAGATATTTACATCTTAAACAGGTTGTTTACTGCTCTCTGACTACTTCCATGTTTTTGCATTCCCTCCCAATATATAAATTCAGCTCTTCTTGAAGCCGAATGGGTATTTTTTCCTCTAGTTATGGCAACTAGTCAAAATGGTTTCTGTCACTTAATACAATGAGATTTTCAAAAAATTGCAAAAAAAATAGTAGTCAAGTTTCAAGCAAGCAGTGTTTCTTTTGTCACCCTAATGTAACTTTTTCCAGATGTGTAGAACAAAGTAATTTTCAACTTGATAATAGCACTAAAATAGGAATTTGTGTACAAGTAAAACTCAAGTTTTTCAAAGCTTTCCTAGTTCCTCCTCAGAGGTCATTCTGTCTCAGTTACTCATTCAGATTGAACTCCTTTGCTTTCCACCTGAAAATGTGCACGCATTTTCATGCATATTTTCCTGAATGTCTGCAGCAATTGTGCATATCCTTGAAAGTATACATTTCTCTCCCATTGATTAAAGAATGTTAGTTTGCGTTTTTGAAAAGTACACAACTTTTCATGTATATTTTTCAAATTCATGCATGCTGATAAATTCATTTTTGTCTGCTAATCACATTGCAAACTTGGAAATGCAGATTGCATGAGTCCATGTTCAATCCAGAAATTGGAAAATATCCTTCAAAAATGACCTGAAACTAATTTCTCATGCATCATCAGACAAAAGGCAAGTTATAATACAACTATGTATCAGATGAACCTTTCTTTGTTTTGACTGGTGACAGACATGACTGCTGATCAATGGAAGGCAAGTGGGAAGTGGCCAGAATTTATCAAATGTCAAGAACTTTCAAACTATATACACATCAGCTCTGTTCTGAATTATATACAACCAATTTCTGACTGGATTAGAAAGGGTTTTGAGGTATGAGTCTCAAAGGTTTAGGATACAAATGATGCAGCCCTATGTTTAGAGAAACGCAGTACCACAGCTCCTAGCAAGCCATGCTAAACATATGTAAGATTACATTCTAAGTATTCTAGATCAATACTAAGTGATTCAATTCCAACAATTTTTACCTCTGCAAGAAAACAAAACACAAATGTAAATACCTTGATGTATTCACTCCAGGACTGCAGAAGAAGCTGTTGTCCACCTTTCACACGGTTGAAAAGCTGACACATCTGGGTCAGATCTGCAATTCTGTTTTCATCAAGCAGATTATCAAATCCTAAAATAAGAGAAACAGATTGAAAGTGTTGTTACTATTAGAAAAAAAGAACAGAGCTTGACCACAAGCTTAATCAACAGAAGCCCAGTATAATGGCTCCTGTAAGTATTTAGGCTTTACTATTTATTGAAAAGAATTAATATGTGATTGACAAATGCTATCCTGAATCCATGCCTGGTCATAGCAATAGGCTGGGTGGGAGCCAATAAATCAAAATTTAATTCAGAAAAGGCATACATCCTCAGCTTTTTATCATCTTTAATTAATAAACCAACTATGTCCCTACCTGGCTACACTTATCTATGAACTAGTACCCTCCCCCACCAGATTGTTACAATACATTACATCTGGGGTTGCCTCTGAAGACTGTTTGCAAACTTCAGTTAGTGCAGATTAGAGAAACAAGACTGACTTTTCAGGCTGGCTGTTTTGAACATATTACTTCAGTGCTGTGTTAAATGTATAGGTTGCCAACCTTACAGGGCTGAATCAAAATTGACCTTTTAAGCCTTAAGTATCTTAGAATCGAGTCAAATCACCAAGATCAACTTACTATAAAATGCAAGCTGATTATCCAGTTTTTGGCTAAAAAAGCTAATTAGAAAAGTACCTTTTTGCAAAATAGCTGCTAAGTGTTCTCCTAACAGCTGCCTCTCCACGCAAGCAATTAGTGGCTTCCTGTTTAAGGCAAGAAAAAGAATCCATCAATTCCTCTATGAATTAGGAGGATCTTCCATAGGTGTGCAGGTATATGCTCTTGGTTGCACATCCACTACAATACACTATAATTTTAGACATATATACAAATATAGACATATATACAAATTTAAGTCCATCACTTCTATGTTAAACTAAATCTGCAGAGTAGATAGCAGAATTAAAACATTACGGAAACAGCTGAGCCGTAACCTATATAGAATCCCTATTCATTTTAAATGGAGATACATACTAATCAAAAGGAAAAAGATCATAAATATGAGAGACAAGGCATTTACTTATTATATACTGATGTTAAAAGTATGTAGTTGTGAGACTAGGTGAGACAGCCTGAAGATTTGCAAGCCGTTCTGTACATTTCTAGTATGATTACAATGTAATAGTTGTACAATGTAATAGTACTTCCACAGGAGGTGGTTGAGGCCCCATTGGTGAGGGTGTTCAAGGATAGGTTAGACATGCACATGGTAGACATGCCATGAGCGAAGCCAGCTAGAGCCGGGGGTCAGACTAGATAGCTCGGGAGGCCCCTTCTGACTTGCTGTGTTTCTGTTTCTAATGTATGTGCACAGCAGAATGAGGCTTAATTGACTATTAAGCTGAACAGAAGCAACTGGACATCTGATACACCAAGGGATTCTTCCATACTTTGCAGACTGCCACATATAACCAAATTTTGTGGGTACACATAATCTGGAGATTTTCCTTGTCAAGGGATGACTCCTTTTTGAATCCTACCCATTGGCACAGAACTAGACTTTACTATTAGAGGACATGTGGGGAACTGCAACAAAATATTACATTTTCCTCAGTAGCAGGACCTTGCACTTTTTTCTTTCACATTCTATCAGGAGTCATTTCAATCCATTGCTGCTGTCTTCCAATAACATGGTATCATCTGCATGAAAATTCTCTTCCACCAATATTGGGAGCAGTCTGAACTTTAATGGAGCTGCCCATAGTGCTGAGTCCTGCTCCCAAAAGAGATCCAGCACTACAGATAGCTCTTTTAACATTCAGAGTAAAATCTATAGTACATATACAGCCCTGTTGACATTGGACCATCAGGCTGCATCACCTACAGGAATATTTTAGACAGCCTGGAACAAGAACTTTGTATAGGTCGTGGGGAGGGCGGCAGCTTCAGGAGGCAAGGGGTGCCTTTTTTCTGTTCCATCTTCCTAAGATACTCTCCTGTTATGCTATACTGTGCTAAAGTGTTCAGGTTCAGGCATGGCTAGCAGCTTTATTGCTATGAAGTGGTGGGATGTTCCTGGAAAGTGGAAAAAGAAAAGTGTCTTTTTTTTTCTCTTCCTCCCCAAACTTCCAAAATACTACAGAGGATATTTAAAAAATAATAATTTCATGATAGATGAGATACAGCCTTATCTCTAGGATGTCAAATCCATTAAAGGGTCAGAGAAACCAATCCTTCATCCACCTAGCCCACATTCTAATTTAACCTCAACTTTAATGCTGGCCTGGAAGCCATTATGCTTGGAGCCTGCTTCCTTTAATTTGCAAACTGATTTATTTATGCTCGCTAAATAAGTCTTAAGTAACCATGATCTTGTTTTAGACTAGCTTCATTCACCACCAACCAAACCAGAGGCACCCACCAGACATACCAGACCACCCAAACTCCTTATCAGAAGAAACTTGTCTTAAATGCTAAGAATTCATTTAAAAAAGACAATAACATAACATGGCAGGAACAATAGAATGGCAATTAAGAGCAATAAATTACTAGCTGGCACCTATTGTGAGCCAACCTTTCTCCCATGTATTTCTGAACAATCTGAAAGGATTAAACTCACAGCAGATAACACTGAAATTAACTTTTCATGTAATTATAATTGTATAAAAGATGGTTTCACCAATTGCACTCTTAGATATGAACATAATATAGTTTTCTATGGAACCATATTTTAAAACAAAAAGAAATAAAGGAAAGTAAAAAAAAGGAAGAACTCACTGTGTGCTATGATCTAAATATGTTACTACCCTATCTGCTTCTTCTTCTAAACGTTTGTTAACATGATGAAGATATTCTGGGATCTGTCAAATATAAAGATATATGTTTGGAAGGGTGTTTTCTATTACAAAAAGAGAGGTGTGCAATTTTAAAATATCAGCTCTTACAAGTCCAGACTACTGAATACTCAAACAACATGCACCATGCTCTCAAGTAGCATTGAAATAGCATTGAGTAGCATTCATGGTATCATCAAGAAACCTGTCTCTGGATAAATATTGCAAATACAAAACTGGAGGGAGTATGGCTGAATGCAACTACTTCAGCTTCTTCTAGGGGAGCCAGTATGCATTTCATATTTTTAAAAGAGTACTCTTAACCAACATATTTTGGATGGCAACATATTTAAGTTGTTTAACAGAAGCACATGTACCCAAAATTCCTACAGCTGTTATAGATTTTGATGTGTTCTTTTCAATTCAGTTTCTCAAATAGCATAGACAAATCTCTTAAACATATAGATACACTACATCTTTAACAACCTAATTACCCAAGACAACTGTAATATGCCATATCCTTTCAGTTAATATGTATATAAATATTTAAGCAATTCTGTCAAATATATGTCCCACCCAAGCACATGCCACTCATGTGAGAGCAGTTCCCACTACATTTTGTTTAACCAGAGATAGGCATTAAGAGTGTCTACTTTAAGAGAAACTCAACTTCATACCTCTCTTTCTTGCATTAACCTTTGGCCTTCTGCAGTATATAAACGATTTGTATCTTCCAAAAACCTGTGTTCAAAGGAGTCTTTGTAGACCTATTCAAGAAAGCAATATTCTTTATTAAATGTATATCTAGGTACAGCAACATGGCAGTAAAATGTGAGATGTAATTTCTCAACAAGTTTGGATGCACAGTTTATTTTATAATCTTTATATTATTGATTCTCAAAACAGTTCTATGGTCTAAGAAATATTTCTGATTACAGATAATATTGAACAAATGTCACTTGAACACGTGCTATAAAATGCCTGGATTTGGACACAATCTTTTTAGCATTATGTGCCTTAACCTTGCACTGGCATATTTCCTTTTCACCCTTCCTCTTCCAGTGCAGCTGCAAGGAGGAAATGGAAAGCTTTCATTTTCACAGTTGGCTAAATATCATTTGTTGCTATGTGTGAATTTGGAAGTATGGTTGATCTTAACTAAATGCTAAGTGATAGTGTTGCCTTATGCCTCACTGCAGCTAATATATTTAATGCTAAGACTGCAATCTCAGGGACACTTAACTATGACTAAGCCCTATATAGGACTCATTTCTAGAAGAATATGCATGCAATCGGGTGGCATAACTGAATGGGATTTCATCGAAAAATTCAATTACTTTTGCTACCTTCATTCAGCTGTAAAAATTAGCTGGCATTACTGGAATACAGGCAATAAAATGTTTCAGCAATCATAACTGCTGAATTCTTTGCTAATGGTTGCTGATAGTGGAAGGACTACAATTTTAAAAAATCCCCCCACAAAGTCTGTTTCATAAATAGGAAATGAAAAGTGAATATCCAAGACAATCCACATTCATATCTCAAAGTACTCTTGAGGAGACAAATAAAAAGTCCCAAACTTGAAGCAGGTTTTCTTAATTCAGCATGCCACAAAATAACCTAGTAATTTTCTCATAATATACACAGCTACAAATAACATGCCTTGCAAATCTAACTTTTACATGAACCTTTTTCTGAGCACTTTGGGTGGGAGGAAAGCCTTTTCTCTTTCTCATCCACCAAACTTGAAGCAGTGGTATCATTTTTGTTTGCCTCCACTGTTATATGTACAAAGCTTCTTATACTTACTTGTAAATCAGACAGCATACTTAACAGACTTCGTAACAAGCTTCTATCCACAGCTTCACCATTCCGTTCTCGTTCAATCAACAGTAAAATTCCATCAATAGTCTTAGTCTGAACTGATTTATCACTAATAACATGGTTTCTAAAGAGTTCTAGTCCCATATCCCTGTAAAAATATAAAAGATTTATTGAGGTTCAATTTTGTGCATGTCTAGATACTCCCTTTTTGAAAGTAGTATATATTGACAAACATAGCACACTTTTATATTACATTATACTGGTTCTCCACACAATGTCTTGGTTTCCAAGTTGCTTCCAGTATAATTCAAGGTCATTACATCAAGAGGAAATTTGCATGGCATGAGAACTGGATACCTGAGTAATTGCCTGTTCCCTTATACACTTTCACTGGTATTTAGATTAGCTGGAAAACTGCTCCTGAATTTTAGGATCGGGAAGTAAACAGCATAGGCACAGAGAGCTGCAAAAAGGGACAGGAGTCCCACACCTTTCAGAGATATGCAAAAAAGTGAATTTTAGAGGATGTGGATTATGCAAGAAAAAAATTGCATGTTAAATTTCATTTTCTTAAATAGCTAGTAAATACAGGGGTTTTGAAAAATTTGGCGTAAGATACCATCAGGCATTCTTACCAATCTCATCTTCTGAAATGGAGCTGAACCTTGCTATTTTTTAAGACTCATTTAACACAAAGGACACAATCTCCAAGCCATATTTAATCTGGCCCAGACAATCCCCATCTGGCTCACAAAGAGTTGGGCACTCTCCATGAAGGGCCTTTATTGTGGAGGGTTGCAGAGAAGGTGGTAAAAGAGTCCCCACCTTATCTCTAATTTGTAATCAAAAAGACTTCCCTTGCACTGCAATAGGAGGACAAGTGGCATGAAACTGAATCCATTACCGATCAGAGAGAACATTGAGGATGCAGATCTGCAAATGCTGCTGAGTTCTTTCCCACACCACTCTTGCCCAGTTGGACTGTGACAGATGTGAAAGGATGATTTGAAACAAGGGAGTAGAAAGGTTTAAAAGATAACAAAGAAAATTACTTAGCCCAAAGGAGGGGAGGGTTAAAATTTTGTCATAGAATGCACCGGAACGGAGTTCTGGCACCATTTTTCGACAGATTTTCCAAGTTATAAAAGTAACTTTTGAAAATTTGATGTTTGGTCCATGTGGATTTGAATCGCCCTGTCGAGCGTAGCAGGTCGGTGGCAAAATCATTAAAACGGTGCATGCGGGGTGCTTGTGTGTTGAATCCGATGCATGTGTGCTTCGTCCGCACTGGTTGTGATGGCGCTGCTCGGCTTGTGATTGGTCATGTGGTCACGCACTGAGTATTTAGCGTGACTGATACGTTTCGTTACACAACTGACGTGTGTGGGTGTGTGTACAGTGATCGACTACGTGCAAAAGCTAAATAATGTCATGAGTTCCAGCACCCTTTTTCTTACAAAAAAAGCACTGGATAGCACAAAGTGTGGGGAAACAGGCAAGTAGGCAGGAGGGCCAAATACTTCCTGACTGTTTATTGACAAGCTGTGCAGAACAAAATGAGCCTATTGTAGCCCACCGGGGGCAGGGCTGGATTGGGAAGAAGGGCCAGTGTTGGGGCAGCACAGAGTAGGCGGGTGGAAAGATTGTAAACTCCCGGAACCCCAGCCAATTAGGGGAAAGGAGGAGGGGAGAAGTGGCCAGGAGGAGGGTTCAAAAGGGGATGTGAACATGTGCTCAGGTGAACAGAAAAATGGGAAGGAAACCATTCCTTTCTGTTCCCTTCATTGCAATAAAGTTTTTAAAAGAACTCTCTGCATGCTTGGAATATTTTTCTCTTCCGAAGGCAAGGAAAGAGTGATTATAACAACTGTGAGAAGCACAGAAAGGAGATGCCCAGCTCCTACAAGCACTATCCAAGTCCCTTTTTTCATGTATGGGAAAAGAAAACACAAACAAACAGGCCAGACAATGGCACAGGAATGGACAGAGCCTGTGACATTATGTTGCCTTCCTTGTTCTAATGTTGATCAACTGGTTTGGACATTGCTTTTTTCAAATTTAAATAGTCTTTGTTTTAATATAATCTATCAATCAGATATATCTAACTCATCTCTGCACCTACCATATTGTACCTACCATATAGAAGGTAGCATTGGATTCTGAAGTACGTAGGTACGATCCAAGAATAAGAAAATACTTCTAATCATTATCTGCAAATAAAAATTAAAGATAGAATAAACTTTTTTATGTTTTACTGAATTCACATGTAATATACATTCCCAATCCGCTATCTACAACCAATACATGTGTACTTTGCAGTAAACCTGCAGTCAGTAATTTTCCCAGTAGGAAAAATCTGCAAGTGCTAGTTTACATACAACTATCCACACACAAAAATTGTAAGGTATTACCGTATACTTGTTTTATATAGGCAGAGAGGAGAACACATTTAGTCTGGAAAGAAGTAAACAGGCAAGTACATACATATTACTTGCTAGACTTAACTCCATGATCAGGGGATTAGAGGGGGGCTATGAAAATGCAAGGTTGCTCTCTGCAACCACTTAATCTTTGCTAAGACTAGTTAGTTATTCATCTATTTGAATAAAAACAATTTTAAGACAAACCTAGGAAGAATCTTGAAACAGTTTAAAGATTAACAGATTCATTCTATCGTGTTTTCCTAGACTAGGATCTACTTCATCAGATGCAAGAAGTGTAATCTGCAGCTGACAGGTATGTATCGCTTACATACACATGAGGAGAGGAAATATTAAGGAGTAGGACCAAGTGTATAAATGCGAAAGTGTAATCTGAGAAAAGTCCATGTAAAGCAGTATTTTAAATGTTAATATTATTGAATTTTATTTGGCCAGGGCGGCTTGTTTTATAGTGTATGTTTTATATTATATATTTGTATTTTATTGTATATATTTTAAAATGTTATTTTAATTTTTTGTTGTAAGCCGCCCCGAGGCTTCGGCAAATGGGGCGGCATAAAAATGTTTTAATAAATAAATAAAAATAAATAAAGCTTACATGCATATGCTGTAATTCTGAAGAGTAGCCATTGCCAATACCTAGTTCTGCTATGTTACTTAACATTTGTGGTGTGACAGGAAACAACTGGATGTATTTAGATACCACAATGAGCCATAGTTGACTGGGATAGGAATGAGATAGAGGCAGGCTTCCACACTTTCCACTCCACTCTTCTCCTCCAGTCCAAAGGTCAAGTTCAGAAGCATTCACTTCTGCTTTGTATTCTTCACAGTTTCCCAGGCCACATGAACCCATACAAAGTTACAAATTATTAATTGTAACTATTTGAAACAGACCAACTTCAAACAATAGGTTGTTCAATAGGTTCTTGAAAATCAACAGTAGTTAAGATTAACCACTGTGTACATTGGAATGCAATATTTATTTAGAAACTTTCTATTAAACTAATCTTAATAATGGAAGCCAATGTTTCCAAACTTTCTCATGACTGTTAACTCCTTTGCAACTTCATTTTCAAAGAATATCTCTGAACCCCACATGATGGCCAGAGGCATTCAAGAAAAACAGAGATGGCAGCGGCTGGAAATCCTCACCTTGCCTTGAAACAATCCCACTTGCTGGCAAGAACATTTGTTAATTTAAAAATGTGGGAGGGTCAGGCTACCTCAGTAAGCACCTAGAAAGGCACCTGGAGATGCCCTGTTCACTCTCCTCAAGCCTGATCATCATTCAGCTGCAACCTATTCATGCCCCATGGGAGTTATTTCCATTCAAGAATTCAAAAGAAAATCTCAAGTTTATACAAACATAGACAAGACAGCACTTAACGTCTCTTAAATGTCAATCATGGTTTTACTTATGTAAAAAAGATGAACCATGCTGAGGAGGGGAGAGGCAAGAAATTCACACTTCTGAGGTTAAATGTAAATGTAAAGATATACCTACCCAGAGCATAAGATCTTATCCTGCAGCCCTCCTCATGTGTGCCTGCCAAATGGAATGAGGAAGACGGCCACTAAGCCTTTTCAGTTGTGGCACCTCTTTCAGGTGGGCATGAAAGGGCATGAAACGCCTGCCTAGCACTTAGATAGTAGCTTTGCTGCAACAGACCAAGACCTTTTCGATTTTCTAGTCATTATAGTCCTCCAAAGTTTCTTTGTTTCTTTAAAATGTGTTATGTTTAGATCTTTACACTGTTGCTGGCTTTTACTTTCATTTTATATTCCAATTTTAAACATCTAGAAGATTTTATAATATGATTTTTCAAGCTGTATTTTATGGCTTTAACCTTTTTGGACCACCCAGAGTATGCTGGCTATTGGGCAGTATCAAAATGCAATAAATAATAAATAAATGGCAAGGTAAGTCATATCTTCTGTTTCTTAATGCAGACTTCTTTCTAAACCAAGGAACTAACAACTTAACAGTGAGTACTAGAATTCAGGAAATGCCATTCTGTACCTCACAAAGATTTTCCAGTGTATGACGTTCTACACATATATAATCCTCACTGTCTATACTCAGCAATGTGTTTAATTTTAAAATTATAAATATTTATAGTTCTACAAATCAAATGACACTGCTACTTACATCTCCTTCTCACGAAGAAACTCCATTTTGCTCAAACACCATTGTCTCTTACTTTTAGATATTTACATAATCAAAATGCCATGCTATCTTTATTTAGTAGCCCTCTCTCTCCCTCCCTCTCTCCCTCTCAAAAGGACTTACTTCCAAATAAGTGGGCATAGCAGGAGATCTAACTTAGTATTCCTGCATGTGTACAGAGAGCTCTAAATAGAAATCTTTATTTTGTCTTTAAGCAGACATAATTCTGCAGTACAAAAGGATTGTGGGCTGCAAAGTTGCAGATTTTGATTTAGACTGTTAAGATTGTAAAAAGGCTCTATTTCATTGCAGACAAATATGATTTCAATTGTTATAGCAACAAGCAAGCTTGGCTGCCATTAAGGAATTACATGACTTCAAAATGGGAAAGCTAATGTAAACAATAATGATTTAAAAAAGAACCCATGCTAGACTATTACAAAACTGAAATTTAAGCACATTAATTTTAATGTCGAAAGAGTTACCACTCACAAAAGCAACACACAACAAAAAGGCTGTTAATACTTTTTCCTTGATCCAAAGTCCAACCAAGGAACAGTCAGCTGCTGCAATTAACCTGACAAAATTAAGAGCACTCAAACATAAGCAAATCATCCACTAGCAAAACTGTACCTTTAACAATTAGTTACTAATTTCAGAACAAATGAGCAATGCTGATGATTTACTACATGCTCTTACATGTAATTCAATGATAAAAAGTGCCATAGGTTTAGGACCAGAGCTATACCTATCTCAGGTTAGCCCAAGATCCACAAATTCAGCTTAGGCTGATGGTGATGTTCACAACTTGTGCTTGCTGACAACTTACCATACATGTACCCACATGTTTTTCTCGGTGTGTCAGGCCCAAATCCAAGGATGGAATACTTGAGACTAGCAAAGATGATCCACTGGTTCTTTATTGCATTACAAGCATCTAAGCCGTACTGCATCCTTTTTGTGACTTAACTATGAACTCCTGTGCCCCTTTAATAAGGCAATTAAAAACTGGAGTGAAAAATATTAAAACTGCAGGATTAACATTAAATACTAAATACTAAAGAATAAGTCCCATTGAATTCAGAGGACTTTGATTTTTGTTTTAAATGTGGATAAGCAGTCTTTATGGGCAGAAAGCTGCTCATGACATGTCTGAATAAACATGTTTAGGACTGTGCCATTAGCAGATATTCTGCCATTAGCAGATGTCTCAACAGCAGTAGCATAACTATTTTTTAATATGCAAGAAGAAACTTGAGAAATGAAGGGAGATGCTGTGGAGGGAAAGAGAGAGCAGGACACCCTTGCACTAGCCTAACTCCCAACTCTGTAAACAACACTGTACTGAAAAATGTTTTTTGTTTTCTTATAAATAGCTAACACAAAGATTCATACTGCTAATTTCAAAAGAGAATGTTAGGATGCCAAACTACAAGTGGCATATACACAAAAGTGGCATCCCTTACCTCTGCCAAGAACTGTACAACCATTGACTCATACTGCTTCACAGACTCAACCCACTGTTCTCTAACAGACTGTGCCAAGAACCAACAGGCTTTTCCCAGTACAGCTTCAGTTTCAGCAGCTGTGACATTTTTTTCCTTTTTGTTGTATGCATAAACTAGAGTTCCCTTCAACCTATCACAAGTCACCAATCTATGACTGCAATTATCACTTTCTCAGCATGTAAAGCCTTGTTTGTACAGTATTTCAGCATCAACCATTCAGCTTTACAATTAAGCAGTCCAACTGCATTTCACTGCTTTCTCATAACTTCCTTGAATGCATTCCACTGTTCTTTGACAGTAGCGCAGAACATGCAATCTTTATAATACTGTCCTATCCTTCTCTTCCAGATTAATGTTTTCTAGGAAGCTTGTATGCTCTTCCAATTTAACTTAATAAAAAGATTCCGCTTGACTTAATTATTCGCAAATGGGTCTACCTTTACCACACATTACATAGATGGCTTTTACTTTTCCCTCAGTGTCGAACAGCAGAGCACAAAAACAATCAGAATTCAACTATGTTACAAATAGCCTATCACTGTATATTCATTCACAACAGACTACCCAACTCCAAAACTTCAGAGACATGACCTTTAAACTGGGGTGCACAACTTGTCTTCTTCAGCTGTTTTGACTTACAGTTGCCATCAGCCCTAGCCAACCTACCCAATTATGAGGGAAACATGGGAACTGGAGGCCAAGACAACTGGAGGAGGACAAGTTGTTCACCTCTTACCTTATACTGATTAGCCATTCACACTCTTGTGAACTAAGACAATTAAGGATTCTTCAGAGCATGACCAAGTCCTCACAATTCTCTGAGCTTATGTTACTACTTCACTACAGTGTGGTGTAATGGTTAGTGTTAAACTGGCGCTCAAGAGATCTGGTTCTAGTCCTCACTTAGCCATGCAATCTCACAGATTGACTTGGGCCAGTCACGGGCTCTCAGTCTAATCTATCTCACAGGGTGGTTTGTGAGGATAAAATGGAGAAGAGGGGAACCTGGTAAGGGTTTCCTCTCTTGAGCATTCAAAAGCCACAAACTGTTTCCCTTGAAAAACACTAATCATCCAGAATGAACCTCTGAGCATGCACAGAGTGGTTTGTTGAACCCAGTCTAGTATTCACCTCCAGGAACTCTCCTTATGAGCATGCTTGGGCACTATCCATTTGGGAGGGGCCTTCTGAAAGCAAACACACCTTCTCTCCATGTGCCAACCATCAAATTGGGTTGCCCACCTCTGCTGATGCCTTGTTGGGCTGCCTGGTATATTTTGAATATTCCCAGGAATTGCCTCCCCAGCTGAGGATTCTGGCCTTGAGATAAGTGCCTCCACTTCTTTCGTTTCAGTGTCTTGGCCCAGCCCAAAACTCCCTCCCATTATGCTTCACATTCCAGTTCCAATTCTGATGAACCCCAGACAGCAGACCTTGAGAACTAGTGCCCAAAACAGCCATCCTTCTCACTCTCAACAGCAAGTCCCATCATCATCATCATCCACTTCTCTATTACTGTTGCTTGGGAATGCCCCAGGGGTGCTGATTGAGTTAAAGAAAAAGGAATGCTATACAAGTCCTGAATGAAAATGCAATGTCACAGAAGCACAGCTCATGAATCTTGTGAGACTAATGTTGCTTCTGCAGTTTTACTTGAGCAAGCAAAGGAGAAGGAAAAAGGTGAACTGCCAGATCATTTATTTTCTCTTAAGCTCTGCCTTCTGTAATAGCTACCAACTACCGAACTCATTTACTTGCAAGTCCTAATTATTTCAATGAAGTTTATTTCCAAGTGAGTGGTTATAGTCCTGGTTAACAGACAGACATAGCGCTCCAAAAACAGCAGTGACAGACTAGGCTCCACTTTCTTGTTTGCATGAAAAGAAAAAGACCAAAAAACACTCATGCTATGATCTGAGTCTTTTCCAGTGTTGGATTAAAAATCAAGGGTGTCCTTCAAGCTGGATCTAGGAAAGGAATTTCTATAGTTTCTTTGCTCCTCTAAGGCCTCTTTCCCTTCCTTTTTCTATCCCCAGCAGAAGGTCCTGTCCTAAGTATTAGAAGAAAAGGAAATATATTTTCTTTAAACCTTGTATTTTAAAGAGGACCTCACCATAATTTAAGACAATGAATTTATCCAATCAATCCAGCAGTCTTCTGCATTCCAATCCTGAACCCAGGTCCTTCCTGCACCCTTATCAAAATAGTCAACTAACTAGGTCCTAATGTGCAGTTAAGCTTTGAAGTCAGCCTGCTGCAGCCTAAACTATAGTGTTATGTAGCATCTTATTTGTTGCTCTAGCAGCCTTGGCATAGAAAAGGTTGTCTTCTTAATAGGAAAAAAAAAAAAAAAAACAGGGACACAACTAAGAAAGTGAATAAGCTGAAGCTTCAACAACTTTCAACTGAACAGATTACTTCCATGATGCTCAGGTCAAACCTCCTTTCCTTTACCTATTCAATCTCACTATAGGCATTTTAAGCATTTCAAAATGCTTAATTTTATTGGAACCTAGGGATGGATATAATAATTAGTTTTACAACAGTTGTAGTGAGATGAGGAAGAGCTTTTCTTGTGTTCTCAAGCTATAGAATGTTGTCAAGATCAGTTATGATTTACCAGTGTCCTATCAGTTTCTCTTTAATTTTTGAAAGAGATTTTCAAATTACATATGCAGAGAATCAAAAATCAAATTAAGTAAGTACTTTCCAGTCTTCCTGAATTAAAGTCATTTTCCTTGACTTTATTAACAGATGAGATCTAGATAAGAAAGTCTGAATTCCAGCATATTTTAGGAATGTACATAATGAACGACACATAACTTACCATTTGTCTGCAGTGATCTTGCCAACATTTGTTTATTTTCTTTAAAAACAGAAGGCTGTCAAGAGAATCTGTGCAGCAAAGGTTAAGGAAAGCTATCTAAATATTTTTGAATCAAGTTATCAATGGTTATGTTTCTTTAGAAGGGACATTCCAGAGACTAAAGAAGAAATTGGGGTTGTTGCTTGATTTCTAGCTATAACTTCTGAAAGGAATTAATTCTTCATGTTAGGAAAAAGATTATCTAGATTACTAAAGGAATCTAAAGATCCAGTGCAATACTAAAGGAAAATCTTTAGGAAAGGAGTTGGTAATTTCCACTGGGCTAAGGAAATCTCATTTGAAATCCATATAGACTATCAATTGTATATATTGCTATAATTCCACTAGTGCAAAGCTTCTACAATTTGTTGAAATCCTGTTTTATCCTTGTGCAAATGTCAACCCTAATACTTAGATAATACTGTGCAAGCTGTTCCACAAGGCATTGTACAAGCTCTTTCACAGGTTATTCCACAAACCTCTGTATGAGATGTTGTACAAGCAGTTCTCAAAACACTGCACAAGGTGTTGCACAACTCATTATGATTTCAGTACATTAGTTGTTGCATGTGTTGGCTGTACTAGTTCTGACAGTGTTTGTTCAACCTCTAGCAGAACAATAACAGCATTTCTAATTCTTCCACTAGCATAATGGTGCATAAAACCCACAACTAGCACCACCAGCGCAAGCAACACATAGACTAAGGAAGTGTTAAGTTCCGAAACTTGTACAAGTATAAAAGCAGGACCTGTGCAAGGTATGGAAGCCTTGTTCTAGAACATCGCAGAACAACCCGTTACCCATACAGAAGATGACCTTGTTACATCACTATGTATTTAACCCTGAAATTCAAGTTTCACAACAAAAACCATAGTACAAACCTAAGCCACAAACATTTTACAGTAGCTGGATAACTTTTATATACAGTAAACAAATCTTGCAGTGGCAGATTCTGAGGATATATACACTTTGTGCAGTATTTTTTTACTTTGCAGATATACATTCTTTATTACCATGGATACTATCAATGCAGATTGCTGATTTTTTGTATAAAAAAAGGATATTCTCTGAACTGGAGTATTTGTGCTTTCACATGATCTTCACAGACTTGTCTTAGCTGCCTGTACAATGTAGGTGATGCCTTATAAGAACAGACATTTTCAACAGCCTGGGGAGGAATATACACAAAATAATTCAAGAAAATGAAGACAAGCAATATAAATTTTAATGTCAAAGAGTAAACAACTTCTTAGGTGGCCTTCTGCATAAACCATGTCACAGTCTAAAATCTTTATTTTATATTCAAATAAAATTTTTACATTAGATCCAAAATCTGTACAAATCCACCACTTTAGCAGAAACTTGTAAGATATATATCTACCTGCTGACACCTCTTTGCTATAGATGACAAAATATTTATTATTTTATTTATTTAAAGCATTAGTATGCTGCCCAATTGTGCCACAGCACCTGTGGGTAGCTCACAGTCATTAGATAAAACACAATAAAAAACTAATTATAACACACTAAAATAGTAGGAAGTGAAAAGAAAACATTAGAGAAAATTCAAGAAAACAGCACAGTGAATTGCAGCAAAGTTGATAATAGTAAAGAAATGCAGGGAACATCCCAGGAAGTATGAAAAAATAGGAAAAAACCCTTGAGGTGAAAACCGTCAAAGCAGTCAGATGAGGATTAATATGCTTGAGCCACAAAATGCTGACTGACTGTTTTAAGTCAGGGGGAAATGGGCAGGTGGAAGAGCATGAAGGAAAACAGAATGCAAATGCACTTTGAATAGGTGCACCCCACCCTGCAACATTTTGCTTCAGGTTGCATTTGTGTGAGCAGGTGTGTATGTGGACACAGAAATCTTGTCATTAAAGAACAGATACAATTTACTTGAACTACTTGTCAGTACCCCAGACCACACAAAAGACACGAATGTTTAAAGTGTTCCCGGACTGTCTCATGTAATGCTGCAAGAAGAGTATTAATACAGTGTCCTACATAAACGTCCTTCTGCATAGAGAGAGAAGTGTCAGAGAGAAGGGTTTTAGCTAGACTTCACCCTGAACTCCAGGTTTTAACATACAGCTGCCAGTCTACAGCTCAAAGTGTCTGATTGTCCAGCAATAGTTTTTCCAAGTGATTAACACCCAATGCCCTCCCAACCCAGTATTACTAAGATAGCCATCCTGTTCACATTTTTAAAAAATTAACTTACTTGATAAAGTTCTTCAAGATTATATTTAATGGAGGTACTACTCTGTATTGCTTTGACTGCTTCATGAAGCTTCTGCCATGTGTCTCGGGTGTAATTATCAGCCAAAGTGGGTCTCTCTGCATAAAGAGCAAGTAAAAAAATGTATATTCTATCCCAACTTTCTATTTCAGAACCAATTATTATCACTCAAGTACTATTTTTAATGCAATAATATTCTGTTTTGATAGAGAACAGTGAACGTTCGCAACAAATGCCATAAAGAGAGCTTTAAAATTAGGAATTCAATCTGTATAGCAATAAAATCATACACATTTTTAACTTTGTATGAATTAGAACCATGATTACACAACAACATACACTGGACTGTGTAAAAATCCTCACCAGTCATCTTCAACCATCTCTCCAATTATAGGCAGAAAAGAGAAGTATTCTTATCCATATTAAAAGTATTCTGTACACAATTGCTCACAAAGGCTTCAGATTTATGCTTACTTGGAAATAAAGTCATATTGACTGATTTACTCCTAAATAAGCACATGTAGGATCCAACATCTCCCAGTCCTCTGGACAGGCGCTCCCGTAATTTCCAGTCAGCATGGCTACTGGGAATTGTAGTCCAGGGGCACTAGGTTGCAGAACTTTGGATTAGGTAGTATGTGTAGTGCAAAGAATAGGTCTGGTCTGCACTTTATCCTATCTCCTGTCACTTGAATCACCATCAGTATCTCTCATTGAAGAGATATTAGCTTTCCAAAACTAATTTAGACCAACATTTCATGAAGTTTTACACCAGCTCCTTCATTTGCAGAGGTATTTTTCCTTATTCAAAAAAGTGCAAAGACTAGTTTCAGAGAAGTGAACTCTCTCATTTGGAGTTTTTTAATTGGAGGCAAATACAACAAATGCTTGAGCATGTATAGAGATAAACAAATTCATTTCTCCTTAGCACACTTCAACTACTCCATTCTTTCAGGGGATGCCTGAATGTTCTCATTTGTTAATGACTGAAAGTATGAAACAACTGGGAAATTAGCAGGTAACATTGTAACTATACATGTAACTTAGAGCATGATAAACAAAAATGATTCAACACAATACCAAGCAATAGATGACCCCAAAATGCCACTGTTTGTAACTCACTCCAGGAGGGGAAGTGCAATAGAGAGGTGCAGTGGACACAGAAGGTTCCTGTAAGTGCCTGTCTAAAATTTGCATTTGCTATCTGAAGCTTTTATATATTTCTCTTCCTAATGAGGTGGGGTTAGCAGGTACTACAGATAGGGCTTTTGTTGCAGCATCCCTACAGACATGAACTTTACTGCTTTCTTAATATTCTTCATATGGCTGATGAGGACATTATTGTACCTCGATCATTTTAATTGTTTAAAAAGCATTATGCACGTATTATTTTATATTTTATAATGTTTATGATAGTCATTATTTTAATACTCATTTATTTTAATTAAAACTTCATTTTAATGGCTAAAAGTATTTAAGAGGCAGTGTCATGTAGTGGTTAGGGTGCTGAACTGGGGACCTGAAAGATCCAGGTTCTATTCCCCACTCTGCCATGAAAATCACTGGGTGACTCTGGGCCAGTCATGGACCGTTCATCTAACCTACTTAGCAAGGTAGTCATTGTCAAGGTAAAAAAGAAGTGGAGGAGAACTGGGTATCTTGGGTTCCCTGAAAAAGGAAAAAGTACATAATATAAAAACAATTTAATTATAATACAGCACTGTTTTTCCTCCACATTCTTTGATGTTTGGTTGTTTGGTTTTCTTGTAATCTAGATTTTCTTGTTTGCTTACATTCATTTTTAATTGTGTACATTGAATGATCAGTTTGTATTCTTTTATTTTTCTATGTGCATCGCCTTGAGCACTCATTGAGCAAAGGAGCAATCCAAAAATATACTAAATAAATAAATAATGTGAAGAAAGGGCAGCGAATGTCACATGTCAGCAGGCTGAAAGGCCTGTGCTGCCGATTGGCTGCCAGGTGCTGATCTGACTTAGGCAAAGTGCCAGGCACCTTCTCTTCCATTTCTGCATATCAGGCAAAGAGAAGTTGCTCTTGGTCTGTCTGACACAGAGCAACCAAAACAAGATAACAGAGTGTGTGGTTGTGTGTGTGGGTGGGATATTTACACCACTTATCTCATGTCAGACATATTTATAAGTGAGCACACACAGTTTTAGGTACCAGATAAACATTATATAATGAGAATCACTTCTGAAGTTGTGGTTACTCATATAAGTATTCAATGAAAGATGTGAGCCTCCAGAGCACAGAGTAAAGGCTATTTTCACAGATCAGTTTTAGCATTTTGTGTGAGTTTCAATTCATTTGAGATAAAAGACTACATTCCACAATGTGATACAGTGCTTTTTGGCTTGAAAAAAGCTAAATATTTCATTTTCTCTATTTGACTTGAAAAAAGCTAATTACCTTTTCTCTATCCACCAGAAAGCAGCATGATAGTATATTTAAAGGCACCTTTAATGCCACTAGTAAAAATGTTTTAAGCTTGCTGGGGGCTGCATTCAAGAGCTCACATCCTTGCATTACCTATGGGCTTGTATCCAATGTTAGCCCTAATTAAGGTAGACCCACTGAAATTAAGGGAACTTAAGTTACTCAAGAATAACTTAACTGCAACAGGTCTAGTGTAAGTAGCCTAATGTTGGATACAACCTATTAATTCTTATGGAATCCATCTCTTGGATCCATGCTTGTAGGAAGTCAGACTATAGTCATGAAAACACTGTGAATGGATTGGGGCAAAAATTAATATTTCCCCCTACCTGAAGTGTGACTAAGGATGTAATCTTACTTTTATGGATACTCACCAGAGAATAAGCCCTACTGAATATCCAGAGGGCCTTACTTCCAAGTAAACATGCATTGACTTCCACTGTAAAGCAGGTTGAGTAAAGATGCTAAAGGGAAATCCATCCACACTGTGTTCTTGACTTTTTTGGGTTTCCAGATGCAAAGCAGGGCAGTGCATACCTGCGTAAAATCGTGTAGAAGACACCATTTTGGCAGTTCCCTATAACTTGTCATCATGCACACAGGGCAAAAAAGGTGCACCAGTCAAAAATCCCTCTTCTACACAACTTTTAGATGTACAAGAGCCCTGTCCGGCCTCCTTTACATCTGGACGGGATCTGCAGGGAAAGGGATATTTGGAACAGATGCTTAAACGAGCTATTTAGTAGTGAGAGGCAAAACTACTTATCCGTCTCAGTTGAGGTACATTCCCTTTTAAAATCATCTCCAGAGAGAGACAAATCTCCTTTTTCACACAACCTGCACGCCAACCTTGTCTTCCACACCCACCTCTGAAGTTCTTGATCACTATTTTCTTGGAAGTGGCCCCTCCGCCAGCAGCGGCAGCCCCGGAGCCGGCCGCCCCGCTCCGTACTCCGGCTACAGTGACCAGGGAAGCGGGCTTGGTGAGCCCGTTGGTGTGGCCCACCAAGGCCGACAAGTGCTGCTTCTTCTGGGGCTCGCCAGCCATGTTCGCCCCAGAAACCGGGGCGGGGAGACTCCCGTAGGTCCCGTCCCCCTACTCCTTGCAGGTTGATGTGAGGCGGAAGAGAGAGGGGGAAAAGAATGGGGTTAAAAGGGAAAGGTCCTCGCTGAGAACGGGACAGCGTCGTCACGCATCTTGTCCTCCCGGCGACTTTCTAGATCCAGGAAGCTCGTCCTCTTCTGCACGGTCAGACAAGCGAGTGAACCGTTTTGGCTGGCGGAGGAAGAGAATTGCAGCAGCGCCCCTTTCTCGACCGCAAGACTCTGGATGGAAAATGCTAAGCGGGGGAGGAGCAGGAGCCGCCACCCCCCTTCTCTACGACGCTTCACAAAATGGCCTCTTCCTGATCGGATCGGCGGAGTTAAGGCCGGGACTGTTCCACCACGATGAGATAATCGAGGAAAAGAGCTTGGGTGATGGCTGCGCCTTTTCGGGCGACCAGCAGGCACCTTCCCCCTTGACCAGCCGGACAGCGCTCTCTGCCTCCTGTCACGGGGCTCTAGTGGTGGCCGGGCAGGGATTGGAGCGCCTGGCAAAGGAGCTCAGCTGGTGTCCTCACCGCGGCAGAGGAACAGCTGCATCTTCGGCCGGCGATTAGCCGTGGGTGGCCCGCCCAACTACCTTTGCATAAATAATCTCTGCATGTGCGTGCCTCTTCCACGAACACGCACGCCCCCCCCCCCCCCGAATGCGTTCCTTGAATTTGCAAGACTACTGAAGTGTGTAGGGTTGCCATCGTAAGCACACTTCAGAACAAGGCCTATGAAACTCAATGAGACCTGAAGGATCCTACTGGTTTTGGCCAAAAGCCATGGTAAAAACAAGGGCATAAAATGATGAGGTTGTAGCCGAAATAATTTTTCTAAGAGACTTCCTGACTAAGCAAGGGTTAATACTCTTCCTCCCCCCCCCCCAGACCTTTGGGAGGATTATGATGTACATAATGTGCGAACTGAAAAGTACATGTTGGGTTGAATCCAGATTTAGAGAACACTTATTGCGATCAATAGGATTTGATCTCGGCTGGCTTGAAAAAGTATATTCTTAAGTATACCTAAGTCAGGATCCAAGTATACCTAAGATAGGATGTAAAATAAACTATAATTTTAAATCTAAATGTCTGAACAGCAAATCAAAACAAGGCAGCATTAATTTAGCACCACCAATCCTGTCCTTTTCATCCTGTTAGCCGTGCAGGAAGTAGCCATAAATTTACATTCCGAACAATAATTTAAATAGAACCCGTTCAATTAGCCTAAGCCAGACGCTGCGGCTAATTGGCTGTGACATCCAGAAAGCACCGCCCCCTTGCGAACTATAGATTCTACGCAGAGGCACCAGAGGACACGCCGATTTCGCTGAGCTCACGAGCGGTCGAATCGCCCGTTGAATTGAAGGCTCTACCACGTGGCAAGGCGAGTGGGCGGAGCTTCATAGTGGCGAAGGCCAATCCGGAAAGGAGCGGGCTTTCCGGTAGCTGAAAGGAAGTCCTAACTGTTTCTTCCTCCTCAAGCGTTCCGCCTGTCTGCCCCTGAACCTGTTCGTGGGCCCGAATCAGATCTGGAAGGACGTGCCTGGAGAGTCGAGATAGTAGTAGGTGGCCCCACAGGGGATGCCGGGGACGAAGGGGTGGTTGCGCGCATGCCCGATGCGTAGCATGGCCGGCGTTTGATGCGTTGCAGGTCGAACGCGGTCAGGGATCGTCTCTCGATCGCGGGACACGAGACCTTGTTTTCTCTTCGAGGCTTCGTCCGTAATTGGTTTTGAAGGAGCTGAAAGCCTCTTGTTTGACAAAGATCTTTTTGTGCATGTGCAGAGTGCCTCTTACCTCGACGCTGAGTAGCTGCATCCATCTCTCAGACTTTGTGGCCGCAGCTACCGGTTTTGAAATCTTAGACTAGTAATCTAGGCAGATCTTGTGTTTTGCACTTTTCTGGGCGTGCGGAGAGGGGCTTGTACTGTATTTTGTTTTGTTTTTTGCGGTTAAACACGGCTGGATAAAGGATAATTGAGAATCTATACCTGATGGATTTACTATTTTGATTTGCTGTAGGTAATAGTTTTTGATACAACTATGAAGTGCAATGTACTAGAAATAGACTTTCATAGTCAAATGGCCTTGAAACTTCTATGATCTGACATATATTGATTATGTGACCCAGGACAGCTAACATAGTAGTGAAAAATATACATAACCGAACTAATACTTATAATAAATATAAGTAAATAAAGCAATAATCAGTGTGAAACCATCACTTCAGATTGAACTCAGAAACTTAGAGTCTCTGGAGTTTTTTCCATAGAGGAAATTTCATTCTCTTTGCCTAATCCATTTTACTGATCTAGCTCCAGTATTCTGGACTGTCAGCGGTTTCCAAATGATTTTGCAAAGAAAGCCTAGTAGTTGTAAATAATTATTGTGTCATGATCGTTGTGACTATTTCTTGTTATTTTTCAGTGTAAAGTGTTCCTTTGCTTTTGAGAAACACCTTTCCAATGGCACACATCAGTATAAACCAATATTTGCAACAGGTTGGTGATAATGATTTTAATCATTATTAAATAATTTTAACAATTTAATACCTTTATTAATTTGCTATAATTGGCACATTATGATGCACTACTAATGATCTCTGTAAGAGATTTTCAGAAACTTACAATGTTGTTTTACGAAGTTACAATGTTCCCAGCATTCTCCATCCAGGCATGCTTTTTCTGTATAAATGTGCATAAATTTGTGTCTTTATTCTTTCATAGTTATTTAAAATTACTTGTTTAGCACTGTTTTGTAGACTGTCACTGAACCTATAGTACAGTAGATCATGTTATTACACTCATCCTATTTACAGCATTTAAACATAAATTTTAAAGATGTTACATTTTTGAATTTAGAATTTTAGTGTTTCCTAAACTGCCTATAGAAACATTTAATCCAGGGAATCACACTTCTGAATGATTTGATTTCTCTCAAATGTATTGATCATAATTTTTGTTAAATGGAGAACTGTCACATGTTGTTCAAACTTTTCAAGTAAATGTTTTCCGAATGGGGAGCCCTCAGTTTACATTTCAGCACTGCCACATAAATCAGATGAACCCCTCTGCCTAGCCTTTTCTACTGCAATGTGAGATTAGAAAATGTTTTTGTATTGTATGTTGGGATAGGCAGTATAGATCTCTGAGCATTGAAAATAAAACACACTGTCTGTGGGGCATAGGATTGGTTGGACACTCTGAATGGAATGGGGACTTCATCCTTTGAGGGCCCACCATTGCAACTGGCAAGGATTTTTCCTGCCAATTGAGCTCTGAAAATGAACAATCATCTTTAGACTTTGCATGGAGTGAAGGGCCTAGTGCAGCACCATCAAGGAATCCTGGCAGTGTCTCATCCTCTACTCGTTAAGGACAGGAAAAGCTGAAATTGGTTTTCTAAATGTTTTGGAGGGTGAGGGGAGCGGAGCCAATACAAGCTTCTGTACTTTCTGCTTCTTACTAGATGTCCATAATCCTTGTTCTGAGAGTTGTGGGTGGCCACATGAGATGGTGCCCTGAACAATTTGTTACGGTTATTACATTTCAAATTACTGCAATCCATCATTCATTTGAAAGAAACTAATTGACAGGGTGAGAAATTACTTCAGGTAGTTCCCCATGTTATTCACACTGGAACTGTCACTGGTCACACCTTCTTTAGTTGCCAAGGGTGCTGAGGTCCTAGCCCAGGCACAAGAAAGAATGTTGTATTTCCTTACAGTGATGTTGTGGGGGTTCCCCACCCCTTTCACCAGGAAAAATAATCAAAACAAAGGAGTATGAAGAGATGCCTGCTGCTTTTTGACCATTTGTTCCATTGTGTATTTTTTTCTATCGCAGGTATTAGAATCTATTGACAGCAGGGATGGATTGTTCTGTGCTGAATTAGTGTCATTTAAGCATCCTCATGTCGCAAATCCTAGACTTCAGGTAAGGGAGTTGGGCTGCAATCTTGTACACATCTACTTGAAAGTAAGTCCAATTGAACTGAATGGTACACATTAAGTACACATACATAAGGTTGTATGATTGGACAAATAAAAACCTAGAGATGGAAGGGACTTGAAAGGCCTCTCCTGATGCAGGAAATCCAGGACTAAATCCCACTGAATTAATTATGCATAGAATTTTACTGCTAGTGTATTGAAATCTTTCATGTGTACATGAATGATGCCTCAATGACAGCCTTCAAATACAGTACACTATTAACAACCCAAGAGACGACTCTACACATGGACATCACCAGACGGTCAACACAGAAATCAGATTGATTATGTGCTCTGCAGCCAAAGATGGAGAAGCTCTATACAGTCAGTAAAAACTAGACCAGGAGCTGGCTGTGGCTCAGATCATGAGCTTCTGGTTGCAAAAGTTAGGCTTAAGTTGAAGAAAGTAGGGAAAAGCACTAGGTCTCTCAGGTATGACCTAAATCATATCCCTGATGAATATACAGTAGAGGTGACAAATAGATTTAAGGAATTAGATCTGATAGACAGTGCCTGAAGAACTATGGATGGAGGCTCGCAGTTGCAATGTATGGCTGTGAAAGCTGGACCATAAGGAAGGCTGAGTGCCAAAGGATTGAGGCCTTTGAATTGTGGTGCTGGAGGAGTCTCCTGCGAGTCCCTTGGACCGCAAGGCAATCAAACCGGTCAGTCCTAGAGGAGATCAACCCTGACTGCTCTTTAGAAGGCCAGATGCTGAAGATGAAACTCAAATACTTTGGCCGCCTAATGAGAAGGAAGGACTACCTGGAGAAGAGCCTAATGCTGGGAACAATAGATGGCAAAAGAAAAAGGGGACGGCAGAGGATGAGGTGGCTGGATGGAGTCACTGAAGCAGTTGGCGTGAGCTTAAGTGGACTCTGGGGGATGGTGGAGGACAGGAAGGGCTGGAGGAGTGTTGTCCATGGCATTGCGATGGGTCGGACATGACTGTGCTACTAACAACAAATTATTTTATCAAGGCTAGCTCAAATGGTGACCCTGGTGAGGACTGCCTTTAGCACCTTCAGCTTTTGAATACTTTATTTTTTATTGCATTTGTAGCTCCTTTCCACTGTATGCATAATTATCCCTGCTGTATAAAATCATGTATTCCCACTCATGAATCCAATTGCATATAGTCTCACACACACTATTAATGCAGTGTGCACTGTGGGCTGTAAATTTTCTCATGAATAATAACAAAAAGCGGGCTGGCCATAGCGGTTGCCAGCCGTGGAAGCAATCAACTGTCTCCACTACGTGTTTCAGCTATTGCGTGGATAGTTCAGTTAGTCACCGAGGACAAGTGCCTAGCAAGTTCCGTACTCAGGTAGTCACCTTCCCATAATGTTCGCTCTATTTGTTATATTTCTTTGCACATCATATTTTGTATTATATTTTATTATTAGCTTTCATCTCCAGAAGAAAAATGTCAACAAGTGTTGGAGCCACCTTATGATGAAATGTTTGCTGCACACTTAAGGTAAAATGGATGGAAGGAATGTTTGGGGCACCCAACATCCATGCCAAGGCTGCTTTGTTCAGGGTGGCTCAGGGTTAGGGTTAGGGCTCAGGACTTCATGGCTGCCTTGACAACCATGAGGCTGTCTCAACATGTAACTGGCCCAGTGCATGAAAGGGGAGACACTCTGGACCTGGTCTTTTTGATAGATCTGGAAGATGGTGGATCAGATGTGGAGGAACGAACATTAACCCCATTGTCATGGTCTGACCACCTTCTGGTGAGCTTTAGGCTGTTGGCTCCTTTTCCCCTCTTCAAGCATGGGGGACCTGTTAAAATGCCCCCCCCCCAAGACTGATGGATCCAGAGGTCTCTGGGGGAGTATCTGCCTGACATGGCTGGTACTCCTGTGAAAGCCCAAACTGCTCTGTGGAAGGTGGAGATGACTGAGATGGTTGACATGATCACTCTTAAACACCCTCTCCACTCCCGCAGAGCCTGACCAACTTCATGGTATACTGCTGAGCTTAGGGCAATGAAGCAAGAAAGGAGATGGCTTGAATGTAGGTGGAGGAAGTCTCGAGATGAATCTGCCCAAACATGACTTAGAGCCCATTGTGGGGCCTATTTCATGGTGAGAAGAGTGGAAAAGAGTAGCGTCTTCACAGTGCTGTCTGGCTGAACTTTTCCGAGTGGTTTGGGGTCTCCTGAACACTGGAATATTTAGTGAGACTATTGAATCCTACCAACTACTGAATCTGAAATTTGTTCATCACTTTGAAGACAAAATTGCTCCATGATTTGGACTCTACATTTGATATAGTCCCATTGAGAGAGAGGTGAGCCTTGTTCATCTTGTCTGACTTGGTGGATGAGATTTAGCCTGAGGATGTAGACGAGGTGCTTGGTTCTGTTCATGCCACTACCTGCCTACTTGATCCTTGGCTATGTTGACTCATCAAGACATCTAGCCAAGGGTTAGCATCTGGGCCCAGGAGGCATCAACGCCAACTGGAGAGAGGGGGTGGTCCCAGCCTCTTTGAGCAGCTTCCCAAGTGGAAAGGTGGACAATAAAAAAAACCAAATGATTGTCAAGACTGGGCAGTCTGTCCTGCTGGGTTGACTGCAAGCCTCTAATGAAATAATGACGGAGCAGAAAGCAAAACATTTAAAGCAGCTTTGTGAGAGTTCTGTTCAAAAATGAAAATAGTTTAACCAACCTGTGTGTGCATGTTTGGTAGAGTTTAAAAGATACGTGAACGAAGTACAAAACAAAGAAAACTAACAGTCATAGCAAGCAGTCCTTGTGGACCCAGAAAAAACTGTCAGAGAGGTTTGATGTCCCAGTGCTCTGTAGCATATGCAACCTGATGCACTGTATGCATATTTATTTGAAAGTAACTAGTATCTTCAGTGGGGTTTGTTTCCTCATTGCAGCCTAAAAGGATTAAGTTGAGAAAGAAAAACATGTGAAATATAGCAGATTTTGGTATTCTGCAACTGCTCAAATACCTGCTTTGGGCAGATGAACATAAAACGTAATAGATTTTGCCATTCAAGGACTGTGATGTTTTATTTATTTTATTTATTGTGCCACAGCACCTCTAGGTGGCTCACAGTCTTACAATTCTAAGCATGCATACGAAGTTGAAAGCACCATTGAGCACAGTAGGATTCATTACCAAGTAAATATGATTAGGTTTGCACTGTTAATCTAGCCCAGCCTTTTCTGGTGTGGTGCCTTGGATTATAGCCATAATCCCTGGGGATGATGGGAGTTGTTGTCTAATCCATCTGGAAGGCACTAGGTTATGGAAGGTTCAGATAAGTAAAAATAGTATTCTTAAAGCTGTAAGAGCTGGATATTATCTCATGATTCTTAATTTGTTTGCCTCTTTTGATAGATGTACTTATGCTGTTGCCAACCATGACTTTGTAGAAGCTTACAAATGCCAGACAGTTATAGTACAATATCCTTTAGCACTAATTCCATTAAAAGTCTTCTGTGAAATACTGAGCTCATGATCTTCAGCTCAGGCTAAGGAGTTAGCAACCCTGTGTTTAGTACAGTTGTTTTCCAATGTCCAGAGAAGATGATCCAGCACTATGGTTTAACATAAGAGTATGGACATACTGCGAACTTGTTAGATCACTGGACAAATGGGCCATTTGTACTTAATACTGGCTATACAAAATATATAGCCAGCTTTACCGTACCTATAGGATTATCACTCTGTGGCAGGTGGGATTGCATTCTCCCTTAAGAGCCAAGTTTCTTGCTTGATAGTCGCTGCAGTCCCTTCTGGACACACAGGGCTTGGCTATTTGCATCCCTGCCCTGGTAAAATCTATAATTAAGTAATGTGATCTGTTGTACATGAGGCTTCCTGATCTCTATTGGCGTTACTGTTGGTGTTCAGTTCATAATGTATGGCTATACTATTAAATTCTATGCATCCTATTATAAATCACACAGTATCAAATTTCCTTAAATTTCACACATCGTTCCTGAGAGCTTTTCAAGCACACAGAGAAGAAAATTGGTAAGTATTTTCAGGTACTGGACAAATAAATGGATTATTCTAATGCCTCTGTTTAACAGGGGAAAAGGTTTTTTTTAAACTTATATGTAAGTGCCATTTCTTCTCTCGATGCCAAAGTGCCATTACATTAAGAGGTCTCTCTGAATCAGAGATGCAGAATTCAGGCTGAAGGGCTAAGTCCAGAACATTAGAGTTGCCAGATAACCATGTACCCACCCTGATCCCACCTTTTGTCCCCTGACCAAAAATCATTTGGTGGCTTCCCATCTCTTGTGCTGTTCTTCTCCCATTCTAAATGGTTGGAATTCCTCTGCTAGTGCTTATTAAGTGCTTTAAGCTAAACTATGCTGGTGTTATTCCTGCCACCTTTGCCTACGGCTCACCCACCACTAGAATATCACCTCTGAGAGCTTATCCAAATTGGAATCCAACCCTTGGGCTGAAAGTGGTCCAACAGCCATGCTCTAAATGTTCGCTCTTAAATTGTGTTTAGGGCCAACAGAATACTGTCATATGAAAACAAGAGTCACTTAGCCTCCAGTTAGAAAGGTTGAAAAGGCAAAGAATAAGGGAAAAGATGGCGCTTAATAAAGAACTGAAGTGCTATCATGCAGTTCCCAAGAAGAGGAATCTGTGAAGGTTAAGGAAGTTGCAAGAGAGAACTTTAAGTTTGCAAGGGATATTTAAAGAAGAAGCTTTTGTCTGAGTGGACAAAAACATGGTGGTTCAAGTATAGAGAATTACATGGCCATCAGCAAAAGGACACAAATTCAAACTTAATGAAATATGATACTTTAATGTAGGCCTGGCAATTTCTGAATATAATCTGCCTTTGAAGACCTCCTTTCTGGCTCCTATTTATACCTGTAGCAGTATTAAACATGGCCAAGGAAACATTTGAAATCCCCACTGGGTGTTCCTTGAGTGCATGGATGCTGGGTAAACTTGAGCTGATATGTTCATTGCACCTTTTTTTGAGTTCCAGCACATTTTCAGCAGGCCCAAATTAAATAGCCTTAACTCACAATAAGAAACAATGCATCAGTTCATTTCTAGTTATGAAGTATGTGTCTGCACACTTGTTTGCTGGGTGCCATAGTTAAAGCAATACTGTAGACCAGTGGAGACGAACCTGTGGCATGTGAGCCACAGCGGGCACACACAGCCCTCTCTGTCGGCATGCCCTCCCCAGCATTGCCTCAGCAACCGAGCATCGGATAACAGCAGAAGTAGGGGCCATGCGCATGCTCAGAAAGGAGTACTAGCCCCAGGTGATGATGTCACGAGCTGCGACTCATTAGCCTCAACTTGTCCGAGCTTTCGCAAGGCTGGTCAGTGCACTGCCAAAGATATAAGTATTTTGCTTGGACGGGCTGTGAGGTGCATTTTGTAAGCTAAAACATCAGTTTTCAGGTTTTATTGCAGTTTGACACTTTGCGATAAATAAGTGGGTTTTGGTTTGAAGTTTGGGCACTCGGTCTCTAGAAGGTTCACCATCACTGGGTTAGGGTTAGAAAAAATGAGGTGTCCTGGTATGATTTTGATGGTTGGAATGCGTTGAGAATGAGCAGAAAAGATAAGCTGTGCAGAAAAAGCTACTCGAGGGCATTTTCAAAATTGAGGTCTTTTCAATGGAACTTTTGACCCCTATTAGGGTTAGGGGTGTGCACCAGGGTAGGGTTAGGGATACAAAAACAAGGTGTCCTGGCATGATTTTGATGGTTGGAATGTGTTCAGAATTTGCAGATAAGATGATCTGTGCAGAAAAATTGCTCAAGGAGGGCTTTTTCAAAATTGAGGTCTTTTCAATGGAACTTTTGCCTTCAATTTGTGTTATGGGTGTGCACCAGGATGGGGTTAGGGTTGGAAAAACGAGGTGTCTTACTGTGACTTTGATGGTTGGAATGTTTTTAGAATGGGCAGAAAAGATGAGCTGTGCAGAAAAAGCTGCACTAGGAGGGCATTTTCAAAGTCAACATCTGTTCTGTTCACCCTCTATTCGGGTTAGGGTTAGAAAGACGAGGTGCCCTGCCATGATTTTCCTTCTTTTGTCAATGGAACATTACCCCTTTATTAAGGTTAATGGAGGGCGCCAGGGTAGTGTCAGGGAGTTTTGGCAAACCTGTGGCACTCGGGCTGCAATGGGCATGCAGAGCCCTCTCCTTCAGCACGCGAGCCGCAGCATCGCTCCAGCAGCCGAGCATCAGATAGCAGCGCACAGAGGGGCCATGCGCATGCCCAGAAAGGGGTAGCCGCGCCAGGCAATGATGTCATGAGCCACGACTCATTTACCGCCACTCGTCCGATCTTTCTCATGGCCAGTCAGTGCACTGCCAGGGATGGATGGATGGATGGATGGATGGATGGATATATATATATATTGCTTGGGCTGGCTTTGAGTTGTTTTTTCTAAACTAAAACCTCAGTTTTCAGGTTTTATTGTAGTGTTGGCACTTTGTGATAAATAAGTGGGGTTTGGGTTGCAGTTTGGGCACCCTGTCTATAAAAGGTTCGCCATCATTGCTGTAGAGTATTTCTAGACTTGGAATAGGTTGTTTGGACAATTAACTGTATCTTGCTTTTGTTTTTCCAGGGCTTTGCCTATCATGTATGCGGTAGCACTTGATCTTCGAATTTTTGCTAATAGCGTAAGTAACATCTTAGAGGGGAAGCTCCTCGGTGTTGTGCACAGCTAGGGCTGCCTGAATGGGACTGGGGAAACTGTGAACATTCTCTGCACCCATCCTGCAAAGTGCTTCATCTTAGGAACATCCTGTCTACATGCATACACATAGTTATATTGTGTCCTGCAATGTCCCATGTGGGCTGACCCAAGACAGTCACAAATATATCTGTTGTTTGGGATGATCAGCAAATCATCTGTGAAAACCTCAAAAATCTTCAAGGAAGAACACATAACCAAGAATTCATGCAAGGAATGTTCTGTCGTATAACTGTACATGTTCTGTCCTATAACTGAATATATCCTCGTTGACATCTTCAGGACTGCTTTCTCTAAATTGTGAGACTTGAGAGAGACCAAGTGTTTTTCTTTGTGGTTTATGATGTACAGCTCCTTTGCTTTTTTCCCAGGTGAAAAGTGGCTTTTGGTGGGTCAGGGCATGATCCTATGGCCTCCAAGGGTCCTAGGGTTATTTGGAGTCCCAGCTCTGTGGCCCTCTAACCTCAGAGCTGGGATTCTGAATGCAGAGCCCATACCCTACTCAGCATGATGGGGTATGTTGGTAGGGAAGAAGACTGAAACAGGTAGCTTATGCTAAAGCTGCTAAATATGGAATATATGTAACTATATGGAATAGATATCACTAGACCACTTAGATCATCAGCAGAGGCCCTCCTTTGTGAACGCCCCCCAAATGAAGTAAGAGGCAAATTGGCAAGAAAAAGGGCCTCTCTGCTATCACACCTTAGTTTTGGAATTCTCTCCCTAAAGAGATGTGATTGGCACCCTTGTTATTTTGTTTTCACCGCCAAGTAAAGAATTTTTTATTTAGTAACTGCTTTTAGAAATACGGTTTTATTTGCTTTTTACTGCTGAGTTGATTGTTGCTTTTATTGTTGTTTATCTTATCCTCCTGTTTTACACCTTATATTAGTTGATTTTACATGGTTTTAGATGTTACTGTTTTATTTTATTATACTTAGGTTGTTGTTTCTGTCTTTCATGAGACTCCCAAAGAGTCTCCAGACTATGGGGCAGCATACAAATGCAGTAAATAAATAAATAGCGCTGCAGCTTCCTTCTCCTGCTCTGCAGTGGTTTAGGCAGTCAAAAAGATTGGTCGTCTAGATGAAATACAGGGCGTGTTGTGGGATGGCAGAATTTAGTGCACTGCACACCCTGCATTGAATGCTTGTAAGCTCCCTGTTCAGAGGCTTACTGTACATGCACAGAAGGCAGACAAAATTGTGCTGTCCGAGGGTGATTGTACTTGTGATTGAAAATCCTCCAGCTTCCCCCCTCCCCAAACACAATTAAGAACAGATGGTCAGCTCCTACCAACTGTCTCTGACAAAATAACAATTTTTGAGAGTGCTTGGGAGGTTTACTTGCAGAGGAAGCAAGACGTGCATTGCTTCTACAAAATTATAGTTGTTCCTAGCAAACTGACCTTTATATACAGAGCAGTCATTCTGACATAAGCAAATAATTTGTGGGAGACGGGTCAGGAAGGAGCAGTTAAAATGTTTACAAGAAAGTTGCAAGTACCCCATGTTCTAAATGTAAAGTTTAGTTGCTTTGGACAAACTTATCACCAAAGCCATATTTCATCATCGACTTAACTTTGATGGAAAAGAAGTTTTGATCCGTGCTTTTGGTACTGCGTTTGAGAGTCAGGCTACTTATTAATTGGGAGAAAAAGAGGAAAGACTTGTATATAGTGTCTCTTGCCTTCTGTCACAATAGGCTGACCAACAGCTGGCAAAAAAAGGCAAAGGCAAAGTTGGTGACATGCTGGAAAAAGCAGCAGAACTTCTGATGAACTGTTTCCGAGTCTGTGCCAGCGACACGTGAGTGAACGCTCAGCTGTTGATCTCAGGCCAAATCATTTGGAAATGTTAATTGTTTTCCAATTTGTGAAGTATGATGGTCTGACACTTTTGCAATGTGCATATGTATGTGAAAGCTGGAGAGAGATGTATGTTTCTTCAGGAAGATCATTAAACATCTTTGTTGAAGGCAGAATTTTATAATTATTTTATGGTAATATTTGTTGTCCTGCTGATTAAACCATGTAAATTAAGGCAGACATGTAAAAGTGTGGATTTGTAAAGAATTAACTCATTTGTTTGTTGATGTTAAAATTGCTCAAGCATAATGATTCAGTTAGAGCTGCAATGCTGTACACACTTACATGGGAACAACTCATTGGACTCAGGGAGACTTAACAGCTGAATAAACCTGAATAGATATGTTGTAAATTGATATGGTCTTGGCAGATAGGAAAAAGCTTGCTTGAAAATGTAAATCAAAGCCTTCGAGGAGGTGGTAAAAAAGTAGAGGCTTAAATGAAGGTGAATTTTTTTTCATTATCCATTTCATTCTGATACATTTCTACTATTTGTCATAGTCGAGCTGGTATTGATGATTCCAAAAAGTGGGGCATGTTGTTCCTGGTGAATCAACTGTTTAAGATTTATTTTAAGGTACGGCTTAAAAGACTCATCTTCTTGTTTTCACATTTCCTACTCAAGACTGGTGTTGCATGGCTATTTCCATCTATTAATGCCATTGTTTCTTTGCAGATTAACAAACTGCATCTGTGCAAACCATTGATAAGAGCAATTGATAGCTCAAACCTTAAAGATGAATATACAATGGCACAGAGAGTCACGTACAAATATTACGTGGGACGGAAGGCCATGTTTGACAGTGATTTTAAACAAGGTACTTTATGAAGATTTTAAAATGTATTTTTAAACTGGGATGCTGGCAAAGCCTTTCAGCACCATCTTTATTGGGGTTGAAAAGAGTAGTTTTCTGTTCTGGAACTCAGAAGGCCCTGCCTGTCTTCCACTGAGGTTGTTTAGCAAGTTACTTTTATCTTTTCCTTCCGAGAAATGACTGCTCATGCCCACCATGCTAGCTGTTTTATGAATGGGCACGTTCCCGCCCCTTCCCAAAGCAGCCAGTTTGTCAGAGTTCCCAGAGCACTTTCACAACTCCAAATGTGCCTTCCAATTAAGAAAGGCTGGGGATCCCTTTTCACATTGAACAAAAGGGTATGAGAAAAAGAAGTGAATGGTTTCATTTCCAATTAGGCCAGAACTAATGATGCCTATTGAAAAGAAATGGGATAATGTTAGGTCCACTTGAACAGGACTGGGTTGGTATCCCATCCCATGTTGAGCACTCTCTGTCTTCAGAGTGTGTCAGAATCTTACTATATTAACTAGCTAAGCATTTGACAAACATTGGGATTTAGAAATTCGCAATTCTGTAAAGTTGATATAACCATTGATCATGACTGCAGAGATCAATGCTCTTAAGTTTGATTATTTGTACAAATCACTTTTCAATATCATCATTAATAATCTCCTTGCTGTATGAGGATAGGTTGTAAAGAATGAAATCGGTTGTTCTTATTTCCAGGCAAACATGAAGGAAAATACTAAACATGGGACAAAAAGACACATACCTTCAAACATAACACTTTTGACATGTTTACACTATAACTTTGCTAACGGCATCTGCTACCATTAACAGTGCTCACCCACTTTCTGTGTTTGCAGCTGAAGAGTATTTGTCATTTGCCTTTGAGCACTGTCACCGCTCCAGCCAGAAAAACAAAAGGATGATTTTGATTTATTTGCTGCCAGTGAAGATGTTGCTGGTGAGTAGTATCTGAATATTTCATGACTTCTACCAGACACTTTGCAATGTGGAAAATAGACTGCATTTGCCAAGCTTTTCAAACTGGTGACCAACAAAGATAAACGTGGTACAGGTCTGCCACAGCCTAACCCACCAAGCTCAACGTACCCTGCCAGCCCGTGCACTCTGTCCTGCTCCATACTTCTTTGTGCACAGCTGTCAGGTCTGGGACACAGACAGCAGATATCTGGCTGGAGGTGATGGAAGTGGATGGAGATCTTCATTGATGCAGCAGGGCTAGAGACAGGAACAAGCAAAGACTAGATACCATCAAGGTGTAGCCAGACTAGAAACAGCTACAGAGTCAGGAACAGACAAGGGTCAGATGCTAGCAAGGAGTGGCAGAACCAGAGCTGAAGGCAAGGTCAGGAGCCAGCAAGAGTTGAGGCCTGGTTGAGGGCAAGACAAGGTACCACAGAGGTCCATGAAGCTGTGACCAAGCTAAGCAGCTTAGGGAAGCCTTCTATGGAGCTTCCCAGCGCTCCCAGGTGCGCTACCTGATTGTGCAAGCTGTGGTCCTTGCAAGTACTTACAGGCACTGGCATGATGACCTATGCTGCAGACCCTGCCAGTAGATTCCAGGTAGTTACCCACAAGAGGTGCATGGCCAGGGTGTGCTGGCATGTATGGCTGATGGGCGTTGTTTGGATTTGTGATTCACAAGTGGTAAAGCCCGGAGTCAGTGATGAAACTTGTAAAACTTTAGTTGGAACTCTGCTGAGAGTCACTTAGGAATGAAGAGTGAAGCAAGATTCCCTGCTTTAGGGAGCTAAACCATAACAGGGAACAGAACAGTGGCGTTCCCATCTGGAGCACCAAAAGCGCACAGTGGGTGTCCTAAGTCAGAGGGCTCTGAGCGGCAGAAGGTGAATGGCAGGGCACCACATAAGATTTGTGGAAGAGGTGAGAGCACTAGAAGGTGAAGGTGCGGAGGTCTGGAACTCTGTAGAATTCTGTGAAAGAGGCACAGCAGCGGCAAAGTAAAACTTCATCTGGAAATGCCTGTCTAATGAGGACAAAACGTAATGGAGATTGTGATTGCTTCCTGTCATGCTAGAAAATCATTGCTGGTGGTGTTACTTACTTCATTTTTGTACCACCCAATACATATTTATTTATTCAAAGCTTTTCTGCTCCATCCCCTGCGGAATGTCTTGGGACGGCTTACAAATAGCCAAAGTTGGCTGGACAGTTTACTATAGTTGTGGTGTTAGATGGAGGCCTGCTATAACAGGGGTCCTTGGAGCAGCTCACCTCTGAAGGACTTGGTTGTTGATGCATTTAAACTTCTTTTTCAATAATAATGATGCTTTGGTTTCAGGGCCACATGCCTATGATCCAGCTGTTAAAAAAATATGACCTCATGCAGTTTGCAGAAGTCACAAAGGCTGTGAGGTAAGTCTTATTGGCTGAGCTGCATGCTTATAGTCCCATTAGTTAAGTAAAATGTTCAAAGTTATTTATTTTACAAAATAAAAAGAGAATAATTCTGCAGAACAATTAAATGCTGATCATTGTTTGCGCACTACTATGGCTTCCAAGAGAGAGGCAGCTGCTTGGGTGTTGCCCCAGGGCAAATGTGCTGGTGGGTCAGCCACTGCCTTGCCCCATTGGGCCAGGGTTAATAGGGTGGGACTAGGAAGAGTAAGAAAAGCACCAGAGGAGGAGGAAGATGGGTCTTGGCTGGACACAGATGCAGCTGTTGAGGTCATGGTAGTACTGAACTGTGCACTCCATGAAATTGCATGCTTGTGTTGCTTTAGACTGCAGCTGAGGATGTCAATTTATTTTCCTTCCTGTACTTAGAGAATTATTTGGTAAAGGAAAATCCATAAACACCAGTGTTTTCTCTTCCTCTTCCTGCAGCTCAGTTCTGGGTATTGTACATAGGAGGAAAACAAGCTAATTGGGTTTGCGTTCATAACAACTTATTGTGTGTAATGGGCTACAGTGGTTTGTCATATTGTACAAACCTGGACAGCTTGCTCTACAGGGGCTTATTTGGGACAATAACCCATCCTGACAACCCATCACTTGTTCTAGGGGCTGTTGAACTACCAGTGGGTTGCCGTGCCCTGATCCACCCCCATGGCTCCAAGGAAAAAGTGAGAGCTGCTCGACAAGAGAAGCGAAAATCTCCTGCTGAGCTCACCCAGACCACTGTCAGTGGCAAACCACCCCGGCAGTGCCTGAGTGGCACGCCATCTGCCTCTCTCTCCCTCCAGTGGCAGCCATTGATATGCCCTCCCAATGGCCCAAGTGGCAAATGGGCACAGCTATCACTGGCTTGCCATCTTTTAAAAAATATTTAGGTGCCAGGAAAGGCAAAGGGAAAGCAGAGAAAGGGGAAAGGCCCTGGCAGCAACTGAAAAGGGGTCATGAGCTGAATGTAGAATGGAAACAAGGTGGTTCCACCTGCCAAGGTCCCTTGGGAGACCAGCTGGAGGATTGAGGGAGGAGCAGAGGAGACGAGCTACGGTGAGCCCAGTCATATGTCTGGAGCTTATTCTCAGGCTGGTTTGTTGTGCCATGCAAATTGACCCAGTGTGACAATTCTTTGGAAATAAACCCTGTTAAAGCACCTGTTACTTTTTAATTCTTCTAGTGAAGGGAACCTTCTTTTACTGAATGATGCTCTGGTAAAGCACGAGACATTCTTCATTCGCTGTGGCATCTTCCTGATCCTTGAGAAGTTGAAAATCATCACCTACAGGAATCTCTTCAAGAAAGTGTAACAACAGTGTTATTCACCTTTTCTGAAAAGGCCATCTGTAGTGAACCTGTGGTCAGGGTTATGATGTCATTCATACTGTGAGGAGTTGCATATGGAATTGCCTGGAATTATGTTACCTCCTTTCCTGTACAAAATGTGATAAGCACTGTGAAAGTACAGATTCCCCGTGGTTTAATAATTAAGCAGAAGTTTTCTTTCTAGAGCCATCGTTTCCTTTCTGCCTTATTAGACCATTATGTTCCTAACTAAAATATACTGCCAATCAAAAGTGGCCATTTTCCTTTCTTTACAGCTGGATTCAGAGCTGAGCCTACATGGGGCAGCGATATCTGGAAGCTGGTTTCTAGGCTGCTATTGGAATGACATAATAATTGCTGAGAGTGTTCTGGGTGAGGAAGGGCCTGCCACTCTCACTAGTGGTTTGACCTGAAAAGGGAGCACTCAGGGATGGCGATAAACTCCTGGCGTTTGCTCTTTGAACTGCATCTCTCACTCTGCTGGTAGAGGAAGTTTTAGTCAGCCTGCCAGGTGTCCCTTGCCTGATGGGGATCCTGGCAGGAAGATCTGTATCCTGGCGCAGACCATCCATTGAGTGCAAACAAAGCCTGACTAACCAGGGGCAAGGGCAAGATATGAAGCAAATTCACACTGTGATGTAAATTCTGTTTTTTGTCTATTTGTACTGCCTCTTTCCTAAAACTCTACCCTCTTGAATGTTGAAAGTTTGGAATGAGTTTGTTCTAAAAACAGTGGACATAACACACATTGCCTTGTCCCCCGGAGGGTCTATAGAAGCCTTAGGAACCTTTCCCTACAAACATCGGATAAATGCTGGGAGTTGAGCCCCAGATTTTAGGGACTAGCTGAACTGCATTTCCTTCATAATTGGTTGCCTTTATCAGGGGTGGGCTTGTACAGGAGGTCCAAGGGGTATTTTTGTTCCTCCCCCTTTGCTGGTGCCATTTTAAAAAAATAATAAAAAGTGGCAGCTGTTTTTTCCCACAATTTTTAATGATTTGGGAGTGGTAGGAAGTGCACTGCACTACCCATGAGCTATGCATTGCTCACCTACGGCCTATATATTGTAATGATCACATCCAGTTCCAAGTCTGAGCTGAAGAAAATAAATATAGCTAGGAAAAACTGATCTTATAACTGGGTCTCTATAGTTTCCCCAAAGGAGCTAAATATTTTGTGCTTTCCTATTCACAACAATATTTCTTGACAGAGAATAAAGGTGATAGAACCAGGTTTGTATTTGTATATCCTGAAGAAATTAAAATGTGCATTTTCTTCTTCCAGCTATTTGTTACTCAAAACTCATCAGCTCTCTCTTGACGCCTTTCTGGTTGCATTGAAATTCATGAAAGTCAGTGATGTTGATATTGATGAAGTCCAGTGTATTCTAGCTAACCTCATATACATGGTGAGTATTGGTATGTCTTGAGATGAAATCAATCTGCAAGAATACATTTTATTATTGTAGTAGGCTTATTGCAATATAAAATGACTAACACAAGATTCCATTGATAGGTGCTGGAACTTTATTTGTATATTCAATAATGTATGATACACTACCTATGTAAAAGAATAGACTTATAAAGATGGAATGGCTGGGTTTGAATGGCAGGTTACTACCCACAACGTGTTGTGTAAACCAGCACCAATTTCCTCAGGGTGGCTTGTGCACCAAACAGTTTGTTCCAGTTGTTGCACAGTCTGAACCTGGATGACTGACCTATCGTGGCTATAGGGGATTGGCTATAGGGGATTGGCTAGGGAGACCCTGGGCATAAGCAGCAAAATGCCATTGCTGCTCCTGTTGTCACACTTTTGGGAAGCATTAGTGCCAGCCACCCGCAAAGGACACAGATGGCATTTGGGGACAGCGGGTACTGGCTTCCCCTGCTCCAAGCTGATGCTGTAAACTGTTTTGGACTTATCATGGCTTTTTTCATTTCAAACAGGTGTTGTTGCTGCAGGGTTTTGCTTTTTGTTTTTGTTTGATTTGAGGGAAGATTGTGAAAGCTGAATTTGAAGACACCCCTTGCGGTCCCCCTTTTGACAACTATGAGCTGTGCCTCCAAGGTGCCCCACCAAGTATCTTGGAGAGACAGCCTGTGATTGTCTGCCTCTTTTTTGTGCACAAACATTTTTAAAATACATATTTTTTGTCACATTTGTGAAAATCTGGAAGGGCAGAGATGTGTGGGTGCAGCCCTAGGGAAGGGACTGGGCAGAGGACGGTGCCTGGTGGCAAAGTCCAGCCAGTACTAGCCATGTATATTGCCCAGTGGAGGCTGCAGGTAAATTAATTCACCCTTTGGAACCATTTGACAGCTATCTGAATGTGAGCTGTCAAATGGTTCTAAATCTGTGAGTGAGCCTTGCTTGCAAAAGTGAGTATCACATCAAATACAGTGGTACCTTGGCTCACAAAAACATAGCACATGATACTTCAATGTGGTGTATGACGCCTCTTTGGTCAAAACTCAGAGAATGAGAATAAAACTGTAGACAGCTTGGAACTAGATTAGGGAAATATGTAAGCTGCACAGGTCTTTTGATCCTTTCCCCAGTTGTTATATACAAAGAGTGCTGCCAGTGGGCAGGTATCTCCATCATAACATTGCCAGCCCTAACCAGATAATACATGCGTGAGACCAAGATGATCTCACAGTACCTGTAGATGCAATGACATTCACACCTCTCAAGGCAATGTGTGAATTAGAGTTGGGACAAGACCTAGTTGAATGTGTCTTTCTCACATCCATGGACTTCCCCTCCTGCCTGGCCCAGTCCTAGAAGGTAAGCCAAACCGAGAGGAAGTCCACAGTGCTTTCTTCCACGTGACCGGCAGTAACTCAGGCAAAGGCTTCTACATGTGGCACGGAAAAGGGGTGCCGCTTCCGTGGTGTGTGGTGCTCAGTTCCTGCTAGGAACTTGGACTTGGGGCCACAGCAAAGCAAACGGGAGTCTGGGGAGCTGAGCTTTCTCACCCCAAACCTGATTCCTCACATATCCCTAGCGTAAACTGGTCCTTAATAATGGCAGGAAAAGTATAAGGCAGAGGAAGAAGGGGAAGACTAGATACAAGGTGGATTGATATAGAAAGTCACAGCTTTGAGTTTACAAGAACTGACAGGGCTGTTGAGGACAAGCATTTCGGACAGTATTTGTTTATAGGGTAGCCGTAAGTCCAGGACGGTAGCACGTCACGGCAACATGTGTAAAAGTAGTTCCCCTGCCTCTTTATAATTGTTCCTTAGGAGCAGCACATGGACATTCTATTAGCAGTGCTTTTGTTTCTGACTGGTATAAAAAGTTATACCCTTACCCTTTCCCAGTTCCCTCCATATATGTTGGACCACAATGCCCAGCATGGTTGGCTAGGGGATGCAGGGAGCTGTGCGATACATCTGAAGGAGTCAGGTTGCAGAATCTCACAGCACCTGCTTTTGTCAACCGTAGCAAATGAAAGGTTTTCGGTTGTTCTGTCCTTTTGTCTCATCGCTCCCACCTGTATATGTCTCATCCTCCAGTGAAGCAGTTCACAGATCAAACCATCTCACAATAAAGATCGCATGAACAGTTTTTTACAGAGGATGATATTACTTTGAAATCTTAGGCACCCTGGAAGATTGTACATGGCTGAATATATATGTAAATTTAGCAACTGTGTGAACAAACAATACTAATGGGTATGGGGGTGTTTTTCTGTGCCAGGGTCACATTAAAGGCTACATATCACATCAGCATCAAAAGCTCGTGGTCAGCAAGCAAAATCCATTCCCTCCACTTTCTACCGTCTGTTGAATCTACTACGACCAAGATGTAGATGTCCCATGCATGAACATTGGTTGCCCCTGGGGCAGCCTTCTTCAGAGGATGGAACTGGCAGGGTGCTTCACTGAAACCTACTGGAGTATTCATTAGTAAGTGTTTAAAAGTTTTGCAGCACAAAATGTAACACTGTGGAGCCAACATTTCTTTCTGCCAGCAAGAACACTCTGTGAATAGAGGTCCACTTAAGATGCTCTAATCACTGGTATGAGGCAGAGGGTGAGTGATGGTGGTTGATTTTCCCATTCCCCCTGCAATTCCTAGCACCACCTTCAACAGTGGTCTCCAGACCTACTGGACTAGCTGTTCATTGTGGCAAAGAGGAGGTTCAGTGACTTCAGGGATGAGGGGAAACCAGTAAAGATTGCTTCTCTCCCCGTTCTACAACCAGATCAGAAGCCTTCTGTGGATGGAAAATGCTCTTCTGTTCCCAGGAGAGCGATCCTGGATCCAACCAAATACTCCATGCAGAAAACTGTAAACTTTATAAAATGCAACCCTTGTGAAGTTACACCATTTTTGATACTCTTTGTGAAGTGTTTGTTCATAAACGTTACCGAAGTGGGTACTGTTAGAAATTTAAATTGTGTGGATGTCTTTGTATTCTCATTATCAAACTATTTCATGAATAATAGTAAACATTTATCTTGCAGTATGTGTTTAATTAAAATTATATGAAAGAAATAGAAAATATTTGAGATGTAACCCATTTTTAGCAGAATGTAAACTTTTAAAAAGCTGGAATTACAGAATTTTTTTGTGAGACTTGTTCTATTGCAGGGTCAGTTGTAAGACCTAGGCACCACCTTGGGTCTTGTTTGGCATCTATTAAAATGACTGTTTGCTGCATGCAAATACACTGAATATGCAAATAAATGAGGTTACATAGATTGTTTACACTGCAAACAGGTGTACAATGGGGAGAACTATGGCTGATCTGTCTTGATGCACTGTTTGAAATCTTATCACGTAAATACACCCTCTTTCTGTATTAAACTCATGTAAATTATAGCCAAAGAACTCAAAGGACACTGGAAGTTACAAGAATTTCACTATGTAGACTGAAAGGATTCACAGTGTGTGTTACTCGTATGATTTGAGTGTGTATTGTGCTAAATGGAACAACTTTACAGGAAAGTAAAGTAACATTACAAACTCTAAAAAAAGCAGTTTTGTGAAAATCAGGCCAGCTAGTACCATATAGATAAAGCAACAATTTTTAAAAAGTGAAAGTTGGTGGTGAGTTATTTTAATACAAAGCATGGAAGAGGAGGAGTGGGGGCAAAAAACTTTATTTTAGCAGGTAAGCATACCTAATATTACAACCACCACTTGTACTCGAATGCATGTAAATGCCAGACCTGGTCATTCGCCTTATTCGTTTGCCACTGTCTTTGGTAAGTTTTTTTGTAAGTTCTTTATTTGTTGAAACCACATCATGTATCTTGAAGTCTTGGTGAATATCAGTGTTTTCCACTGACTGACTGCCGTTGCCCAGGGCTCTAAGATGCCAGTCAGAAACCAGGTGCCTTTATAATTGACAGCACTGAAACTCCCTTCAGTAAGTGGCTCCTCAGCTGCCCCCCATGTGTGGGCACAGAATTCCCTTGTGATCAAACTTCGGTTGAGTTTTCGTTGGCATTCATTTTCGTTGAGGTAGAAAACTGGCTGTTCAACGACTGCATCTGTTGACTGGGTTGCACCCCTTTTCCAGCCACTGAGAGTGCCTGTCAGTTTTGACATCAACACATGCTCTGCAAAGTCCCTCTCTGGAATGCATATGGGTAAGTGATGGCTATTGCAGTCAATATGCTTTTGAAGTTTGAGCAATGCCAGGTTGTTCTCAGCAGTGATGTGATCATGGCGGGGGTGTAAGTTTACTTTAGTCACCAGTATTTCTTGTCTAGCACTTTGCAGCATGCCGTTTCCTGGGTAGGTAATGATGTACTCATTGAGCTTTTGTTTTAAATGGACCACGTTGTGCAAATCGTTACAAAAAAAGATTCTGTCTATACCTGAATGCCATGGAATTAGGAAGGGAGCAATTTCCAAGTCATGATAGACTTTGAATAACTGATCTCATGTTAACATGTGCTATATTGCTTCTTCCCAAATTCACCTCATCTTTCAAGAGGGCTTTTTTAGTAGAAAGATGGAACCACTGATAGGTGGTATGTACTTCTTTCGCCACCCTTTCAGTTCTGTGAGTTGTATCTAAAAGGAATCATTTGCCACTGAAATGGCCATATGGCAAAATGGACTCCTTCCAGCCCCGAAATCTGCTCTTGAGCATTGGAAGACTTTCCAGAGAATGCCTGGTAGTGGCAAAGAAGGGGATGTTCCATGGTGTGTACAGAAGCTGCTCAGGGGGTCTAGGGTAGCCCTGTTTTTCTAGGGCAGAACAAGGAAATATGAAGGATGCACTTTCGGGGCTGGCTTCTGCTTGAGAGACCACTGTGGGTTTGTGGAGAGCAGCATGGATGTGTTTGGTTCTGCAGGATTGTGCTGGCAGGTAAGCTGATACCTGCCAGATATTTTGCACTACACCTGCCCTGGCCATTGACAAGACAGCTCTGGAGATGATGGGAGCTGTAGTCCCAAAAATGTGGAGGGTACAGAGCTGCCTATGCCAGGTTCAGGATGTTGGCACAGCTTGGGCTGTTTCGGACAGCAAAATGCCTTGGCCAGCTTCCACTTCCACACATGTAGTCGGGTGGGATTGGCGGGCGAGTGCTGATGAACAGCACCCCACCAAGCCATCCCCAAAGCAGCCTTTGCAAAATTCCCTATAATATGGACCCTGCAAGCACTCCATCAAGGGCTGTTTCTCATACAAGAAGTATTTGCATGTAGGACATGAGAATTCCACAAACTGCATGTAGTCACATCAGCCTTAAGTGAACATTATCTGAGTCACATATATGTAGTATTTAATCTTACGGTATCATGAGCTTAAGTCTGCCATTACTCAGAACAGCCTTACTCTTACTCGGGCAGAGTCCTGTGCAGCTGAAATGTTCTGAAAAACATCTGAAATGTTTACAACTTGAGAACTTGGCATACCCTTTCATGTTTACCTTGAACTTAGGTGAGTTTCTGCCATAGTGTAATTTTGTTATCTAGGTACTACCTGATTAAAGTTAAGTAGTTGCGTTCTGTTCAGAACAGTTCATCTGCAAGCTCTGCTGTGGAAAGCGGGAGTTCTCTCTGGCTTCCCAAAGGGCTCAGTCCCCAACGGCTTGGCCATTTCCCAGTTTTTGTGCCATTTCTCCTCATTCTAAAAGGTCCCAGTGCTTCTCCTGAGGCTTAGTTACAGTCAATAGGAGATTCAAGCTAAAACTCCAGGAATTTAAACTATTTTGTCCATGCCCTTTTATGTTTGCTCTACCCTCCACTAGAATCTGGCTCCCAGATATTTTTTCTATGGGGCATTTGGTCTGCGTGAACAAGAGACCTGCTGAGAGAAGGGGGCATGATCTACTGTGCCTCAGGAGCTTCCAGCTTCGTGGAACTGAGATAAAGGATCACTTGGATACTCACCAATCACAGCGATTCTGGGAGACAGCCAACCACATTCAGCAGTAGTCAGCACAAAATTGGTTTCCAGGAGAACACCTCCACAGATCAAATTTCCATCAGCGTTTAAAAGCAGAACCTTGAAATCAAAACAAGATAATATATGCAGCTTTTCTTTGATTAGGTAGAGCAGGGGTTCCTCTTTCATTTGCCATTGTGATAAATAGCATTTGATATGCCCTCTTTACAAGAAAAAGCACAGCTGAAGCAGACTTTTGTGGGTCAGATGGCCCTTAAGCCTATGAAAGCATTTTGGTTATCATTCAGGTTGAACAAAGAGAAACCTAATTTGTGGTGAAAGAAGATGAGCAACTGAGGTTAAATAACAGTGAAGACTACAGGCCTGAGATGCCTGCTTAACAGCAATGCTGAATAGTTGTGAAATACCCTGCTGTCTATATTTACATTGGGTTAAAAGTTTAAACTTTAGCTATAGTCCAATTGGTACTTTGAAAAAAAGTATCTTGTTAGAAGAATATAAAATAATAGGTTGTTTACAACAACCGGTTGTAAAATAATAGGTTGTTAGTTTATCTTAAATCACTCAATGCGCCTAACACACACACACACACACACACACACACACACACACACACACACACAGAGAGAGAGAGAGAGAGAGAGAGAGAGAGAGAGAGAGAGAGAGAGAGCATGTTGTATTTCAGTTGTGGGACTACTGTACAGAATGATCTCTCTGTTTCTCCTGACAAAATACATCTGTTTTCTGAAGTCCTAGCATTGTCAGGACCTGGTTATTTCAATGAGATTTTATTGAAATAACTTACCATTTTAATTATTGATGTTACAGTTATTATGATTTTATCTTGTTAACTGTTGGGCTGTGTGTGTGTGTGTGCGCACGCGTGAGCGCACGCTCACGCGCATGAAAACTGATTTACAAAGCCTCTGAAATGAGTATCTCTGAATACCTGTCTTAAACAAGTAGGCCCCAGATGTCCCAGAATGGGATGGTGTAAACTGGTGTCCTGCAACAGCAGGGGATTGGACTCAATGGCCTTCATGGCCCCTTCCAACTCTACACTTCTATGAGTCTACGAGCCTCAGCAGAGGCTTCAGGTGCAGCAATCCTAATCTCTTTTCTCTAACACAGCCAGGCAAGCCTTGGATTATCCCCTTTCAATACCTGCCAAGGGAAGCCTCCGCGGCCTTTTTCAGATGCATTCAGGGGTGCTGTTACATGGTCTTCAAGTCTGCCACAGGCACAATGATCTAAGGATGGCAAGTAAAATTGCAGACATCATACTCAATGGGTTGCTTCCACAAATAACTGTTCCGTTCATTCAGTGATAGCTCCATGAGTCCATATTGACCTGGTTCAGACAATGTACTGTGGCTCATTGCGGGTTATTTAACCCAGAGCAATCTGCAACACCCACAGTACTAGGACGTGTATCCATACTCAAGTGCTTAGAAGTGCTTACACTGCACAAGATAACTCTCACATAAGCCATGCTTGCCCACAGGCCCTTGTTTGCTTGACCAAACAACTCCCAACTGGAGACTGGATACGCAGAGTGGCCACAGCAACCCCTCATAGGCCGCCACGCTCTGAGACCTGGCCTGTTGTCACCAGTTGCTTTTGTTCCTCATCATCTTCCTCATAACCATTGCCACATGTTTGCTTAATGGGCTGAGAGCTCCTTCTTCCTACCACCACTGTTGGTTGGGCCACAGCAAGCGGACTGCAATGATGAAAAACAGGAACAAGTCTAGGAAACTTGTCAGTGGGTCCGTGCTGCAGTGCGGACTCTCGGCAGGTACCCTGCTTGTGCCAGCCTTGATGCCAGTCCTTCATTTTTATTAAGATGAGCAATCTCTTTAAAATAACCATGTTCAATCTTTTGCTGATAAATGCAGGCATACTTTTTCCAGTTTGCTATAGGCACTTGGTGGTTGTGTAACACCTTGGGCATTAGAAACCTCATAGGAATTAGGAATGAATACAGTGCCTGACTTTGCATTGTAATGAAGGCCTGGTACTTTACATCCAATTTAAGTTAATTTCAAAACAAATACATTTTCAACAACTTTTTTATTTAAACAAGTTTTTGGTTATTTTATTTGATATCTTGTTATGGATTATTTATTTTAATTTTTGTTTATTGGTTGTCCTTATTGGTGTGTGTGGATATATTTTATTATGTGATGGTATATTTTATTGCTTTATGTATTTTATTAGATCATCAATTGTTTTATTACATTGTACATATGTTTTTATTTTGTTTCAGCACTTGTCAGCTGCCCAAAGAACCTTCAGCTGGGGCAGCATAGAAATTGAATTAAATAAATAAAATTTAATAAATTAGAAATAATGCATGGTTTCTGTGTGAAATATATAATGCACCCTGCATCTATGAAACATTATGGGCATACATAGCCATCCAGCTGAGTGAGGGAATTTGGTGTAGGTTTGGTCATCAACAATCAGGGATACTGGGCAAGTTTTTGCTCCCCTCTGAAACATTGTTCCAAAGTGCAGCACCTTTTCTCCAAACAAGTGAATGGCAGTCATTGATTTACGATGGAAGAAAGAAAAAGATGTTACTTTAAATGCTTTAGAGTAGAGATGGGGGGCCTGATCCAAATGAGAACCTAGGGTAATGATAGAGAGTCTTTTATGAAGCTTAAATCAGGTCCCTTGTGCCTACTCTAGAGTATAAAGATATGTATAGATTACTTGATAAGGATGTAAATTAACACCTATTTTGCCATGCACCTACAGCAAAGGATCCCTGCAAATATAATCCTCACGGTATACTCTACTCCATCATTCTGATGGCTATTTTGCCAGTAGTTGTAATCCTTGTATAATACTTTCCCCTAACCCTTATAATCTAAAATCTCCTACACAAAATAATGTTAGTGATTCTTATAGGGCAAGCCCAGCCAATTTTATGGCTGGGGTAAATGAGTTTGTTCCCATCTGCTATATGGCTAGAAAGATATGATCTGGGGATGTCTAGGATCACATCTGTTTGCTTAACCATGGCACTATACTGGTCCATATATTGTTTTCTGGAATCCTCTCTCTCCTCAACACCATCTTTTAACACTCACCTTGGGGAATGCATGCTGTATTGTTTTCCCCAAGTTTGTACCCCTTGGCACATGAACAATCGTAGGATGTCAAGCCTGGATAGCAGAAATGTTGACAACCCTCATTCAGTTCATGGCGACACTCATTTCTACCTGCAAGACAGTTTTAACAGGAGGCAAGTATCACAAACAAATCAACAATAAGCTGAAATTATCTCGAACCAATCAACTTGGGCTTCCTTTCTCTAAATGTGTGTTGTTTTTCTGATCATTGCCTCTTTCTTCAACCTCTAGAGGCCATTCGCCTTGCCCTTTGTTTGTGTGATGTGAATGGCACCTACTCCTCTCATTAGTAGTTGGCTGTTTTCTCCATCAGACTGAAGCATCCAGGATCAGATGCAATCCAATGCACCAGTTCCTGGGGAACTTGGGCAGGAGCGGGTGTTGCACTCATCCTGCTTGTGGGATCCTGTGAGCAACTGGTCTGCTACAAAGTAATTCAAGTAGGAATACTATATATTGTAAAGGACAACATGAAGTCACTCCCATGCAGAATCCTGGCCTTCATGGTTAGAAACAGTGGATTGGTCCTAGAGTTACCATGAATGGATTTCAATTCATGATACTCTCCTGCTGCTAAAAGAGTGCAGTTTCATCTGCTCCTCCTTCCTTACCATGTGCCTTCCAAAAATTTGCTCTGGGAAGTTGGAGAACCCTCTGGAACAAAATAGGTATTGAAGTGGGGCAGGCTGCAGGGGAACGGCAAAAATTCCCTCCTCTCCCCTCCAGTGGGAACCTCTGCTGGATCTGAGCTCCTTCATTAGCCTAACTTTGCTATCTCTTTGCTTGTCAAAAGCCAGCTTCAAAAGGGTGCTGTTTAACACCACCTGTTGTTTACAAATTTGCAGTGACACCTAATCAGCTACTTAAACTACCAAGAACTATTGGTTGGCTGAGAATGAGAGATCTTTTGTGATTCCTTTACAGTCTTCTAGGAAATAACATGATGTAGAATGCAAATGATGCCTTTTACCAAAATTGCAGTTGCGTCCTTGGAAACCTTCTTTGCAGTCACAAATGTAACTGCGAATGTTGTCTCTGCATGTTCCATTGTTCATGCAGGGGCTTGAGGAACACTGCACACCTTCTGCAGGGAAAAGGTACCAGTAAGTACTTATAGATTGTGCTTTTCTACCTACCAGTAGGTGCCAACTGAATTATTTTTGTATCAGCAAACTTAGAAATTGCATTGATTAGTATTAGTGATGAAGCAAAGCCTTACAGCAATCATGTTAGCTGTTCCAAAGAAGTTAGTACCTTCTGAGCTGCTCACAATTCCGCTTCCCACCTATTTGCTTGCTGGAACTCCGGCGGAAAGGGTCAAAATGGACATTAAATCCATAACTAGCCGCTACATTTTAATTCATTTTTAACTGCAGAATATGCACATGGAATATGGAATTGAATTTTCCATTTTGCCTAATCAGTAAATTGTTGATTTGATGTCTATGCTTGTTACATCTATGATCTTATTCAAAAAAAATGTTTGTTTTGTGCCTGTATTGGATGCTGCAATGACTCTTTAATAAAGGATTACCTCATTTGGCCAATTGCTGATGGTGCAAAATGCAATGAAAGCTTCTTTGATACATCTGTTTTGACAATATCCAACTGTTGCTTCTTTTGGGAAGGAGGTTATCATACAGATAAATTTTGTACTGGAACAGTCTTTAATATCTGCTGATCTACATGCTGTATTACCTGCATTATTTTGCATCTAAAAAGTCTGATACTATAACAATCAAAGGATAAACACTGAGCCCCTGTAATGGAAAGGACTGAGGATTTTACAATGCTTTCAACATTTGAACAGGTGGCATATAGGTCCACCTTCAAATGGATACTTACTTAGATATCTGGTCTGCTTTTGTTGTACAGCTGCTAGTAAGTTGTATTTCATATATAGGTATTACATAGGTATTCACTGATATACAGACTTGTGTATTATATATAGAAAACTAAAAAGACATGAAAAAGATTTAAGTGGCTGTTTTGTCTGTAAGACAATGAATGAGTGTGTGGCGTTGTATCTGGGCCAGGGTGTACATGAGTGTATAGCAGCAGGTGTGATGTGTTTGGACAAACATCTCAGGGCCTCCTGCCAGAAAAAAGCAGCACTTTTGCCCACTTGAGACTGTGGACCAGCCCACGGCTGACATGTGGCCTTTTCTGGAGCCAGTTTGTCCTTGGACCCAAAAGGTTTCCCCATGCCACCCTCGCATGGACTCATCTGTAGCTATAAGGGGCCACTCCCACAAATTCCATCATTCTATAATGCAAATATACACAATTCTGAAAAGATAAGTGGAAAATTTACTTACCATAATAGCCTCTCCAGAACTGGTCCTGGAAAAAGATTGCAATTGTTCTGAATTTAATAGATCGTTAAAAATAAAGCTTACTATTAATATGTTGTGAAAGGATTACTATCCAGTTGCATCTGGGATTGGACAGGAAAGTGCTAATGAAGCAAGATTATCTGCTTAAAGTTCCTCAATAGCAGGAGTGGGAAACAATTCCATACGGAAGGCAACAGGTTCTCTACCCCTGCTATGGCACAGATACACTAGTGACAATTTATTAATGTTTTCCCACTGCTCCTTCACTTCACTCATGTAATGGTGAGTGAGGGGAGACATGCTACAGCAGTATAAAATTTGGGCATGGTGTAGAGAAAGTGGGGATGAATGACTGGTGCATCTCTAGATACTAGAATTTGGCTCATCCCACAATGCTGAATGGCAAGAGAGTCCAGCCAGATTAAAAGGAAGTACTTCACACCAACACACAGTTAAACAACGAATTTACTACCACAGTATGTACTGATGGCAAAGACTCCAGAGGCTTTTAAAAGAGAACCAGGCAAATGGATGGAGGAAAAGGCTACTAGTCAGAATGGCTTTATGCTGCCCTCTGCACCAGGCCCAATATGCCTATCAACATCAGTTGCTGTCACCTTCTTCTTGTAGGCATCCCACAGACAGTGGGTTGATCACCGTGTGAACAGGATGCCAGGGCTTGTTGGTGTTTGCTGAATCCAGCCAATGATGAGAGTAGATAAGGGTAGACACCTCTCCTGGGAACCTGCCCAGTGAAGAGTGGGTGTGCAGGAGTGAGGGAAAGGTAAGGAGAGGAAACTTCCCTTGTCTACTTATCCTGCCAGGAAATTTCACAGTCCACTTCCCAGGATAAATGACATTCCCAGGATGCTGAGACCACTGTTTCCCAGTGTATTAACAACCTGTTTGTGAACTATGCAGAGTGTACATAAAAGGGTGGGTTAGGACAAAATGCATGTAGCATTGAGGTACAGGCTGCCTGGAAGCCAAGTATGTAGAGAGAGCCAGGACTTTTCTGAAAGGGAGGGAAGGAGGAGTGTTTCGACTTGGAACCAACTCTTACTTGTTTTATTTATTGATTTGATTTGTACTCCCCTTTTTTCTTACAACAGATTCAAAGCATCTTACATTGTTCGCCTGCTGCTCTCAATCTTCTCTCCACAACAACAACCCTGTGAGGTAGGTTGGGCTGAGAGTTTGTGACTGACCCAAAGTCAGTCTGGTGACCAAGCAGGGAATAGAACCCAGATCACCTGAGTCCCAGACCCACACTCTTAACCACTACACCGCACTGGCTCTCTTGGCATGGACAGATGCTTCTCCCACCTCTCAAAGAGAACAATACACTGATTCATGCTGTAAAGGTCTAAGAAAGGAGTGTGCTTCCAGTTCCACCAAACTCTGCTGGAGAGGGAAAAAGCAATGGGGCAAGGCTTGCTCTCAACAGTGCACCAGCTTCAGGCTTTCCAATGGGACTGGCGCCTATTTACTCGCAATGTTGGAGTGACCTACCTGGAAAGCAGATGTAATGTCACTGCTCATGCACTTGCACCAATGCAAGAATCACGACACCTTTCATAATTAGTGTTAATTTTGCATATTTTAAGATTTGAGCCATTTAAATGCCAGCACAGTGGCTTGGTGGATATGTTGGGAAAAATCAGCAAAAAATACATACAGTCTTGGGGGTGTCTTCAAATGCTTCTCTTGCCTCCTCATATGAGCACCTTTCCTCAAGGCATTCTCTTTCCAGATTACCAGGGAGGATCTCTTCCAGAATGATGGTACCCGCACGTTTTGATCTTGCAATGACATCATTTGCCTCTCTGGCTGATAAGAACACTGAAGGAAGGATAGGTGAGAAGTCAACTACTTTTCCACAAAAACACAGTGCTTGATCCATTGCCTCCGTGGGCCCAGCCTCTCACCCACGGAAGGTTATGCATATTTAAACAGGAAAAAGTCCTCTGTTGTGGCAGGAGCTTGCTAGGAGCAGCAGAAGCAGCTTTCCCCCTGTCTAAACCTGGATTAGACCACATCCTTAACCATACAGCATTTCCATAAAAGGAAAATGGACTGGCTAACAGATTTTATTAATAGTTTTAATATATATACCACCTCTTATGGTTGGTTTTATCAACTGTCAGTCACAAATTATATTGCTTACACACCCATTCACTTCCCCACCACATATGCGCCCTCCTCATGAGGGCTAAAAATAAAAATAAAGAAATCCACAGATAAAACTTCTTTAAAAATGTTTAAAAAGCCCTCTCCACATAAATACACACTCTCACACAAAATTCAGTGATGTGAATGTGTATGTTTGCCTGTGTCTGCCCTTTGATAAACTCAGATCTTTCAAACACTATTTTCTTCACATCATGTAATTAACACATTTGCTGCTAAGTCGGCAATCCTGTAAATACTTAACTGAGAATAAATCTAACTGGATTCTCTGAGACTCAGCTATGGGGCAACATTTATAGGATTGCATTGTCATTTTATCTTGAACCATGAAAATGCTAAACCTTTAAAAAGCGCTCTTTTAACAAATGGGTTGGGTGGCAATAATAACTATTTCTGGATCGCACCTATATTCATATATAGTTTTCCTCTTTCTTCTTTTCTGATTTAGCTTTTCACTCGTGTGTCCTAACAATTAAATAAACCAGGTCTGTGTAAATCGCGGAGTTCCACTTTTGTGGTTCGGACAAGCTAAGTTTCCAACTAAACATCAACTAAAGATCTTGAGGAAAAATGCTGGGAGGGGATGGAGAGGATTAACTCTCCAAGGTACAGATTAAGGATAAGCCACAAATGCCTCCTATATTCTCATTACTTTTGGAAAATTAAAATAAAGTCAAATACCTGTCAGGTCTGCCTGATGAAAAATGAAGGCAAACAAGAGCAACTGTATTGTCCATTTCTGCATTCCCATGTTTTGTTTCCTTGGAAAAGTTAGTTGAATTTTGCTTGCCTAGCAGTTGCTCTTTGGTAGAGTTACTGGAAAAGTAAAGTTTAAAGTTCAGGAACTCATTTAAAAAGAGAGGGAGGCAACGAGGGAAACTAGTGTCAACAACTGGAGACTTTTTTAAAAAAGTAAGATTTCTCAAATGTCAACAGTGGTCATAAAACATTAAGGGATAAAACAACTTGTGGCGGGTTGGCTGGGCCAGCCAGTCAACCTCGGCAAGCGGCGCGAGAAAGTTTAAAGAAAAAAAAAAAAAGACTGCAGTCCAGAAATCAGTTACAAAGCATGCTCGGTTTAGTTGCAGGGGGAGAACAGCAAAAACTTCTTCCCCCAAGGTTTTTTCTTCTTCTCTCTTCTTGCTCTCCTCTTGCTCTCCTCTTGCTCTCCTCTCCCCCCTCACCACCGGCATCTGCTTTTATTACTTCACACTTTTTACCTAGGCATTTGAATACAGCCAATTAGCCATCGTACACAAGCAGCCAACACCTTAATGCTTAGGTTACAAGCCTTATATGGTTACAAGCCTTATATGGTTACAAGCCTTATATGGTTACATAGGTAAATTACAATACTCTTGGTCTTCGTGTGGTACGTGAGTACAGCATGACCCAGCAATGAATTCCCACACAACTTATCTTCCATTTCAAGTCATATAATTCTGACTGTCATTAGAAACATTGCCAGCCTTACACGATAAGATATTATACCAAAGAGTGTTCCTCAAAATCTTAAAAGGTTATTGAATCTTGAAATCTGTGGAGGGGGAGGATGATAACAGAAAAATCCAAAAATTTATCTATATGGACTTGTGGATAGGAATGTTCAACCAAAAGCCGGTATGCTGGGTTTTCTCGTCTCTGGATTCTTCAGCTCACTGCCGAATGGCATCAGTGGCCCAGAATAACAATCCTTTGACAACACCAACTGCAAGTATGAAACAAAGAGTAACAAAACATTTTAGACCAGTGGAGTGACTTCTTCTAAGACAAAATTGGTGGTCTCCCCAAAGTACTGGGAGGCACATTTCAGGTGGTTATAATATTAGCTGTACAGGCTTTAGCAATGGCCTATTTTGCTCAAAGTTGTTGTTCATATGCAGATTTCAAAGTATGTCCTTTCACTAGGCTTACACAACAGAATTTTGGCAAGTACTGTGAAAATCACCACCCTCCCTTTCACAGAAACAGCTGACAGTAGTTTTGGGTAATGTGGGGCACAGAAAGTAGTAGAGAGTTTTAAGCCAAAACACACAGCATACTTAGCACTTACTTTCATGTGGGGTGGATCTTTTGGATTCCATCTACTGAGGGAGGAGTGAGCTGCCCTTCTATCCCAATCCCAAACAGATGGTATGGAAATAAATTTGAGTGAAATTATTGCAGCTTACTCCACATAATGGGATTAGGGTTGGGATACTGACAAGCATAATTGTTCCAGCTCTGTGTCAGCATTGGCATTGAGACTGTAGTAGACAAGATTTAAAGTTAATGTTGTGTACTGTAAAACCTAGTCATGAATTCTTAGGTTTATTCTATTTGATAAAAGATGTAAGCAGAAGTGCTAACACTTCCTGAACCCCTACTTCCTACAGAATTTTGCAAATGTACACTGTAATTCCTTATTACGCTTACCTTTCCTTTTACTCACTGTCCTCTCTTTGCTTTGAAGTCTCTGCTGTAGCCAAACTTGAATGGGAGCTTCTTGCAGCAAAGGTTTGCTTTTGATATTCTGCAAAATTCTGCCTACCATATAAATCAACCAAGTTGTAGCATAGGTTCCTCCGGCACTGATTTAATGTGCCACATGGGGGAGCAAATGCTCACAAGCACATTCAACTGGACTAGGCTAGGTTTTTTTGTTTTGTTTTTCTGGGCTATACAGAATGAAGCAATGTGGGTGACTTACACAAAATTATTCGTGCAATTTCTTCATCCATATCAGAGATCCCACATTATTTGGCTTGTGTAGTTGATGCTTTTGCTAAGATCTGGCCCTGACAGTTTAGTCAACACGAATCAACACATCATCAGTCTTCTGAAGGAATATTTTGTGTGGAAAAAAAGCATGTTAAGCTCTTGCCTACATAAATTTTGCAGGGGTCCCCCTAAGGAGAGAGAAAAAAGCAAATGCTGGTAATGTGCTACAAACTGAAAATCATGCAAGTAAGAAAAAGGTTTTATATGAAGTTTCTTTTCATGAAACATTCATAAAGTATATCACAGTTTTAAAGGTCTTTTGAAAATGTACCCCTTCTTCATATTATTTTGCTCTAATCTCTGCATTAGATTACTGCAATTCACTCTGTGTGGGGCTGCCCTTGAAGACAGTTCAGAAGCTGCAGCTGGTGTGGAATTCAGCAACCACGGTGAATAAGCCATGGCGGATGGTTAGCCATGTTTGTTTCAGACTGACTTCTTGCATTGTCAGAAGACAGCCAGAGTGACTTCTACATGGTCAACAACCCATGTTGCTGGGTGCAGACAATATGAAACACAGATGGCTCACAACCTGCCTGTTGAGTGAACCTATCATTGTCTGTGATTCCTTTCACTCTCTGCAGTCCCCGAACGTCTGCAAATCTGGTCCAGAGGGTTGGCATGATGTAGAAAGCTGCATGCACCAGCAGAAATGGTCCTGGGAGCACCAGGAACCACCCAAAATTGCTTTCCATTCTGCAGATGGAACCCTCACCTGGCTCTCCAAGGGCCTGTCCTCGGGGACATCACTGATCGCAGCTCCTTAGCTTTGCCAGAGAGGCGAGCTTAACTAAGGATCCTTTAAGGATGCAGCCCTATGCAGGTTTAGAAAGAAAAGGGTTTGGCAGAAGAATGCTAGGAGTGGTAGGACTGGGGAATTGCACCCACGCGGGGCACAGTGACTGAGAAGTCATTGATTTCCTCTGAGTTTCCATTTTTTTAAAAAATAAGCAGCCGTGTCAGGTCTTACTGATAAAGCGAATGAAAGAAAAGAAACCATATACTCCAGTTATGAGTTTCAATTTATGCCCCCCTGGACTGCACCTTGTATTTTGCCCATAGAATAGTTGTTCCTTTGGTCCGGTTACTGAGTCCCATGGACCTTGGAAAGCATCCAAGGCTGTAGGATATTTTGGGTGCCCTGATTCAAGGTCAGAGGCGGAATTCTGGCCTTGGAGGAGGGAACTGGCCCCCCAGTTTCTTTCCTCCTTGCAGCTGGTGCAGAAAGAACTGTGCTGAGTTCAGGAACTTGATCTTTGGTGGGAAGGGAGGACACTGGAGAGGCCAGGAAGTAAATTATCTGGAGGCATCTCCGGTCTCCTTCCCTTCACTTCCAGTGCAGCTCTGGCAAAAAGTCCCATCTAGCAGGAGAGGAGCAAAGTAAGGGGGAGATGGCATCAGGTACTCCCCGGCCCCAAATAGGATGCTCCTAAACTCCTAAATTCAGGGACTTAAAAACATTGAGGGCACAATCTCAATTCTGAAGTTAAGAACTATTAAGAAAATGGAGGCAAGAAGATATAAATAAACAACTGCAAACTTATGTTATGGGGTTTTCTTCTTGCTGTTGTTACTCATTTAATGTAGTACAAGAAGTGTTCTCTGATGACCTGACCTCTGTCTTTTCCAGTCCGTTTGGAGGTAGAATCTTGTACCTCCCATCTATCATAGCCAACTGTAGTCCAAAACATCTGGGAGCATCAGGTTGGGGAAATCTGTGGTAAACATTTTGTCGTGTTTTGTTCTGTAGCTCAATTCAAAGCTCATTCATTTTGAAGTTCCCCTTCATGTGAAGTTGTTTTAATTTAGTATGGTGTATTTGGAGAGGCAAAGATTTATAGACAACCTGACTCTATCCAAGCACAGTTTATGAAATTTACCAACTGTGAGCACGATGCATGCAGTTAAATTGTATAATGTGCTAATTTGCTTCCCCACAAAGAGAAAAGGATAAGATTATGCCAACTATCTTCTAGCTTTGGTTTCAAAGTCAAACAATGAAATATCAGTGGATTGTACCCCAGAAGCACTTTTTGTGGGTATTTATCATTAAACATTTTGCCCTATTCCATTGTTTCCTTCGTTAGAACTGTCTCCTCAGCTTATTCATATGGGTGATCCCAGCTGATTAGGGATCAAGTTATAAAATCAGTGATTTTACTGATCACAATATAAAGCCAATAGATTTTCTGAGGATTAGCAGGCAGTTCTGCCTTGCTGTTGTCTCCTTCATGCTCAGAAATGCACAAACATTTCTGTGTACAATCATCTTACACCAGGACTGGATCTACAGTAGGTATTTTTACCCGCAATTTATTTATTTATTCTTCGATTTATATCCTGCCTTTTTCCTACAAAGGGATCAAGGCAGCTTACATCTCCTCCTCAATCTTCTCCCCACAACAACAACCCTATGAGGTAGGTTGGACTGAGAGTCTGTGACTGGCCCAAAGTCACCCAGTTGGCTCCATGGCCGAGCGGGGAGTAGAACCCAGATCGTCTGAGTCCCAGTCCCATGCTCTTAACCACTACACCACACTGGCTCTCACCAGTGTGAGATTTTAAGTTTTAAGATCTGATTCACTTGTATTTCACAGGACACTCACCCCAGCCTGTCTTCCTTGTGAGATTACTGCCATTATATTACAGGTTTTTTCAAACCAGTTATATCACAACTTTTTAACATGTTGCAGTGTCCCCCCAGTGTGTGTGTACACTAAACCTGAGGGTGTGTTCTGGGGCCAGGACAAGTGGTCTTGGAGAAGAAGAAGCTCCTTATGGGACTTGGCAACAGCCTCAATGCTGCTTCCCAGGTTCTCTCCCCTCCCCTTTGAAAAACTGACATTAAGAATGTCCTGTGTTTCCCCTTGCTTCAAGGAATAGCTAACTGAAAACAAGCTGGAATACATGTCCACTCAGAAATCAATCCCATTTCCTTCAATGGCCTTATTTAAAAGTAAACCATATTGATTTCAGTGATGCTCACTTTTGGGAAAAGGGGCTGCTTTTGCCAGGATAGGAAAGGGGGTACCAATCCTGCTGGTTTCACGCCATGGGAAGTGGAAGGGCAGCAACAACCATCACAACCTGCCCCTTATGTCCCCCTAACTCATTTCCTTCTCCATGGCTTTCTGTGAAGGGGCACAAGGAGCTGTCTTTTTTTTTAAAGCAATCTCAGCTCCCTCCTTCATATACCTGCAAAGAGGGGAAAAACAATGCTGTTCATGGGTTATTTCCCCTGCACAGATCTC